TCCCTACTATCCCAGCCACTCTCAATCACTCATCCAGTCATTTGCAACCTCATGTCAAATTTTCAGGGACTTGTGCTGATAATAAAACTCAGTATCTTTACCTGGAAAATCTTCCAGATGGCAAGTGGGACACCACACCACAGGGAAATTTTGGACTAGATGTCTCATATGCACAGTTTGAAGCTACTAATAGGTTAGCAGTGGATTGGGCAACAAAAACAGACGCTGGAAAGCAACACAAAAATGCTTCCAGAATAGCTGCTGATCTCAACATGGGATATCGAACCTATCGAAGCTGTTTGGGAGTTATACACTGCAGCAATGCCCATTGTGCTATTACAATCCGGCCACATACTCACAGCCCAGCTGACCTTGCTAAACAGCTCACTCATTCTTGCAAATGTGGTAATACAAAGCTTCTCCATAAGCCCTGTCCCAACAAATCTTCACTAATCCAGTGGGCTCATGGTGTCCGATATGTCAATGGAATCCATGATCACAACCATGAAATTCCATCATACAGGCTTCACCTTACCAGAGATGAGCAGGCAAAGTTTGTTGAATTAGTCAAGGGGAATGTCAAAGCTGCTCCTGCTGCTCTTATCTCTGGGAATACTATTAATGGCACCTCTGCACCAGAAATTTCATCTGTGCTTGTTCATGCTGGACGTGTTGGCCGCATGCGGAACACTGTACTGGGACAAGCAAAGCTCAAAGGAGGGGATGATTTTGTGGAGACTTTTATGGACTTTCAAAGACAGCATCCAGGCTTTATTGTTGCAAATACTATGCTTGGTGGAGTAACAGTAATATCCAGCCAAACTCCTTTTATGGCCTCACAGCTTCATGATGAAGCATGCCAGATTGATGGGCCTTTCAATGGAATCATATCTGATGCTGCTCATGGATGGTGGAAAGTTCAAACATCTTTGCTTATCATTAGCTCTGTCTTTTCTCAAATTATGCTCCAATGGGTTCCAGTACTCATCAGTTACTCTAATGGTGCAAGCTCTTTACACTATGAGCAACATTTCTTGGCTTTATTTGAAGCTGTTGCTCAAGTTGTCAATGCACACAACAAGTCTCTGATTGATGAGCTATTTGCTGGGGTAAGCTTTTGTAATAAAAATTTCCTTTCTTTCTACTAAATTTGAATGATTCCTACTAGGTTGTGGATTTCAGTGAAGCAGAGCGCATGGGTTTCATCAATGCATTTGTGCGCTTCTGGCTCAAACACAGCAATGCGCGGCTCGAAAATGAACTTAGGAAAAAGGCAGAAACACTTCTGAGAGGATGTCTCCAGCACTTTCACAATAGCATTACTCGGGTCAAGTGCATTGCTGCCATTGTTCCAGTTGATAAGCAATCAGATTTTTCAAGACTGGTCCATGAACTCTTGGTTGCAGAGTCTCCAACACTTTTGCAACAGAGTGCAGACTCTCTACAAGCTCAATTTCCTAAAATTAGACCTTGGCTCCAATGGTGGATGAGGCAAGAGCATGCTACCATGTTATTTGAAGCTAAACGGAGCATGGATCCGCTCATCTGGAACTCACTTTCAGAAACTACAAATGCTGAAGAGTCAATAGACTTTAGTATCTATTCACAGCAAGGCCGGAGACACACTTTTTTTGAAGGCTGGGAAGCTCTTTGGAAAGTGGTTCAAACTTATGAAAGATTGTATAATGCAGAGAGAGGTTAGTTACGTGATTGAGATTGAAGACATTCTTTGATTGTCATTATTAGTTGGTCTGCCCACCCATTGGGGAAAACCTGCTCTTGAAGTACGCCAACAGCTCAAAGCAGAGATTGGTCGCACAAAACGTTCTCGTACAGCAGAAGCCATCAGGCGGAGGATGTCACACTATGTCAATGATGGCCGCCCCCCAGATGATAACCACCTATTAAAAATGAAAAAAGGCATCAAGACGAGAATATCATCTGCTGGACGGAAAGTCCGCATTAATAATCATCTTAATCAGCATTCAAGAGTTTTGACTCAATCTAAAGAAAAGGAATGGCTTGGAATAACTGGTGATATTTTGAGATAATTAATTTTACTGTAACTAACATTAAAGTTGCTGCAGACAATGCTAACTTTGTGCTACTGGATGATGATCCTGAGGAGTGGCATGGGATCAATAGTCAGACTCTGTTGTTCTACTTTTTTGGATTTTCCTGATCAAACATGCTGTTTGAATAGATAATCAATCTTCACCTGCACCAACTGAACTTTCAGAAACACATGTTAAAGGTACATTTTACCTGGAGTTCATCTATTTTGCTAATTCATGATCAATTGTATTCAGCCATTACCTCCAGTTCTGCATTTATGCTGAAGTGGCTTAAGCAGAGTAGCAAATCTGCTGAAGTTCAAGCATTGTGGAAACATCCTTCATCTATCTTTGCTACTTCCAAATTCACTGACAACTTGAATGATCACCCAATGGATTCAAACTCTGACCAGCCTTATAATCTCCTGGCTCAGTACTCTGACAATACTCTTGTTGAGGGAGTGGTCCGGAACTTTGCTCTGAAAAAAGTAGATTTCCGGGCAGTAGTCCTTGTCTCCTCAAACTTAAAGATCATACCATCATATGAATGGGCTCAAAATTCATGCTGGTTAGATACAAGCCTTGAAACATTGTTCTGGATGTTCAATCGTGATTGGAATGAGGTTGCTTCAGTTTTCGAAACTCCAGAAGCAGCTGATCATCTGTTTTTTCCAATATATGGTCATCTGAAAGCACGCCGCCTACTGTTACTTGGCAGCAATGCGGATATTCAAGCCCAACTATTAGCTCATCGTGAATCTGCAAGGAAATATATCAAAATGGATAAGGCCAATATTCTCTCATATGAAGGGGTCAATTCTTCTAGAGACAGCTTGCTGGTAAGGTATCCTGGCTAACAGATTATGAAATTCCACTGATAGATTTTTGTATACTGTAGAGTTGGTTTTCTTCTTGTATGGATATTTCATACAAGTACAAGACCAACTATACGGAGACTCAAGCAGCTGCTTCTAATCTTTTCTCTGCATATTCAGTAACCATACGTCACTGTAGCACCACACAGTCAACCCCCCCATCACACATTCAGATTTCTCTTCCACATCCTGGGCCAACACCTAGAGCTACTCAAGGTCCATTTGCACATGATTGGACCACTTGTCATGGCAGCTTTCAAGAATGGATACGGAGTTTGACAGTCATTGGCAGAAACTTACAGCAGTGCCATAAGAAGAAAATTCAGTGCTGGCATCAATCTTGTGACAATCAGGCATGTCTTGTTGACATTGTAATAGGATTACCAGTCTTCTGGTGTGTTACAGTGCACCCAGAAGACAATCAAACTTGGGAATTTCCACGTACTTTATATCCTGTTGCAGGAGATGATGCAAAGAAAAACCAAGTTGTTTATGAAATGACTGCACGGGTTTTCTCCAACCATGACCATTTTGTCACTCGATTTGTGACTCCTCTTGATACACCAAAACAACAAACAGGAGTTTTCTTTTATGATGGCATGCGGCATCGAGGACAGGCCCAACGTGAAGTGGGAAGGCTTGATGACTTGCTAGCTGGTCGCTTCCCTGTTTTACCAATGGAGTATCAGACCTCGGGTTATCAAACTTGTGCTGTCATGTACCATCTTAAAGGAGGCACTGCTGCTCAGGCCTGGTTCAGAAACCGGCAGGTCACTCTCCTACAAAAGCATCTCTATATTTCGATCACTCCCAACCCTTCTGCACAGCATCCACTACTCAATGCCCCAACCAAACTCCTTGACCCGGAATATTTACTTGTACCACTTGATGAACAACAATGGCTTTCTCCCAGTGAGATTGAAAAATATCGGAAACGTGGAAACCCCCCTTTGGAGTATCAATATCTCCAACCTAGACAATCTCCTTCATCTGTCTCTTCTTTTCCTGCTATATCCCTCAATTCAGATGAACATGCTGGCATTATGGAGGAAATAACTGGAGAAAACAGCCAGCCTCAGTTGCCCACTAATCTCAACCCACCATTCAACTCTCCTCCATCAGGTTCTCCTACTCACATTATATGCAGGTGTGGAGTGGAAACAGATGGAGATCAGCAGCAAATCAAAGAAAATATTGTACTATGTACTATGTGCAACAAGGTTTGGTCTCATGAGGCCTGTCAGACCCAGCGCACTACATCTTCCATTCAAAAATTTATGTGTCCTATGTGTGGTATCGAGAACCTATGGATGCTAAAGAAGATTCAGGATCAGCTTATGCAGGAACGGCGGAGATCAACAAGACCGTAAGTTATTTGCTAAGAAGTATTGATTGTTATAATATTTTTCTGCAGTGCAGCAGACACTACAAAAGCCATATCTGCCCAAATTTTGTGTGCACACTTTTCCTTTTGTTTTGATCATTATTCTGACTTCTTTCAGCAATGGAAAGGGAGTTCTAGTCCGAGATGGAGCATTCTTCTTCCCTGCTCGTTTGATTCTCAAAGGTAGAAAATCATGTTCTATTCGGTGGTGGAGGTACAACATGCCACCACCCGGGTCCTCACAACAGCCTGGACAAGTAATGTCAGTAGCCACTGATGATATTAGGGATGAGTTATGGCAAAACAAAAAAGCCAGAAGAAAAGTTCGGGTGAGTTCTGAATTTTGACAATGTATTCAAGCTAACCAGTATGCAGCTGGGTAAATGGATACGTGCACATATCACCGAGGAACAGGTTGATGCTCCTTGGGAAGATCCATCTCTTTTGCCATTCAGTTCTGAGATTGACCATGCTTTGCGCCCACATCTTGAGATCCTGTCCCAGCTCATGAATCACCCAGATTCTGTAGAGATCAACCTCTGTCCTGCGAAAGAATGGCAAGTAGCTCAAAAGAGGACAACAAAAGCTATTGAATACTCAGGTGGTCTTACTGTGGATGACTGTGCTCGCATCAATAACTGGTTCAACAATGTAGTGCCAAATGCATCAGAAAAATTGCATATATGGATGGGTGCACTACCTATTGCACATGCTCGTACATTGTTACTGCTTTATCGACATCACACAGAGTTTTCAAGCACAAAAGGAGAGTTGCATGGTATCCAAAAGGCATTTCACCGTCTTGTAGCATGGACAGGAAAAACTGTTGATGGAAAGGACAAGCAATATGCAATAGTTGATGTGGATTTGGAGGCTTTGAAATTACTTGAAGGAATGTTGTTTGATATATCAGAAAATGCAGGAGAGGCTGGGAATCAACAATGGGGTTTAGATGCAGGTTCTCATCTGCAAAACTGGAATCCATGGGCAGAGCTTGGTCCAGAAAACTACTGTACAACTAAACGTGAGGGTGATGATGAGATTGAATGTCAGGTAAAATTTGTTCAAGTATAGTAAATGACTTATATTAACCATTTCATACAGCGTGGACCGGATTATTTGGATGACCAGCATCAATCTGTTATCAAAGAAGTTAAAACTATGCCAAAACCCCGAGGCATTCAATCTAGAAAGCGGTGGATTAATCAGGTTTACACTGATGCAGACCAGGATATATCAGAAAAAATGTCCGAGAAGAAATCTAAGAAGAGTCTGTAATAGTTGTTCAGTAATCTTTATTTATAGTGCAGTAAATAAGAACTCCAATCATATTATAGATGTTGATCCAATAACTATCTGCGCATCTTCTAGCTATTAAGTTGCCCTCCAATGCTTAGAGTTGGATAAACATACAAACTTTCCAATGCCAATGCCCTATCATTCATGTTCCATCTGTATGTCACAGCATTATTATTATCCAATTTCTTACTGGAAATTGCAATGGAATACATTGACATTATCAATCAATGAACTTGTATTGTCTTGCAATTGCATTGAGCTACATCACCGAGATCAATGGCTTCTTGTTGGTCTCTATGATCAACTTCACAGATCAAATTGCCAAGTGTACAAACTATGGAGACAAGTGCAGTAACAATGCAGGAACAATTTAAGTAAGTAGGGTTATGTATGCAATTGCAGTACATGTATACATTTACAATGCAGATGCATACAGCTACAATGTATACAACTAAGCATGTGCTGGGCAATGGTGAATGTTTGAGCCTCCAAGAATATCATCAAGTACATTTACTGTGTGCTATGTCATTTTTGGTGCAGATTCATACACATAAAATTCATTCCACAGTAGGGGCATCCAATGTATTGATCAAGAGACTCAGTTTTTTACTTGTGTACTTGACCAAGGACTAATATACAAACTCAACATACATCAGGATAGCATAAACCAATTGAGCAGGAAGTGAGTCTAAAACAATCAGACAGGCAGCTGCTGTGCAGAAACTTTCTGCAAGATTTCTGTGCCTCATTTGTATGGAATTGCATATAACTTGCATGGATTTGCATGTAACTTGTGCGGATTTGCATGTAACTTGTGCGGATTTGCATATAACTTGCACGGATCTGCAAGTAACTTGCGCGGATCTGCATATAACTTGCGCGGATCTGCATATAACTTGCGCGGATCTGCATGTAACTTGTGCGGATTTGCATATAACTTGCACGGATTTTGTTGTGTGGACCTTGCACCCAACTTTTACTAATAACTGGAGCAACAGAATCCTGTTAAACTGACAATTTCCTCAAACAATCAATGTGATTGTTGTTATTCAGGTGCACAGCAGTAATGGTGTGGACTACATCTGTAAAGCTGGATTTTTAGCTAAAAGGTGGAGGGCAGCTGACAGTGCTGGACAGCACTCTCCAGCCACTGCCAGTATCCCTGTTCTGTGAATGTCCAGGTTTTGCAGATGTACATAGAATACTTCACAAATACTGACTCTTCATAATTGAAGATCATGAACCAATAAGCTTTGAAATGCCTCTTTAATCATTTTTTGCTGTGATACTGACTGAACATACTCAACTAAGATACTCCCAGTTCAGTTTCGACGCATATCACGTGCTGGTCACAGCTGTGACCCCGCCAAAAATCTCAAGGTGCAACGAATTGGTCTTTCGAGTAGTTTTCATTTGAGTTATGCAAAAATTAAAACACGGGCACTGTTAACCTACTGCTTAAAGACAATATCAGATTTTCTGAGATTTTATAGTGAAGAATTCAGAGATGAGATAGCATTCTGGCAAGAGTGTCTAAACTAAGCGCCAAGTCCTTAATGGTCCTCGGTTCATATTTTTGTACATTGACTGCACTTTTCTCATCATCCCCAGCTGTAAATCATGCTTGAATGAGCAATGTTTTATTATGAATAACCTGGGTGATCCATCCATTCTGAGAGTGGAATAACTTCAACAAGAAACAAGATGCATACCATGGACAAGCCACAAAACTGTGCTGAAATGATGAGTATTTTGCTCTACAGGCATCTATGCACATCTCTTACTACAAAATACAATACAAAGTCCTCAAGTGCTGTTGTTCTTGACTTTTGAGTTTTTTCAAGAATGTTGAGATTCATCAAAAATGGTGAATTTTGTGATTTCGCACACCATAAAGCTATAGGCTTTCTCAATTATGGATATAAGACTTAGATTTTCTGGGTAGGTCTACCTACGAGGGTACTCAACAGGGCCCGTGTTCTCAATAGACTGTATTGGGGCTGGGTGTTGAGATAAAAAGTGCTCAAGGATTGTCACTCTGAAAGTCACTGAAAAGCACATGACGTGCGTCGAAACTGAACTGGGAGTATCTTATTAGAAAAAAATGAAAAAAAAATGAAAAAAGAATTGAGATAAATAAATCAAATTAGACCTTGGGATTGAGGAGTAATATGACCAGTATATAGCTACAGCAGGATTATATACTCAAGAATGTGGTTTACAGATTGCACGGAACTACATCATATTGGGTGGAACTGTGCGGAACTGCGCGGGACTGCATGGAACTGCGCGGAACTGCGCGGAACTGCATGGAACTGGTGCCGCAGGGGTTACGGCAAAAGTTCTGTGCCCATCGGCAGCCATGAGAGGCACTTACTAAAGCTCCGGGCCCAGAAGTACAACGTAGAGCTCTACATTTGACACAAGCTCTAAGTATTTTGTAAAAAAAGACCAAGCTCTACTTTCTAGCCACAGCTCTACCTAGAGCTCTACCTCTACCTCTGTTTTGTCTTGTAGAGCCCTGTTTTTGCTGTTGTGAAAGCTCTGGAAATTAGCCCCATCGTCGTTTGGGCATTCGCATCGAACATCAGCGTCTCCAACTCCATCACCAACTTTCCTTCGACAACGCGTCTCTAAGCACATCAAATGTGTGGAATCTGACGGGAAGGTTGAGCGAGAAACGGCCAGAAGCTCATACTCATCGTCACCAGTGAAACATCTAATCAATACCCCACAAATTCGCTCTTTAACTACCCCTCCGACATCTGACGCCGAGCACGAGATGCCTTCTCGAAAAACCAAAACCCATTCTAAGGGAAAGTCTGTCGCAGTTATGAATCCTTTGGTACTCCAACCTGCAGTCGACGTAGATGTACGAAAGGCTAAAGGAAAACGTTCACAGTCCAACAAAGTCAAGGTACATTACAAATTGTCTTCATATGTTCTTATTTCAACAAATTCTACACGCAGGCTCCGACGAAAAAAGAACGTCGAGATACAGTTATAGAACGTCAACGGATGAATGCAGAGAAACCAGTATCTATCCCTCGCGTACAACGCAGGAGCAAACTGACGTTCAATAATCTTTTGAGTAAAATGTAGGTGTGGAGTTTGTCCGAATGATTTTACGTGCTCTGATATCGGGAATTAGTGCTGGAAACACGCCGGCACCCTCGAAAGGAGAGGATTCAATGGATCCAATATCCGAATTCTCAGAGTACTCCTCCCCTACCAGTAACCGCAGTGCGGTCGTTCCGGCTGATACAAAGCTTACAGAAGCAGAAACCCCTCGTGCATCCATGCCAGAACTTCCTGGCGGCGCTGACTCCGACGAGGAACAGCTTCCAGACATAGACCTGTTGCTCAAAATCCTCCAAGAAAAGAAACTGCGAGCTCTGCAGCAGCAGGGGCAACTGCGCTCGGGTGCATTAGCGTCAGATGATGACGATGACCAGGAGATTGTGAATGTTCCAAGCACTAGCATGCAGGTTGCGATGCAGAAAGCTGATGCGAGAAAATCTGGTCGGCCCGGCATTACGGCGAGTACTCGAATTCTCCAGAAGCATGCTGGGATATCTAGTTCCCGTCGCACGGGTGAAGTCGGGTCTGCTTCACAAGCTTGTAACTCCAGGGAGTTGAATGAGGTCTTGTTAAAGAGGGTCAATGCTGAGAACACACGCAGGACACAACTAAAGACTGAGGAGTGGATCAGCAGAGGAGGGAAACCACTGGGACCAGCGATTCAAGCGTCCGAACGACATGGTCTGGATTGGTATGCACAAAAAGCATTGGAGGACCTGAAAGAGACGAACGCAGAGAACGGAAATCACCATCAGGGAGGGACTGACGACCAAGAAGATGAAGAGTGGACTTCCTTGCGGGGATCTGCGAGTCCCGCCCTTGTTGAGCAAAATAGTAACAATGGGTATGAAGAAAACGAAGGGGATGATGAAGAAGGTTTCGAAGACGACCAGGATATCACAATAGTGAATGAAGACACTCAAGACGAAGATATATCAACTCAAGTTGATCTTTCTCACCGACGAGCCGTGCGACCTATCGTGAATTCGGACACTGAGGATGAAGACAACAACGAGAATCTCTATGCACAACGTCGCTCACTCGGAAAAGTTCTTGTGCAGGATTCAATGATTCTGGACCAGGACTCTGACAAAGTTTCCCCCCTTCCTCAGTTTGCCCACCGTCAATCGGATTCTTCCTATGACGGGGGGGCTACCGAAGACGGGTGTGACAAGGAGAACAACGACCTACTGATGTATGATCGGAGTGAAGATAAGGAAAACACTTCTGTTGTTCAGCATGAATTGTTGAACCATGGACTTTCACCGGGACGTCGGAGCTCTGTCCATGATCTCCAGGAAGGCTTATCGAGTCGTCTTTCAGTATCTTTGGATGGTTACGCCACGGACGAGGACAAGGAAAATCCTCGCAGTCCTCTGAAAACCCTTAGCGTTTCTGAAATCGAGCCCCTCAATCCTGCCGCTGTCTCCTTTGCGATAAGGCTCGACCGAGCGACTTGTACGGCATCTATCGCTGATAAAGCTCCTGATCCCTTGCTTTCTCCTCGAGTCTCTCGTGAACCTCAGATTTCCGGCTTTTCTCAATTTCCAGACGACGGAGAAGGATTTCGGCCAAAGAAGTTAGAGGCTGGCTTTTCCGGTTTCTTCGAGTCTGATAGTCAGATACCTTCAAGTTATTCTCGTCCGCTTGTAGGAAGCTTGACGGAATCGGGCCAAGTGGGTTTTATCTAGATGTTTAACTCCTGCTGAACTCTTTCTTTTTCTTTAGTCAAACAATTTCTTTGATAAGCTCCGCAGGAGTAGTCCGCTTGTCCTCACCCAAGAAGTCGATCTGCAACCTGCGCTCGAAGTGGACGAAAGTCTGAAGCGTCAAGCCGACGAGGTTTTTGAGAGGGAGCAGGAACTGATCATTGAAACGGTGAACGCGTCTACCAGCAAGGAACCGGAGTTATATATAAATGATCAAGGGTGCGCGCTTTCCTTTCACAATAAAAATTGACATTAACAATCGCACTGGAACAGATTTCTTACCCAAACCCGCCCTGACGGAAATGCAGAGGTATATCGTCCTCCACCAACACCATCTCAGTTTTTCTCGCAAAGTGGGCAATTTGCCACTCAGGGAATATCAAACCAGGGCCTCACTAGGCGGCCCTTCCGCGAATTATCTATGTCTGAAGCCGAATCCACGGAGGATACCCCAGTACGGACAAATCGATTGCATCGTCTCAAGAAGCGAGATGAGTCTGGGTCATCTTCAAGTGCTCCGCTCTCGAATATTTTTGGAGAGCGTTCTATTTCGCCTTCTCTACCTAGCCCTAGACCCCGAAGACATCGACCCGTGGAATCTCGAATTCGAAAAATTGGGCCAAGGCTGGCAAAATCGGAATTCATCGAAGGAGAGGCGCAGGAGAGTGATGAAGATGAAATGTTTGGTTTCCGTAAAGTCGAGGAGGATGAGGAGGATGGAGAACACCTGGACCGTAATCTCGAAACTCTGGTGGACGATAAAGAATTGGACCAGACACAGATAGCAAAAGACAAAGTTATGGAGAAATTTCAGTCAGCGTTTTGTCCATTTCATTTCTTAGATGCGCTCTACTCATCATCTTCTAGAGAACAACGCCAGGCGGATGATGCTCAGGTTGAGGATGTGGCCCACAAACTTGCCCAAGGTCATTTTCGCAACGGCAAGAGATCCAGGGGTCAAGCCAGTATTGATAACAATGATGATGAAGATGAAGAAGACCAGACGGGTCGTAGGGTCCGATGGAAAATGAAGAAGGAGCCTGAGCTTAGGGGAGATATCAAATCATTAGGTATGTGCATTCAATCTATTGATTGTCGTCACCACAGCTCAGTGTCCTTGAAGCCGGACAAGATGCAACTCGGGCGTTTGCTGAACAATATCAGGCGGCAATCAATAGCGATGGAGATCCTGAACTGGCGTTCCTTTCAGAGGGTGACTTGTGCTCTCATATTAACCCACTATCGGACAAGGGTCACTCATAGTGATTTCTCTCAGAGCTCGGTCGACGTCCTGTCTTCATTTTCTCATTTTTTGTCTACACGGTAGTTACAACATGTGCGTTCAAGCTTGTAAATAATTTCAAAAAATCATTTTAGATGTTCCAAATCGGTATGGCGCTCTCGGAAAACACTGCTTCCTTGTTGGTGTTCCGCTTTCTAGGCGGGGTGTTTGCAGCCTCATCCCTTACTAATTCAGGGAAAGTAAATTTTCGACCTAGCGATTGACTATTGTTTACTGAATCTTCGCTAGCGCATTGATATTAGACATCTGGGATGCAAGAACTCGCGGAAACGCACTCGCAGTATTCACCGTAGCACCGGTAAATATATATGTATGTTCAAGTTCCTTGAGCTCTAACCATTCTTTGCATTCATCTCAGTTCGTGGGCCCTGCTTTGGGACCCACTGTAGCGGGGTTTATATATGTTTCCGGAACATCATGAATGAAGCCTGTCAGCTCTCCGGCTTTTGCAAGGGAATCCAACAGAGTAAGGTGAGCTTCGTACAGCTCCCTCGTTTGAATATTGACAATGCCTCCCAGGAGTTCTACGACGCGTAACAATTCATTTTCGCGTCGCAAGTTAGATACGTTGACCTTCGGTCTTAGCTGCCCTGATGGCTTAGATAAGGATGGGGCTTCTCGTTGCGGATCAGTGGAGATGTACACCTAACATGATTTGAGGGACAAGACGCATCGCGGCTGAATGGAGGAGACATACTGATTCAGAGTTTTCGTGTAGACTAAGCGGCTCCTGTGATGTTTGTGTGGTTGACAAAGCGTCGCGGGTATCTGAAGAATCTGCTCGAGTGAGGTTTCCATTGTCGGGCAATCTCTGATCAGTTTGAATGTTTACAGGCTGAACAACCATATTGACATCCCCGTCGAAATAAGCGGATTGAGTGGACATAACTCCGAGTTGCCTTGATTGGGAAATATCTGGGTCGTCTTCCACTTCCAGGTGATCGCCCTTCTGCGAATTATTTGCCTGCAAATTGCCCCCGTGTAATTGCGGCTCATCCACCATTTGAACATCACCTTGCCGCTCGTGCTCCTCCTCTCCTTCCACACTCTTGCGAGTCGATCTTCTCCTAGGACTATCACGAGCCTTATCAGCATCGCCATCGTCTACATTCGCATTCGCCGCGTAGTTCTTCGACTTCCGCCCTCGTTTTTTCGGCGGAGCTGTATCTACGTCGTCTGATTTATCTCCAGCCTCTGGCTCATCTTCCCCTCCGTTTGATTTGGCTCTCACCTTTGGGGGTCGTCCACGCTTTTTAGGTGCAGGAGCAGTCGAATTATCAACAGGTTTTCTTGGGCGACCGCGTTTTTTCGGTACAAGAGGTTCGACTGGTTTAATGATGGATCACAGATTTTGAGATGAAAATCGCTTTTGATCTTAACAATGTCGTACCTGTAGCCCCAATGTGACTTTCGTCTTCAGCATTTGCAGCGTTCTCGATCTTTCACTTCTTCTGTGGCCTGGGTTCGATAGAGTCTTCCTGATTCGCAGAGGCAGTTCCAGCCGCCTTTCGCTTTCCACGACGAGATGGTTGGACTGAGATTTGAGGATCAATCCCATGATCTTCAGCCTCCGCATTAACTGGCAACTTTCGCTTTAGCCCCTTTCTGACCGCGACACTACTCTCAGCCGACTTTTTACTAGCTTTTGCCAACTTTACCGGGTCATCATCCTTGAAAGAATCTTGATATTGATGTAACTCTTCATCGTCTCGATAAAATCCTCCCGGATCGATACTCAGGAACCCACCGATGTCACTGAGGTCGACGTCACTATATCCAGCAGTGGACTTATCAAGATTTTCTCTTTCAACGAGAGTACGATAGGCTGAGATAGTAAGGTATCGGTGGCGTCTTTCTCTGCCGCTAGTTTCGAGTAGAGCGGCGACACCCAGATCGCCAAGGTGCGCGGGGGCTGGAAGCGTTCGGCGCGGGTGAGGATGAGTTCGATAGTTCTTCGGTCGAACTGGCATAACGAGGTGCTTAATTCCTATGAAAGGGTTTATCATTGTTATGTGACACAACTGGGCTGAACTCACGGTTAAAGTCATTCCCGTAGTTCCGGCCTCCTCCAGCATATCGCTGATTTGCTTGTGCACAGAAACGTTTAGCTTGAATCCTCCTTGAACTAGGGAAGAGTTAGATGCATCCAATGTAAAAAGTAAACGAAAGCTCGCCATGATCATCCTCAATTTGATCCTCGTCACCTTCCGTAGGGGGTACAACGACTATCCCATCTCCTCCTGCATTCTCGTTCACCAAGCGAAGACACAACACGCTTGCTACTTTCGTCTTTTTCTTCTTGTTTGGGACAAGTACTTTTTCTACAACGCCTTGCTGAATCAACTCTTGTACTCGCCTGTGGAAAAAGCGTCTGTCTGTTTTGGCGGGATGTGCAAAGCCCTGTTTAAGATTTTAAGAGTTATCAGTAGAGCACACAAGACTCCGAGAGATATGTAGCGTACGAGAATGACTATCATATTGTTCGACACATGCATGTTATTTGTGGAAGCCTTCAAAAGCTTCACAATTCGTCCGCGAACCAGAGGCAGACTGGAAAGATGTCGAGAATCGATAGGAGTAAAACCTAGGGGAAAAACATTCGTAGTCTCCTCGTCTTCTTGTTCTTCAACAGTCGGCACGTCTGTGTTCCGAGAAATGACTTCAGCTCGAACTTCCTCATCTCGAATGGCTTTCCACGAAGGGCTCCGGTCGAAGAAATAACGATGGATGACGAAATGTGTTCCTACACCACCTCGTCTGACCTTGACTCTGCAAGGAATTTAGCTAAGCAAGAAAGATCAGGACGATGAAACTTACACAAGGTTCAAATCAGTGAGCTGCTTGACCAGATAGAAGCAAGTCTTTTGGTCGTATTTGGTCCTTTGCCCGAATTGTACCACCGTAACGCCATCGACTCTGCCTCGAGTGATAATCCGAAGTGCACTATAGACCATAGGACTCATTTTCGGAAACTATGGAGAAAGCGAATCAATATACTAATAAAGCTACGATTGCCAAAAACATACCCTGATATGGGTCCCAGTAATCGCAGCATAAATTGAATCGCGGTCCGCGGCTATTCTTAAGGTACTTCCATATTCTCTCTGCAACTCCGCCAAAGGTATTGATTTCGCATCAGGAAAAAGGTTTAAGACGAGGGGCTCGGTGAGCATGTGTTCTTCCCCTTTGGCATTGGCCTTCCTCTTCGCACTGACTTGGGGTGCGATCCAGACTTCGGATGTGATAGTAGGCGGAAGAGTGCCGACCAGAACTGTCGGTTGCTGGACGACAAGGGACCATACAAGCACAGAATGCATCGTCGACTTTCTGATCCGAGCCAGAATGGGAGTAAAAGTCCTTGATAAAATCTGAGAGCCGAGAGACGTCGCAGTCTGTGGAAGAAACATTAATGCAAAGATTTTTTGCTATGAAGGAGAAAAGACATGTAGTGGGTTCGAACCCTCCTCATCGTACACCATTGTATATATGTATTTTCTTCCCCGCGCCATCACATGATAAAGGATACTCACCAAGGTCACCATCGAAGGCTAATTCACGGAGACAGTGATGCAAAAGTTCGTCCATGAGTCGAAAGTTTTGCGTCTCCTTAATTCGATAATTCGGATATCAAAAGGCCACTACTTTATTGATTCGGAAAGGATACGTAGCAGAAGGAAAAGAATATAGAACAAATCGGGTGCGATGGACAGTTAAGAACTGGCCGCGGCGGTGGTGGAGTACAAGTCAAAAATTAATCGAGAGATAATCGGAATCGTGCGGATTAAAATATTGACGGCTTTACGGTTGCCCGGATAGTTCATGGTCTAAATCGGACCGGATCATTTTTCGATTTGCGAGGAAGACATCGAAAATTTATTACTGTCTACTACTCCCATCATTTAGGATATCGAAAAGCAAATGGAAGAGGAGGATCCTAGCAACTATCCGGGCAGCTCTGTGTCAAGACATCATGATCGTAATCCCATTGGCAGAAATCAATGGGGACCAACCGGTATGTAAATTTTATAGCCTCTATCGTTCTCTACTAAGATCCAGTCATCATGGTCATTGGACAAATCAGGTGTGACTCGGCGCTTGTTTTCGTTCTGTTATACGCATCACATTCGAATCGGAAAATCATGAATCAACCGTTCACAATTGCAATTCGCTTCCAATCTCCAAAAATCCCATTTAAAGACGGCCGCCTACGAATATATCCGTATCCGGGAAAATGTTGCTTTGGAATCCTGCTGAGGAAATGAGAATATTCATCATCTTTCGATTTAAGCTCATGAAGCTAGTGCTCCCGCATATTGGCCCTGCATCAACGTCTGTTTATCCTTGTCTGTTCGGCATCCGAGTCGTACATTGAACGCTATGAGTTTCTGTGAAGATTGTATCAAAGGTGCGTAGCTGCAATATCAAAAATGGCAAACCTTTTTTAATTCAACCAAGGGGTCAAACACGACGGAACTCCCGAAGGGAAGTGGGAAACTATCAACGGAGTTGAATGCTACGTTGGCACTCCCAGTGGTGAATAGCAGAAAGACAAAGTTCTTCTCTAACTCAGCGACATATTCGGACCACAGCTCCCGAATGCTCAGGTACGCCCACTGATTTTCAGTAATGTCTTGTATACTAATCCGTCTATACAGCTTTTGGTGGATGGTTTTGCAAAGAACGGTTTCAAAGTACGTCTGTCCTTTATCGATCACACCCGCCTTCCAACCGACTAATTTTACCACAGACAGTGGCCCCCGATTTCTTTGAGAAAGATAGAGTGCCTTTCGATCCATTCGACTCTGAGGTGCGTGAAGATTTGTGCTGCGCTTCATATGTCCTTGTCCAACATCATCATCTCGATTTTCATAGGAAAAACGACAACCCTTTGACCTCCAAATCTGGTTTAGTCGCCACGGACCCCCATTGCGCGCCCTCTCCTTGACAAGGTCATTGCCGCGCTCAAGGGACAAGGTGTAACAGCGTTCGCTGCGACTGGGTATTGTTATGGAGGTATGCCAACTTTGATCCCCTTCATTGTATTCTATCTCGAACGGTTCATAGGCAGACTTGTCTTCGATTTAGCGTTTGAGAATATCACTTCTGCGTCTATCGCGAACCACCCATCGCATTTGAAGTCTCCGGATGATCTGGAGGTATGTACTTAATCGGTCTCACCGATTGACTAATACTCAACCAACTCCCAGAAATATTTCTCCACCTCCCACGTTCCACTGCTTCTCAATACTTGCACCGTCAACGAACAGTTCCCTCTACCCGCCCAATCCCAAGCCGATGTCCTATTCGGTGAAGGTAAATTCACTCCTGGATACAAACGCGAGTATTTCGATGGCTGCACACATGGATTTGCTGTGAGAGGAGATCTGAGCATTCCCCAGGTGAAAGCGGGGAAGGAAGGAGCATTCAAGGCTGTGGAGTGGCTGTATAAATATGGATTCGGACCAGAGGGGAAGGCATCGAAGTAAGCAAATTGGCTCTAGTCGCTAAACATTGTATGTAGAATGATTAAATCTTGATCAGCACCTATGGTCCCAATCCTGGTCGTCAATGGACAATGTTATCGAAAATTTAATTCATTATCATTTACACAGTGCTATATTGACCTCATCATTGAGCAGGATTTTCGACTTTTGACGATAGATATCATATGTAGAACCGGTAGGCAGATTCATTATCACGACACGATTCATCCTGGCGTTTTCTAACATAGGGGATCCACCGACCAGTTGTCAACATTTTGTTTTTTGACCCTTCAGATTGAGGACGTCGTAGTTGTGTCATCTCAGCAGGCGAAAATTTGTCCAACCAACTGTACTGAGGCTCAGACTCGTCCGACGAGGGGATATCATCGCTAAAGCTCTCAAGCAAAGTTATGTTGGTTTCCCGTTCCAAATCAATGATGTTGATTTGCACTCTCGTCAGACGAGAAGAGACTTCCTCCCTTGCCATCCGAGTGCAATTGGGTTCGTACCTGGAGGCGATTCATTTTTTCTGCCAGAAGTCGAGATTCAAGGACATTAAGGAGTAATTTGGGTTCCAGATGAACGTCTCGTTCAAATTTTCCGAATTGAAGGCATTCGAGATAAGGTAAAGGGCCTTTTTGTTCTTCCTGAAAATAAGTTGATGCAGAAAGTTTATAGAGAGTATTTTTCCCCAGTGATAGTCAAAAGGAAGAGTAGAGCTGAAGCTGCTGATAATGGAGGAAAAATCTTTCTTCGTGAGAGAGTCTACGCGAATCAAGGACAAGTGAGTCAGAGGACATTGACTGCGTTCGAGGATAGGATAGGACGTTCGAGGATAGGATAGGATGTCGAGTAAATCAACCAGTAGTGGCTCAAGATCGACACGACGAGCGCTAAATCCACCAGAAAATTTAAGGCACAATTTGGAGAGGGAAGGTACAATGAGTAGCGATAACACCTGGCTACACCGCTGCACCGTTCTTTTCTAGGATTTCATTAGATCCGTTTCAAAAATTTCTGATAGATCATATTTCAATGATTTTGTCGTATTCTTGCAAATATTTGTAGAATCATTGAGTTTTGAAAATTTTCCATGGATGTTCTGACAGAACGAAGAATCTTTGACTTTTTTTTTCAAAAATCTAATGAAAGCCTTATTTTTGAAAAACCCTTCCTGCTTGCTGGCAGTTCTCAGACCAGGCAGAAAATAAAATTTTGTTCAAGTCCGTCGAACAAGTGGTCAGATGACATCGACTTACAAATTCCCATGCAGTGAAAAAATTTTCATTCCTTCCTTTTTCTCCTGCCACGACGATGCCAGTCCACTTGCACAGCTCTCCCTGGTTTGTCAAGGCCTCAAGATCAGCTTTAAGCTCTCAATTTCGGCCTCAAGGCTCTAATCTCAACCTCAATACTTCAGCATCAACTTCAAGGCCTCACCAACTTCAAGGACTCAACATCAACTTCAAAATTTTACTTTTCCTCTTACATCGCTGCGAATCGATATTATTATATTCTTCAAGTCAAGGATTGTCTGGCATGTCTGTGGGTGCCTACTACCTCTCAAATGTCGACACACTCTCTAACATCAGTCTGATATTCATGTAGGTAGTGTAGATCCTAGTGTAGTATCTAGATATTGCGCAATAAAATTTTTGTTTGTTGGAAAAAAGGATGAACCGGTTTGAGCCGGTTGAATTGAAAAGAAATAATCCCCAATTTTCAGTAGTGTGCGGGTTCATATGTGCCGTCGTTTTATTCAAATATTTTGAAAGGCTGTGGATAGATTGTTGAAAGTGCTCACTTTTGAAAATTCAGGCCAAATGTGTGCCTGCTCGTTCTTGGAAAAATTCCATAATACATTAAAAGATTTTCAAAAGAAAAACTGATAAAATTCTTTCAAAGAACCGTGCCGCAGTGTACGAACCAAGACTTTTCTCTCGGGAAAGACGGTGAAGTCACGTCCGGGATGACATAAATATCTTAAGCGACGTCAAGTATCAAAGTATGTATCACCTTGCTTGCAATGGTCATTGAACATGCATAACCTCGAGCGCCCGTGCAAAATTTCCTTTTAAAGTTGTCCTTATAGGGCAAAAGGGATCCGGATGCAGCCCTTTTACTTTCCCTTCATCTAGCAGACTCCGACTCCACCCCTGCACTTTACCAGCTCACAACAAATTTCCTCACCTGGCTCACCATAATCCATCATCCCTAAGCTTTTCTGCTTGCTGTTTCACACCGAATTCCCTCACCGTAGCAGTGAACAGACGCAAGCAAGGTGTGTGTCCCCAACGGGGTACGTTAATGTATATTGCCCAAAAATTTCACTCGAAAAAAATTGTAATTGAGTTGGACTTTTGTTTCTCAATTTTTCGTTTTTTCGTTCCGTCTTCGTTTTTGAACGCGGTATGGCTGCAACCGTGCTCCATTCGTTTATCCAATGCTCACTTTTTAATGCTCCTTTTATTCCCAGTGTTTCGTTATCATCCTCCCAGTTTGTCTCCTCCAAAGCTATGGCTGCATTCCCTTCCCTCGACACCCTGTCTACTCTGCGAAATGCGCCCTCTCTGCCTGATACTGTGAGCTTCCCACCTTTCTTCGTCGTTTTACTTGTCTAATATATACAAGGCTAATCGCAGAACCGTCTATTTTTACTACGTACATCCCGACTTTCCCTTTCCACTCCGCCAACCTCTGTCGTTTGAGCTCTCTCCACAAGTTGCGCACCACCCTCGGCCTTGGATCTCTTCATTCCTAATCGCGATTCAGCAAAGTGCATACCAGCCTGCAGGAGTCATTGCTCCTACACTTGCTTGCCTTGCTGTCGACGAGGTTGGCCGCAATACAGAGATCATCATGCTCTCGATGCATCAAGGTCCGCCATATGCCATCAGTCAGTGCAATAATGCTTCTACATGTACACGCACTACGGAGACCTGTTACTCCATCACCCATGCTTTTGGGATTGCAATTGATAGTGAAGGCCACCTTCGTGACGTAGATGCGGGGGACCAATGGGTCCTATGGAATTGGTTTCGCTAGTTCGCTTTTTCAAAACTAGATTTAATGTGTCTTAATTTTCATCGGTCCTTTCTAGCAAAGCGTGCTTACACCCTATTACCTCGCACCAACAATACGATCCTCGCATCTAGGTAGTTGAATCTCGTGTCATTATGTTTTCCGTACGCTCGTTTCATAAATTCCATGGCTTTGCAGATTTATGTGTATATAAAATTGTGTTCTTCGTTACTCTCAAATGATATAACTGTCCGATGTTCCACGTTCTAACACTACAAGTGAATCGGATATTGTTCGTGTGCACCGTATCATTCAATGTTGAATCTTTACCACCATTTGGCCTTACTATTTTCATTTCCCAAATATCCATCCTCATTTGTTCACTTCTCACCCAACAATCATGTCGGTCAAACGAGGAATAACACTATATTCTGCTCCTACACCAGCGCGAGCTGATCAGGGGAGTAATCTTAAAACCCACTGAGCGCCTTGAAGGATGTCTCGGAGTAAAGGAAGAATTGTTTTGAAGATCGCATCCTAAATGTAATCTGTACGGAGAGGAATACGAAGATGAATATCTGTAGGTACTCATATCAAATATGAAAGGTTGATAATTTATAAACACCTTGAAGGGTATACTATGCACTCATAAGTTGGAGCATCAGCGTGTCGCTGATTCTAACTGCACCATCCACTTTGACACCACATTATCATGGGCAGGTTGAAACAACGGAAGATGCAATTCAGCTAATATAGATTATAGACCAAGGTGACGCTATAGTCCTCCAAGCATCTGTTCAACTACCATCTGCATCTTCTTTCTTGCTCTCTTCAGCAAAACGCGTGATGGCATCTTTATTGCTTGATATAGTACGTGTGAGGTTTTGGCGATTCCCAGAGGTTCACCGACAACGGTGAGAGAGGACGACTGTGCTTGGGTGGTTGTTGATGGAGTATGTGAGCGATGGAGCGGACCAAGCGGCTCGGGAATTGCACTGTTCCAGCCGTTCGCAATCTGCTGCGCTGGAGACAGACCATCACAAGAATCAGCGACACCTGGTCGAGCTGCAACGATTCCATGGTCAAGGGAATCAGCGCTCCAGACTGAGCCTACTTCGACGGACAAGAGGGAAACAACCATCCCTTCCTGAGGCTCTGCCTGCATTGCGCCACTGGAACTTCCAGTACCTCCGCTAAACTCTAATGCCTGAAGACCATGTTCTTGGAGGCGCCGATTGAAAGCGTCAGGGCTGCTGCCAGCGCCACCAGAGTCACCTGAGTTTCCATTTCCACCATTACCCCGTTTGGGACCGCCGGCTTTGTCTCTCTCATTACAGGCTGCCAACCAAGCCTTGCCTCGCTCACCATGATAAAGTGTCAGGAGATCCTGAATGGACTCGTATATATTCTTGACCTCAGTAACAATGTTAGAGGCTTCTATATCCCGAATCGGCAATTTTCGAAGAGCTGTAATGAGCATCTCTGAAGGTAAACAAGATAGCCCATCGGTGCCACGAAGACCTTGGTGAGTGGCCCAGACATGCAGGGAGCGGAAAGCATTCAGCAGCAGAGCAAATGGAGAGGTGTGCGTGAAGAGGAATCCTGGATAAGCAAGGTCTTCCTGAACTTCAGTGATTGCGGAGGGATGTGGAATCAGAATGCATTTAAAGATGCTTCCGTCTGTCTGAGGGACGCCTTTAGTCACGGCACAGCACAGGTAGAAGAATACTCACAAATTTGTCGAAACCTGGAAGAGTTCCGTTTCTCATCTCCACCCACATACTCTGTCTCTCTTTGCCACGCCTCGTTCGTCTCCCTACTACGGCTTCAAAATAAAGAACCATCGCTTTGAGCAGTTCAAGATGGGGAAGAATGATAAAAAGGTGATCGTCGAAAGCCGAGTGAAGATTATTGCGCACTGTATACAAAGATATGAAACGAAAGATATCATATATCGGATCAAAGCTTACGAGGTATAAGAAACAGTCTGCTGTGAATACACAATGAACGAAATGGCATTCCAAGGATAAATTCATAGAAGGTGAGCTAGGATAGGTCAGGAAAAAAGGGAAAAAAAGGAAAAGATTGAACAGACTCACGATATGGTCTGTTGTCTTTGTTGCATTGGGCAAAAGGACATGAGCAAGCTGGATGAGGAGATTGGCGTAGGGCGTGGTATGGCTGATATGACAATGAAGTAATCCGACGTGTATCAACCAACCCAGAAGCCATGACTTGGCAACGTTTGATCTCCCTTTCTGTCGTTTGCTAGGAGTGGAGTATACGCTGATTGAATCGCTGTTGATGTTGCCGTGAGCTTGATAAATTGAACTCAATTCGCGCTCATCCTCTCCATCTCCCTCATCCAAAGTCAATTCCTCGGCCATTTTCTCTAAGTTATTCTCTGGTGCCCGTTGAAAGTACCCAACAAGCTTTATTGCGTCTGATTGAGATTGACATCTTTGCACTCCTTCGGCATTGAACGATACAGGGAATTTACAACTGAGCGCTGGCGAAAGATTGTCTTCGAGTTTTCGTAAAGTCAAGTCGCGTCTATTTGCTTGCTGCTGGGCAGCGACAATACGGTCCATTGGAAAGGTCGTTTGAGTTGTGAGGCAATTTGATTTGTCGGCATGGTCCGGACTTGACCATTTTGGTTCACCGTTCAGGCACCAAATTACTGAGATTCGGGGTGAACGAACGAGAGATGACATACAGCAGTCACCAGTCACTGATCATGTCACTGATCGTCACTGTGACTGGCTACGTCTCTTTCTCGGTCGTAAGCTTTACTTCCAACACCCATCGATCCTATGTAAATACGTCTCTGAGTTTTTCGGAAAATCGAAGTTAATGACGACGTTCACAGCCTAAGTAGATAATCTGGCATGTAACGGACTGTAACGGAGTGTCACGCGTTACTGGTTACTTAGCGCCTGATTTAGCGCTTCGTTCGGACTTTACCTATGCCTGCTCGTACTTATGCTTACCTATGCTAGATTATGCAGTATGAATATGCTACCATATATGGAACGCTGACTCTTGTAGGGTATATAAGGATACTCGATTGTACTATGTACCCTAGGTTATCCAGAAAACTCCCCAGTTACAACAGTTCTCTCGACGACCTACCCTCAGTCCCCATCTCTCTCTCATGTGGTGTTACTGTGATTCGTCACGCTACCGCTACAATGCACTAGCCAAGTAAAGGGTATAGTGCAAGTCGAACAGCAGGGGTTAATCAAAGTGCCCTGTGACCATGGCTTTTTGAATTTATTGTGGCAGATTGGCCTCACTTGCGAGATCGCCGCAGGCAGTATGAGTTAGCATCATACGATGGGATGAAAGTGATGATAATCGAACCGTCTGATCTGATAACTCAGCATTTAGTGCCGCCGTGCGGTTCCCGACTCCGAAAAGTTTTGCTATCTCTTAAATATTAATTTTCATGACCATTTTGTAGAAAGTGAAGAAGTACATCTCTTTGATATATCCTGTTGACAAAATGGCGTTATCATCTGAAGTTCGATATATATAACATGTGCGAAGCCTGGCCCTCAGTAGTGAAGGTGGTTATGTGGATTTTGAATGTCGCAGCCATAAACTTTCCTCATCATCGCATTGCATCGCGAACGTTGCAAATGGGAAATCCCTGGCCTGCACAGCGGCTGGGTTTCTGCTGATGACAACCGTGTTGTAAGACGAACGGCTACCGTTTAGGAGTTCTGCAGATACTGGCGAAGGGTGTTGTTCGGATAAAGACTCTAGAAATAGCTGGGAAAGAAACGGGGGTGGCGAGAAACGCTTCATCAGAATCAAATCCATTGTGTCGATAGGTATAGAGTCGGGGATTGAAAGCCATAATCGTGTGACATTATTAGCAGTACTGAAATCCAGGCGATTCATTACCAGACACTTCGGAGTGAGTATCAGGTGAAGACGTTGAACGGCCGGGAAGAAATTGGGCCCGAGATGAACGTACGTGTAGCCGTCGATAGTTAAATTCTGTACGCGCGAAAGGTTGAGAGTGGATAGCGCTACTATGGTAGTCGGATATCGGATGGCGATCGATAATGTACAGGGTGTACATCGCGAAAGTATTTCTGTAACGCCTTTGAGAGCATTAGATTGGACTGGAGTGGTACGAGTAGATATGGCAAGCTCCAGTCGCAGAGATTGTATCGTTGGTCCAATAGCACGGTTTGAGCGAAGAAAATCGCAGAATCTGCTAATAGTGCGAGGTTTTAGGAGTGCAAGCTTTTGGTAAATGATCGGAGTCAAGCTAACAATAGAAAATAGTAGTTCATAGATAATTCAGGGAAAAAGTGAAATAGTTGCATACATTTGCTTGAATAGTTTTGAAACAAGACTTAGCTGGAATACTAGACGATATTTTTGATTGACAGATAAATCCTTTCTGTCGTGGATAGAGGTGTGCATCAACAAGAGCAGCTCTCGTTTGAGTTCCGCGGGTACATCGGAAAATCCTGCCGGATCAGTATTAGAAGTTGCTGAAAAGGTGAAGGCCCGAAACATACGAAAAGCGGTTGGAATGGGCGTTTTGGAAGTTGGATTCCTCGTTTTTTGTTTCTTTTTGTGCCGCATAATGGACAGATGGTGGAGGTTTAAGTTCAAGGCGGTGTTTAATACGTAATACTGCAGCCCACTTTGATGACGTAGATCGTCACTTTCTTTCCCCCATCTGCACCTGCTTTGCTTCGTTTTCAATACGATTCATCATTATTGGGGAGTCCCGATACTTTCATACATGTTTCACGCTTCTGAAACGCCTACATATATAGTCCTTTTTGTGCTCGTTCTTTTAGGGTCAAAATGTTATCTTCGCCCCCGCCCCCGCCTACAAGGATGATGAAGGCGAACCGATTATGTTTCTTATCCCAGGGCTCACTTGCATTGCCTCGTTTATAGGAACTCAATAGGGTTGGGGACGAAGCTGGGATCTTCCAGTGCCCGTCGCGTGAGGTTGAAAGATTGAAAGAGTAAATTTGGGTACATTTTGAAGGTACATGGCTCACAGAGGCATAACACGGTCATTCTATTCCGCGCTATTATTGAACTTCCATGTAGTATTTTTCTTGTCGTTCATGTATTCCCTGTCTGCCTTTCTTCCTCTCTCCCTCGAAATCATCCCCTCAACAAACATACTCAAACGTCTCCCCAAGCATCGGATCAAACGGCTTCACAATCCTCCCGATTGTCGAACGATATTCGACATTGCAAACGCAGCGATGTAAACTATCCGGAGGCGCGGGGAGGGAGTTGAGGAGGCGATGTCCACTGAAGAGAAGGGAGCAAAAAAGAAGATCATAGAACAGTGAGCTAAAGAGTTCTTAGAAGGAAGTGTTGTTTATACTCACAACACTCTGAAAACTCCATATCCACAGCCATCCTCAGCAACATATTCGTCGGCTCGTTGAAATAGACAGGGAACGAGATCTTTGTGAGGTCTTTTCCGATACTATTTTTGAGCGCGGACCAAGGGGAGGTTGCAGGTCGTTCGGCACGGATAGGGAGAGAAGCGCAGAGGTAGGCGTAAGGGGAGTAGGAGGCAAAAGGAGATGAGGCAAGAGTAGAAGTGACAGAGGAGGTAAATACATCGGATGGATCTGGGACGGTAAGAGGGGTAGAGGTAGATATCGAGGAACTTGGAGTCGCCGTCGCCGTCGCATACGCAGCCGTAGTCTTCTCTATCACCCTCACTTGCGGTGGATAAAGCCCCTGGCGAAACGGAAGGATCTAGATAGTATCCCAACGCAGTCGGGGTTTTCAGCTCATCTTCTCCTACCAAGGCACCGCCAGTATTGGGCTCGTTGGGCCACTCCCGAGGACCTTACTCCCCCTCTTCAAACTATTGAAATTCCTACTCGTTCTTTTCAATTGCCTCTCCAAGCCCACCTCCTCCTCCAAAACCACTTTCATACTCTCCTCCCACGCCTTTTGTGTGCGTTTCGCTTGATTCACCGTGACTTCCAATTTTTTCTGAGCTGTCTCAGAAGCACGAAGCGATTCTTTGGTGGCGCGGAGGGATTTCTTGGTGGTACGGAGGGATTTGCGTGTTCGAGATAAAGAAGAACGCGTGCCGGAAAGACGGTGTTTGGTGGATGTGAGGTTGGTTAGGAGGTGGGATTCGCGAGAGGCGGTCATGGAGATGTAGGTTGATATTAGATTTTTCAAGTTGGAGGGATGAGAAGGACAGCTGAGTCGTCATAATTTCAATCTGGTCGAAAATGAGCCTGGCTTGTTGGGTATAGGTATCTGAGTACGGGAGTGGCAAAGATACCCCGTCGTCGTCCTCATCGTTGTCATTATCTCCATCGTGTTCCTCGTCATACTCGATGTCCTCCTCCATCCCCTCGGGATCCTCATCCTCCTCATCATCAGAATACCCAAATCTCGAATTTGCCTTCCTGGAAGCTCTCGAAGTCCTTGACATTCCCAACATTCGGGACTCGGCCTCGCTGTGTAAACCGTGCAAATTTTTATGCAAGCTCTCCACGTCTGAAGGCGGGTTAACGAGGTCCATACTGGATTTGTTATCGGCAAAATTTGCCTTGCGTTTCTTCCGTATGGTAGATAGCCCACCGATGAGGCTGTTTGAAATACTGCTGGAAATACTCGCCACCACGACCACTCTGACACCACGCATAATTTCTCCGGATTTTCCCATCCTCGCCGCTACCCTGATTTCCTTCCTCAACACCTTGGCAGCTCGAAGTGTTCCTACTGTGCTCATACTTTGAACACTATGAAACGCCAACCCGACCCGAGTTTCGGCAGCTGGTAGACATATGATGATTGATTTCGGTTCGGAATGAGGGACGTGTGGGTTACGAAGAAGAGGAAGGAGGGACTGGATAATGTGAAGGGACGTGAGCTGGGTTTGGGTTATGTAAGGGAGGTATGTGTCGACAAGAGATATGTGTTCAAATGGAGCAGAGGGGTGAAGAGAAGTAGGTGGTAGAGTGAGTAGGGAAATGATAGAATGAATATAAGGATGAGAAGAAGGAGGAGCATAAGGGTCACCAGCAGCGTTGATTGGGAAGTGACGGGATAAAGTTGCACGCAATGAGCGAAGGAAAACCGGGACAGTATTGATGTGAGCCGGATCGAGAACCGGTGCACGTACAAATCCATGGGATTTTCGTTCTAGGTCTTCGACATTCTCAGTCGAAGATACACTTGTATTCACGATATATACTTTGGCTTCGAGATTAAGGATGAGCGGGAGTCCATAGGGTGAGTCACCTCCGAGGACGACGACGACTTGACGACAGCTATGACTGTGCTCTGGTCGACTTCGGGATCTCCTTCCAGCTCTAAGGTAGCGATAGCCAGCCAGCAGCCCTGTCCCAACACCCAAGCCTACAACAACAATACCACCAACAATCCACGGATGATTCTCCACCCAATCCCTAGACTTTTCTTCCCAGCTCATTGGTGGCGACGGAGGAGGCGGTGGTAGAATTTCGAAATCAACTAGTCCAGGAATTCGCTTTCGTACGCTCATTGTAGCGTCGTTGATAGAAGCTGGTATTGTTGGCCCATATCGTGCGATACCGAGCCATAATTGATTAATGCTCTCGCGGATTCCAGGGGTAGGAGCTGTGGCGGTGAAAGAGGCAAAGACATATTCTTCCAACGCATCGAGGTATTCTCCGGGTTTTTCTATCGTTGTCTTCAATATTGAGGTCGTTCTTAATCAAGGTGTACGTAGAGAAGAAGAAGCGAAAAAGACCGGGCCGATTTACTCTACGCGCTAATTGTCACGCGAGCGCTTAGTGTGGCAAGTCTTCACATCGCGTCCTCTCACAAATCTGTCTGCCAACAACTGTGCAGATACAATATCACTCAGATCTATTCCATGCCTATCTAAGTCTTCTCCCTCCTAGCTGGATGCTACTAGCGGTACCCGGGGGAAGAAGAATTGTCGAAGGATCAATTCAGCGATTGGGTCGAAAATGAGCATATACTTGAGGAAAAGGTGAAAACGGAAGGAGGAGAAAGGAGGCCAATGTGCCTACATATCTATTGAATACGAGTTCTATGAATTTGGCTGCTCCAATGGACTCTAGGTTTCCATCCGCTGATATCTATGCAACACCTCTCGAGTGTCATTGACGTCGTTGATCCACATCCACACCCACACCCACATCCGTCATGGCCTGCCTAAAGACCCAGGGACTCTACTTAAGTGTTTGTTCATCAGAAACTTGCACATTTTATACTAGCAAAAAAGAAAAAACACGTCAACTTCATGAAAATGTATTGGAACCGGCGGCGGATTTACTGCATACATAGTAAGTAATAGGGAAAGAGTAAATGTACTTACCAATTTCTCCTCCTCGATTATTTCTCTCATTACTATATACGTATCGGGGGGCCCATAGTCAACAAGCTCCAATTCTGCCATGGTGCCATCGATAATAGTCACAAGCGCATTATTCAGGTTGTTGTCACTAGAAGGATTTGATCAGAATTTCTACATTACTAGTAACCGGTAAGCTGAAGATGGGGTTGTCAAATAGTAAAAAAAAAGCAAAAGTCGGCAGGAAATATTCCCTGGCGGCGGTCGCAGAGGTGTGAGCTCTGGGTTGTCAACTATTGTTCGGAAGGGTGGAGGACGAGGTGAAAGTAATACTGATAGTAACCCAAAAACGCAGTGGTGGAAGGAGTTTGGGAATGCTGGGTCGAGTGGGTCGAAGAATTCTCTACGGCTTTGAACACTGAACGTACTGAACAGCCGCATGTATCGTATGTCACTCTCGGAATTTGGCCTTCAAGAACGCTTACTGTACGTTTGCACGGAGCTATGACTAGGATTGTCTACTCTCTATCTCTGAGGCCCACATTACTGTTGACTCATGCTATATACTTGCCAATCAATGCTCTGTGCTAATTCCGTGAATTACACAGTTTTATGCATAGGATATGGAGTATGATTTAATCTATGGTCCCGGGACTGCATTATCAATTGTCAGGAAATTTCTCGAACGCCTCCATTGATTTCATCGCAGCCAAGGTGACTAGATTGACTTGGCGCCTAGCTGAACATTCACTATAGACAACAACCTACCAACAAGAAGATGGATATCACCTTGTGAAAACTATCAACGTACTGAAATGGTAGGCGCATGCATAATTTCGACTCTTCATCTCTTCCTGCAGCATCTTCTTACCTGTTCAAAGAATCTCACCATCACTGACCAGGAGGATTCCGGAGTCACCATTGATGATCATGCCCGTACCATGGATGAATTGCTCGAAAACGACGACAATGTCTTCGAAGAGTTGCCAGTGGAGACCAGGCGAAGACTTTTACGATGGAAGCTTGCTGTATATTTCTTCACCGGAGTCATTTTCTTTCTCCTGGTTATGCTGGTAGTAGTAGGCATACAACCCCGTTCAGGAAAGGAACTCGAAGAACCCGGAAACGATGAGCCAATGTGGGATGACAATAGTGAACACATTGCTGATGATCCTCGATTAGAGGTCGGTTAACCTTTGATCTTCTCTATCCTCCGTGATTTCCTCAAGTGTTTTATAGAAATTTCAAACACCTTCCGACACCACCTTTTGTGCACCATGGCCTTTCTAGGTCAAGTTTGAATCTAGATACAAAAACATCCCAGGTCTCGTTCGACATTCATACGCAAATGGACAGTATAACTAGGTACCCACTGTTGTGGACTTCACACTTTGCTTGGGAACAAAAATATGGCACACCCTATGAGTGCCACGAGCTGAAGGGTCCCATTATAAGCAAGATGGTTGAAGAGGTTTGTGTGAACACACACTATTTACTACGGACATATATGCATATAGTCACACCTGTGAGACATCACACTGTCACACAATATTTGCATCCCATGGAAAACCCTCGACTTTGATCTCCATAGATAGCAGAGTTCCAAAATTTGCACCTTGAGTCCCCCTTCCGGCAACACTACTCTGAGGAAAGCTAGTTAATGTTCAGTCTCAAGAATGAAGGAGTGGGTATGCTGCGTTGCATAAGTGAGTGATCACTCCGTTCCCTTTCCAAGAAAGAGCTAGATGGGGAAGTTACTTTTATCGCTCGGATCACCATGCGTGGGGGTAGTTTTCACTAGCCATGGTATCTCCATACATTCTCTTTCCAGCTCATCCCCATTTCCCTCCCGTGCTCCCTTTTCGATGGCATGCATTTCTACCACTCGGAGTAGATAAACAGAGAGTTCTTCGACTTTCTGATTGCAATACCGGAGAGCCTTGCGGAGCTCTTCAGTTGAAGCATTTTCGATATCACAGTGCAGTGTTTCAAGTGGGGGAAAAGGGGGCAATGAGATGCAGCAGCATCCGTCTGTACTAGCTGCGGATTCTCTGAGAACCGATGTCTGCTTTGCAACAGCTTTCATTGCAGAGATATCTTGTGTCAAAGGTACCTGAATTCTTGAAGAGCTATTGGTAGAAGAGCGCTCCAGGGATAAGGAGGAGCGATTAGGAGTAATGGTATGTACGTGCTGTCGCAAATCTGATACCGAAAGCAACGATATGTCATTAGTTGACGGGGTGGGAGGAAGTGGAATAGATGGAGGCTTGGATGACACTATTATTCTGGAATTCTTCCATTTCGTCGTATCTCGTATCGGGTTTGAAGAAATCGGTGAGCGAGGCGCAACATTAAAAGCTTGCATAGACACCGTTGACTTTATCGAGGTCATCTCACAGTTGTATTCTGCCTCAGCACCAACTCCCCGCCGCAGCTCCTCCCTAGACGGCAACGCACTGAAAGATGATACCGAAGTCGTACCGACCGCAGATGCATGATCGGGTTCAACTGGTACCTTCGGCCTGGAGCCAAGCAAAGCAATCGAAGTAGGAGAGGCGTTTGAATTTGACATTGTTTCACAGGAGGAAACGTGGCGCAAGCAGGAGCGAGGATATGTTCCCATCGATCCGATGACCGTCGTAGGCTTTACCATATGCCGTGGCTTGGTAAATAGATCATCGTATTCTTTAAAATCAAGCTCGTCGTCACTAGGACGGGTGAGAGTGATAGACGGCGGTGGTTTGACTAGCTCGGAGGTATTCAATTCCATGGATGGAGGTAGAGCCTCTGAGCCTGGATGAATTTGATTGTTCGATGTCGGAAGAAGCACTTCCTCATGGGAGTATTTTCTAGAATGCTGAGATTTTCCCTTGGAGAGGGAAAAGCGTGCAAAAAAATTCAACCTGGTGCGGCTTGCAGCAGTTCTCAGAATTGGGGATGTGGAGGTATGTGAGAGTGAATTACTGTTTCATAGCATGATACATTAGCAGACAATATAACATAACGAAGCGAGAATACCCTCAAGTGGAAAGGAGTATGATAGGGAGTTGCTAATAGAACTCACCGCCGTTGGGGCACCGACCTGAGATTCGGTGTTGATGTAGACCCTCCACTCTCTCTTGCATTATCCGACACTAAGGTGTCAGCATCTGTGTCTGAGCGACCCGACTTCGAATTATTCAGCTTTCCCAAGACCTTTGGAAGTCTTATTTTTGACAGGGAAGTAGAGGAAGTTGAGAAACGACTGATCTCAAATGGAGAATTATCACTACTCGGATTTGGATCGCTGAATGAGCTAGAAGAAATATTTGATAAACTGGACGTTGTCAATTGGACCTTTCCAGGAGAAGATTGCGAGCCAGACATTGGAGTGCAAAGGAAGTTTTGAGTCAAAGATTATGTTGAAGAGATACAATCAATCAACTTTCGGCTTTTAGCAGCGCTATCCATAGAACCTAATTTTCTTGTCATCGGACTCTTCAGTTATTTCCTTAGACTTACATCTTTCCTTTCTTTGAAATACTCTTTCTCCTGTTTGGAACCGTCTCCGCTGTCCATGCTCCAAGCAAGCACATTTTCCACTCTTGGCCTGGATCATCAGAATTCGAAACTCGCTACTTCCAGTCTTTACAATGTGACCAATCTATATCCATCCTCCTATAATCACTTTCATACATACACTGCATTGAAAGGCTGCTTACTGATAGGCCGAAATACGATTACTGTAATATCGTCTATGTACAAGTCTTCGTCGCTAATACTTGAACTGACAGCATTATCTACAGCCATAAGGTGCGATCTGAATTTAGCGGAAATCGTCCTGCGGAGCAATTCATACATAATGTTGAAGGCTGCGTTATTCTGGGGAAGATTTTCAACGCTGAGAGAGATTGATGACATTGAAAGATCTAGACGTTGACCAAGGGGAGCTCCTATGATGTCTACCGCGGTTGGCAATACGTTTAGGGTTCCACTGGTAGCGTCCGGAACACTCTTCTTCAGCGACATCGATAGCCCGTTAGCAAGTGTCTCCAAGCCATCTGTGTAAATGACCACCACAGGATCCACGTCTTTGCTGAACGTCGTTAAATCAACATATTTGACTGACGGGTCTGATATCACATATGGCGGGGTCCGATTATACCTGGGGACAGTTTTAACGGACCTCATGGCAGAAGACGGAAATTTGGAAAAAAGCGCGGTGGTGAAGGAGGTGGGAAATTTGAACATAAAATCCCCAAAGGCTGCGAAAGTGAGGACATGAAGTAAGTATGAAGGAGCAACCGATGAAGATAGAAAATATTTACCCCGAAGTCATGCTGAGAGTCCCAAATATGCGATCTTCTCCGTCGAGCCAGATATTGTCCCTTTCGTGGGACGGATGCGCCATGGAGACACGATGATACTCCTGTGGTGTTCGCCCTGTATGTTGATCATTCACAAGAACTGTCATCCGTTTGCAACCGGTAGACGCTTTGGTAGATAGAACTGCCAAACATATATAATATTATATAAAAAAGAGGTCGTATGAACTTGGACGCACCGACAGAAGAATCTCCAACACAGCACACCCACATCTTGTTTTCCGTTTTATCTATCAAAATACCGGCCATCGTGGATCCGCATCTAGCACGAGCAATGACCTCCTTGTGGGCTTCATAGAGCGCATAAGCTTCCTCGTCGTCGCTGATATTTTCGGGGTGCGGACATATCGTCTTGACAGTATGACCCAACTCTTCGTCGAACCATCGAACTTCACGTTTCAGAAACGCTGATACGTTCTTCGCCGTGAGTGGAACAGCCGATGATTGTGAGGTTGACGAAGGCGGAGGTATTCCTGACTCTGGGGAGGATGAGAAAGAGCGCTTCATGGATCTTCTAAGATTTGAGGGGAAGTGTTTCGCGAGGTACTCTGCCGTCGTTGAGCCACCATGTCCTATAAAATCCGTCCTTGAGCTGCTGGGTTTCAGACAGGCGGCGTATAGTTTGCCGTCGGGGGCTGCAGGAAATTGCCAGACATGATCATTGAGTCTCCAGTCTTCTAATATCGCGAAGCGGTCCTCGTTTGGCGTTCTACGGAATTGTGCACAATCAGTGCTCGTGTCGTTTGTGACAGAACATTTGTTGAGGAAAGAACGCCCTAAATGTTCCGTACTGGCGTCGAGATCGTCTAGAGAGGAGGCAGTAAACATCAACAGGGCAATATCAAAGATTCAAGAGTAAGAGAAAGGAAGAGAAGAAGAATCGAGATGACACTCATAATTCCGGCAACGTCTCGGAGCCTCCGGCATCCGAAAGTCTCTATGTACGCTGCGTCGTCATCCGCAACGCGCGTGTTTCGCGAATGAGCATTTCTCAAACAGAATCCGTTGAACATGGCAGCATCACATAGACGTTGCACAACGAGGCTGTTGCGCGACACGATGATGATAACGATTGCAATACTTGATATACAAAATCATGTATCTGTGTACATTCAATGATCGCAATGCTAATGTGATGGCAAAGCAAGGGCACTTACTTATAACCAGGTCCGAGCTAAGCCTGACACGTCCAACGGCTAGATTATTTTGGAGTAAAACCATATTTCTTCCTTGCCTTATTCACAATCAACCCAGGCCAAATCCAGTAGAGTAAGTGCCCTATTCTCATCGTACGAAGTATGAAAACGACCTTCTCCGAATGATCCACTGCTTGTATACACTGCTTAGCGACATAATAGGATTTGAGTCCGGATGTGCTATTGGGATTTGAAGTTGTTCCAACGGTAACCTGTGCGGGCTGGCTGTTCGACTGATCCACGGAAGAGGCACGGAAATCCCCCGCTACAGTGCTCGGCAACACAAGCGAGAAACATATAGAGGGGTGTTCAATTGCCAGTGCCTGATAGAGCAGGAGAGATGCACTCTTAGTTGATCCGTACAAGGTGCGCGCAGGGGCTGGAATTACAGCGCCCAGAGATGAAATGAGCAGTACGGAAGGTGATTTGGATGTTCGTTTGAGGATGGGAATCTGTACTTAGCCATCAATAGGATGAAGATTGATTGGTGATGAGCACTGGAAAGATCTTACAGGAGAAACAGCTACAATCAAAGGCCCAAGATAGTTCCCCTTAGTTGCAGCCTCAGAGGTATTCACTAGAGGAATGTCAAACAGTTACCGCTGGAGATCGCGACTACGTAGAACCTGCGTAGAACTCACTTGCGACGCTGAGATGATGATGGTTCGAGATCAACCTTCAATGCGTTGTCATGTGTTACAAGGCGTCGATCTCCACTACCAAGACGACTTGTTAGCCTATTTGTGTATAATTTACATGTATGTATGTGGAATTAAGTTTATGCTTGATACAATCCGTATGAAATTACGCTGCTACAAAACGAATGCTACATTGACAAAACGCAAAAGTCCAAGATTTGTGGAAATCATCGTCTAAGGAGAAAGGGAAAATAAGCTTATCATTTGAGCCTCACACCTGCCAACCTCCGGTCTTCCTCCTCACAAGCGGTTGGAGTTGATGTAAAACTCCCTGGCCTCCGTCAACAGCCCCTCATGTAATCCCGTCCACTGCATCTGCACCTCCGCTTTCTTCTTCTGCCTAATCTCATGCCGGACCCTCTTCACCGATATGTCAAACGCAGCAGGGATCGGACGATGATCAGAGACATTGACTTCATATCTTTGATAATGCAGCTATTTCACTCGGGACGGTACACGCGACCGCCACAACACACGGTCACACCATGCTGCAGCACGACGTTTCTCGGATGTATCGTATACATCTGAACGACGGTCGTATTTGTACGTTGGAGCGAAAGTAATGGGTCCTTCGGTGAAGAAACGAAAACGGAAACCACGTTTGAATTTGGTTTCTTTCAGAACCTGGTGGTGGGCAAATAGGGTTTCATGTTCATTGGCACGAACGGCAGCAGTTATAGCGTCGCGGCGTTAGTCGATTCAATAGTTCATATCTCCATTGATCTATGATAGAAAATTAGCTTCAAAGTCGAGATGAGACGTAGTAATAATACGACACAGAAAGACAATTTCGTGGTCAAGAACCATTGAACCATCGCCACCACCGACAAATGCCAGATGCTCCGCGACAGGAGGAAAAATAAGTTGCTGTTCGAGCATACCAGCAGCGTCAGCGTTGCGGGCGCGGACAGCATGTTGGCCAGCAGCAAGATAACAGTTGACGAAACAAAGAGACGAATCGTCGATGAGGAACCGAGACAAAATTCCGCCCTATACACACATTCGTTTAGTTGAAAAATTCGATAGATACCGCACCCGACGAACCTTGTTACCATACCTCCTCCCCATTCCTCGTTTCACAGTATTAATAGCAATATCCTTCACCGCCGCCTTCTCTGTATTTTTCACAATGACACACGTAAAGAGCCCAACCATGCTCTCTGTGTGAACGACTGAGTACGGACAGTCTGGAGGCATTGCAAGCTTCACAGCCAACACCAACGCATCGTACGACCTCTTATAAGCCCCAGTCACTTTATCCGAAAGACCCAAAAGCGTTCCCTCATCTTTTCTCCCCCTCGCATCGGACCTGGCAGACATCAACATGTTCTTCGCCGCCATCTTCCTCGATTCCAGATCGATGACTTCCTGGAACCCAAACGATATGATATCTGGCCTGTCGACGCTGTTGAGTACATCATGGAAGAAGTTGATATTTGGAGGATGACCATGCAGGGAATCCGGTTTCGCAGAGTCACAATTCCACGAGATTATGAGAACTTTCAGTTCCCTGAAGGTACTGTATGACTGTTCGTGTTTCTGTAACTCCGTGTCCTGCCAATTTAGCGCCAACAACCCGTCCCAAAGCCCTACGCGTTCGTCCCGACCGACACTGACCACACCCAGTCTTCTGTATTTCTCGATTCCGAACGGATCTGCGGAAATCTGCAACACAGGTAATCCGGGATGCGCCGCCCACGAATTTGTCGCTATCCAAGGTCGAGGAACGATATCATACGCAGTAATCATTCCGTTCCTTCCGCCAAGCCACAGTCTGTCGTTGATTCCCTCTAGGCTGGTCACATCAGTGGAAGCAACTTTCATGACCTCGATGCATCTCGGATATGCTCCCCCGGTTGCTACATCTTCCAGGGACCAGATAGTGATATATCCCTCTTCGTGTCCGAAGTAAACATGTTCCGGGTGGGTGGGCACAATCGTTGCACTCGTTACGGGACCAACATGCTCTGTAGGCATCACCGTTTTTCCCGTGGAAGCGGGGTTGAACAAGTCATACAATCGAATAATGGGTGTCCTTGCCAGTGTTCCAGCCCCATGCTGCTCAGACCTTCCAGCTGTCCATAGCACTCCATGGCGAAATCAAGTTTGTCCGTGGTGCGCATCACACGTGGAGTATGATGAAGAAGCTTGATGTCTCCAGTGGACGGATCCGAAGACCATATGAGAACTTTACCGACTTCATCAACGGAAATCATCGAGCCGGCGTAACGGAAAAGATACAGAATGGGATTCATATGCGCACAGTGCTTGACGCCGAGCAAATCTCCGTTTCGGACATCAACCTCGAAGATATGCCCCTCCTTCTAGGCAATCCAGACGAGGAACTCCGTATTGAACTCGACCGCAGTGATTTTTCCATCTTTGATTCCAAAATCCTTCGTGTCCATGCTCTTTGCGGGTACTTCTTGTGATAAATTGGTATTGTAAAGTCGAATGTGGTGCGTACTCCCCACAACAACGTAAACACCGCTCATAGCGAGATGCCCGGTGTGAGCAGGTACAGCGATCTTACATGGTTGTGTTGGATAAGCTCCATGATCCCCATCGTGAGGTGTTATTAGATATGGTGGTCGACGGGACGCATGAGTAGTGTCTGGCAGCAGGTCCGTACCCGAGCCCTTGTCATCATCTTCATCACCCAATTCGTCTTCGTCGGAATCACCGCTGGCTGCTCCTTCAGCATTGTTCGAACGTTGAGGAGGCAATTTGTCCCCCAAAGCGATCGTCCGCGTGGGGGGAGGAGGAAGTTTACCAAAGGGTTTACGTTCGAAGGTTGTAGGAGCACTGCAGGGAGGATGGTTCAAGTCTGATACTGATACATGAGCAAAATGATTCGTAGAAGGATGGGAACTATGTGGTGGTAAAGGTGCTAGACGGGCGGAGGCGGAGGGTCGTGGAGTCCTTGGAACAGCCAAGTCTTCGGCCTGAGCCACAGTAGAGCGACGAACAGGCAAAGATGGGGGCGTATTTAAGCAGTTCGAAGAAGATATGAAAACCTCCGGCTCAGGTAAAGCCAACGCCCGGGGTTGTGGTGGCGATCGAGGAGGTGGAATAGAGGACTGGGAAGAAGACGCAGAACCATTGTATGAAAATAATTGACCAGAATCACCCTCGCTCGAGTTTCGGCTCGAGCGAGACGTTGATTCTTGGTGATGATGGTGATGATGAGGCTTGAGGCTTCCTAGCGGAGGACCTACTGCGGTGGTTAATGAATCTGGATCGTCCATAGAACTATCTGTGATATCTTCAGAGAATGGATCATCCAAGTCAGACATCGAATTAGAGGATGACTGCGAGTGATATTCCCCGGGACTATCAAACGAAATGAGAGGTTCGGAGGATGTGTGGACACGAGGGGGCGCTAATGGTTGGTCTATCGTTGACGATATGCTTGGCTTTGGTGAATGAGTTATTGGGCGAGACGGCGTGTTGGATGCGACATTCCTAGAAGACAATTGGTGAAGGTAAAGAGAATGTTCAAGACTGCTTACAGAAATTTGCTCCTCAGCATAGAAACTCCGAACGTCAGTGTCAATCCTTCCTCGTGTTCATTTTCATTAATGGATACGTTCGGCGAAGGCGGTAATCCATGCTGCGGAGCTCGGTTGACTGAAGTATTCAAAACATTTGGAATGGGGACAGGTCGAAGCAACGGAGAGACGGAAGGATACGGAGGGGCAGCAGAAAGTCCTCTAGAATATGACCGAGTCGATCGAGGCGGCGGTGGAGGCGGCGGGCGTTTTGTACTGACATTCGTGTCACTTGTGCTGGATTTGAGACTGGAAGAAGATGAGACTGTACGAAGACCAGGAGAGACTGAGGAGCTCGAAGCGTCTGAAGGAGCTCTAGCAGGAGATGTTTGGATCGGTATTTGCAGTGATTTACGGTGAGACGCAGTAGCGGAATTGTCCATGGCAAGTGATTCAAATCTGGATAGTAGATTCTTCACCGCTGGCGTTGGACTAGACTCAATGTCTGGTGTGTCCATCGTACTGAGGATCAAATAAGTGACACTATCCGGAAGGTATATCACTTCGTACTCACAGAACAAGAGACTCCGATTCCACTAGAACAATTGGTCACCACCAGGAGCAAATCTGTTAGAGCGAGATGTTAACACCCTAGAATTATCGTAAGCCCACAGCTTCGTACAAATTTATTGATTCTATTTGTGATTACTTGACTTGTGAGGAGCGTTCACCCGAAAAGGTGAAAATCCCGCCACTAGAAGCTGAAATCACATATGTATCATCAGTTGTGTAAAATTGGCACCGCAGATCGCCGCTGTCGTTGTGGTACGAGTTAAGTTGCTCAGCTCGCTGTGGCCTTCATAAATAAGCGCTCATATTTTTTCACGGTGTAAAATCATTATTGAGCGCTAAGTCTTCCTTTCCTGTGTACAATAATGTCATCCAATGAAGTTTCGAAGAATAAACAGAGTAGATCATTCTTTAATACCTCACACTAATTGCGCTCACTAAGATTCACAGAAATTTCATGGATCAGATCGAATTTAAATCGTATCGAAGCACTCGGACCCGAAGACTTTTCATCGCCATCGCACTGCCTGTTGGACGAATTCTCGGCATTTACCAAGGGAAACAAAAGGATAGAGAAGGTGAGTTAAGTGTTCACATGCATGAATCCAGTATCTAAATATTGACCTGTTCGAAATAGTGGGGGGACTTTTTCAGGCATACCAATGCTGTTAGCTCTACCCTTCCAGAGTCTGACCGTGACGTCAAGCATATACTTCTCCTCAAGTACATAGAGTTTGTACAGGGAAAAGAAGGCTCTGATAAGATGACCCACAAAGATAAACGGCGTCTAGTATGTGATTTTTCAACTGTACTTTCCATGTTTTAACATACCTTTAACTTAAGCTTCTCAATCTCGGACTCAACTTCAAGGCGTATGATGTCTGTGAAGCTATCATCCGCGGTGATGCTTCAATGGCTCTTCCATGTGGCACCATCCTCAAACTTGTGAGGCGGGACCGGGTGCCTTCAAAGATCAAGCTCCGAACGAACATGTACGACTGCACTGTACCTGAAAATGCAGCAGGTCCATCGATTGTGGTCGATGAGGCCCATGGTTTTTTTGTGGTGCTCCCTTCTGAGTCTATCCTATTTTATAGTGGTGGTGATTTCATTTCCTGCTATCTTTCACTGATTGATTCTGAGAGCACGGTAGATCACGAAATATTTGATTACACCAAAATTGAAATGGTTGTCATCCGCGGTACTGCTATGACTCCTCCATCCTGCGATGATTCTTCCGACAGTAGCCAATTTTTTGAATGGCTTGTCGGGGTCATCGATTATGCCTGTACTGTGCGGCGAGATCAGCGGGTGAGACCTTCCATTACTTAATTCTGCTGGTTTTCTTATGTCCTGGATAGCCCACTCATCCTGGACACATGGCCCAGGCTGGTCTTACAATGGGGGCCCGGCATATTCCAGCGACCGCACGGGTTGTTGGCTGGGGAACTAGCTTCTACAGGAAGCTATCAGATGAATCAAAGACCCAGCACGAGCAAGACACCATCTCTGCTTCAGGCATTCTGTGGTCCATGATCTTGGCAATGATGCCCACCGAAGTCACTAGGCCTGTAATTCGTGTACTGAATGATTTCAATATTCCTCATTTGGCTGGCCGATACGTTAGGCCTGGTATGTTTATATATTCTGTGTGTAATACCAGGCTCATGTTCCTGCAGGAAAAGGATTCTGTCTAGAACTTGGGGGCCGACGCATTGTCTTTCCCAATGTAAGCCGCTCTCCTCCGGAAGTCTACCTCACACGCGGCTATTCAGCGTAAATCCTTCCATTTCTTATCATGGGCTCATGTTGATTGGTCAAATTCTGTAGCTGGGTTCATGTTGACAATTGCTATGCCCCATGGGCATTCAGCTTCACAGCAGGACGCAAAAAATTCAGCACTCAGTCGGCTTCAGATGGGATCACCCCCCCAGAATATGGTGGCGCGAACTTTGTTGATATAACCTTACGAGTTGTTGTCGTTAACGCACCTGGAACATTATTCTCATTTCAGCCCCAGTACCCCCATGGAACAACTGTCACTGGAGGGACGACAAATTTCAATATTGTGTTCACTTTTTCGCGGAAAATTGGTGAAGCTGTTGCTGAACTTGACGGACGGGAACATTTTGGTAGCTGTAGATGGGGTGCAGGTGAGGGTAACCTCGACAATATCAGCAGTGGCAGCAGCTAGATCAGAAGTTTTGCTCTTTTTGCTGACATGTACAAACATGGGCTTTCTCGGCCCTTTACTTGTATTCCTGCCTGCCTCATCAACATTAACATATTATTTTAGCAATGCTTATTCTCCGTTTATGGTACCTTTTCTCTCAATAAGTTCATTCAATACAGGATGGATCTGAACTGGCGGGAATGTCGAACGAGACCTGGGATGTCTTTGTATCTAGATTCAAACTTGACCTAGATTCAGCAGCGGAAGGCCATGGTGCGCAAAAGGTGGTGTCGGAAGGTGTTTGATATTTCTATAAAACACTTCAGGAAATCACGGAGGATAGAGAAGATCGAAGGTTATTCGATCAGACTTCGGGTCAACCTGCTTGGTTCGTGCAAGCAATGATCTTGTATTCAGAGGCAAAGCTGCTCGCATAAGATGAACTTGGTGAAGCTGAACCCTACTTTTTTCTTGTCGTTGTCCTGTCAATTCATTTCTTCCAGTATCAATGAGCATGACGGTCAAGCAGACGACATTACTGACATCATGACCTCGAGAAAGGTCTTTATCTTTGGTTTGAAGGTATATAGGACCACTTCGCAAGGCCATTTACTATCAACAACTCACAACTTAACAAATAACTTCTACGCTCAATAAAATGTCTCTCTACTTCTACGAACCAAGCTACCAATGGGATCGTTTCTTTGACAACGCCTTTGGCGCTCTCGCATCCCGCGGAAACCAAGGTCAAAGCCAAGCTCTTACCGAGAGACCTGACTTGCCGAGGTTCATAAGGCCCAGGTAAGTTACCTCACATCTTCCTCACTTTTTATAGGACTGTCAAGCTAACATCGTTCTTATAGGATGGACCTCCATGAAGACAAAGAAAAGAACCTCGTCACCGCGACTTTTGAATTCCCCGGTGTGAAGAAGGAGGAAATCCAGCTCGATATGCATAACGGTCGTCTGATTGTTTACGCGGAGACCAAGGTCTCTGAAGAACACGAGCAGTTCGGGTACGCGGTGAGGGAGAGGAGCGTTGGAAAATTCTCCCACACATTGCAACTTCCTCAAGGTGTCAGGGCAAGTTTAGGTAGTCACTTTTCATTGGAAAATATAAGAAATCAAAGCGTCGATGGAGAACGGTGTCCTCACTGTCACCTTTCCTAAGGCCACAGCGGAGGAGAAACCAAAGAAAATTACCATCTCGTAAATCGACATATACAAAACGTCGATATTGGTCCTAACTGTAGTAACATTAGTGTGTCCGAAACGTCTCTGTATAAAATAGCAAATCTCAATTGAGATATCTTGATTTTTTTTCGTGTAATTAGACTGATTGTAGTACACTAAAAGAAGTATAGACAGAGTAATGGGAGTCCGTCATTCGAAGAATCGTCCAGTGCTCCAGTCCGCTTGAGTGTTATATGTAGCTAGCTTTCAAATCTACGACCTTTGGTTGATCGTAACGAAATCTTTGAACCCTCTACTCAACCTTCGCATATGCGTCTTGACATTCATCATGCCTCTACCACGATACACATATCCTTCATCACCTTCCACACCCGTATCACCACCCACCTTCCTTGCCAGAGCAAGCCGGATCTTCATTTCATCGGATTTCGAAAACGCGCTCTCACTAATACAACGAAACTTGCCCTTTATCGACGGTAATCGGAACCCCGATAACGCCAATGATGATCTCCTACTAGGAGGTGAAAAGTCATGCGCAAACGGCGAAGATGGTACAACTCCAAAAGGCCTAAAGGGAGTACTCGTCGTCGCGCCAAGTGGTGAAAACTGCAAGAATTCGGCTATGGAAAATTCATGGCTATCATCACAGAATGACGCCGGGTAAGGAGGTTGAAACGCTGGTGAAGATGTCTGAGAGAGGGTGATAACGGTCTTTCAGCTGATTGAGGAGATGGAGAAGCGAAATGAAGTGGCATGCTCGGTGGAGACATGTTTTTCCGAAGGGCAGTGTAATATGGCCAATTCGGGTGTCTGAGCTGAGGCTGATGCAAGTCTGCTTGGGTTCGAGGCTGAGCCTGCATGTAGTAGTTAAGATCTGTGATGGGTAACAGTACTGATTGAGCAGCAGAGGCGGTGGAGAAAGAGACTGCGGGCCGAGAATGTGGGCGTTGTCGTTCAGGTGGAACTGTCAATGTGTTCTTGTTCTGTGATGAGGAGGTGTAGATATGTGCAATATGAGATGGCTCTTTTTTCGCCGAAGAGGAGGTTTAGGAGACATATCGATGTGAGGATTTGCACGAATGAATTTCGCCGCTGGATGTTTCGAAGAACTAGATTGGTCGACATGTACACCCGCTTTACCGGAAATTGAGGCTGGAAGCACGAGACGTTCGGGTCAACTTCGCGTGAAGTGATCAACGAACTGGCGACGAAAGTGGGCTAGCAAAAAGATGAGGTAACGATTATACTGTCGCAAATGAGCATAATAAGAGAAAACAGACGAACCTGCACTTCAGGTCGGACAGTTGCTGTGACGACGCCGCAACCTACCCAGAAGTTCTCTAGATAGGAAAAGTATGTTGTTTACAACAAAAATGGCTCGGAATACTGCATAAATAAATATGAAAGTATGGAGGTGCAAGGCACTGACTAAGGGGGGTTTGGGGGCTTGCCTCCAACAAGCTGTGAACCCTGCTGTAGCACACGGTGCGAGCAGAGCGAGCCACCGTGGCAAAGGCACGGGTTCTAAAGCTTGTGAATAAGAAAGACTTGTATTATTTGCCACCGAAATCTTTATTACGGAATCGGTAGGATACAGGGGTTTGCATAATTTCGTGAACAACCGAGTTTTTTTCTTTTTACGGTCCGAATTTATCCGTTCCTAACTCGGAATATCTAAACGTGATGTGACTGTTTCTCGACCCCATGCCTCCTCAAAAAATGCATCCATCAATGGTATACTGAAGACACTACTGAAATAACAGGTCATAGTAAGAGTGTGACTGAGAAGGTATCACAATGAGGCTTTGAATACAAAAAGAACAAGGAAAATTGTCACTCCGAACAGCTCCGAACCTCTCTGAACACACAAAATTCTTGAAAGTATATTACCTTATATGGATCAACACTGTTCCAACAAAGTACTCAAGGTCTGCATGAAGGACCTTCTGGATACAGGATTTGAAGATATCAAGGTGATGTATAGGCACTTGTAGCGTAGAACTGTTATAAGCCTGAGGTATAGGTATAGAGGAAGGAATTGCATAGTTAGAACCCCGTCACATCACGCAGCTGATAAGATAGGATATATTCGGACCGCAAAAAAAAAAACTCGACTTGTTCACGAAATTATGCAAATCCCTGTAAGCTGAATCGGAGCTTTTGTGTAGTGTTCGTGCCGTAGCTATCGGCGGCGTTGGGCAGAGGGTTCGATTGCTGATCCTGGGGCGAAGAGGCTGCCAGTACAACATAAAAGCGGGAGCGCTGGCCCGACGCTGTCACGAAGCGGCAGAGGCGGAGTGACTAGCGGAGCAGGGAAGCGGAGTGACTAAGCAAGGCGATGAGGCGGAGCGACTAAGCAGAGCGGAGGCAAACTGGTCCCAGATAATGACAGAGATATATTGAGTATCGTAGTCATAGGTAATAATAAGTAAGCACATACCTGGTCCCAGATAATGACAGAGAGGTCAAGATAAGGGACCAGGCTGTGGAGGGTTGGCTATATATACATAATCCGGTCTGCGAGAAACAACGATGTAATACTGTACAGTTTAGGAACAAGGAAGGTGGCGGAAGCCAATAGAAGGAGAAGATGGGTCAGGTGGATCAGTAATCGATGGGGGTTTGACAGTGATGGGATGATGTATCGTACAAGTAAAGGCGTCGAGACGGTGAGAAAAGGAAAATGATAGGGGCTGCGTACTTTATGACAGACGCCTCCTAAATTGAATATCTAAATCATCCTTCTCCACCTCTGCGCTCGCGAGAGGACACCAGAGACACAAGTCGACAATTGCATTTGAGAAGTTGCAGTGCTTGCAAGTAATAGCGGGTGGGCGTTCGGAATCAGAGAGAAATCAGGTAAAGAATTGGATCGCTGGAGATGCTGCAGGTAAATTCGGGGCACTCTGATTAATGCTTGAGGATAGGCAAGTATCGTTTTCTCGCGAATGGAACATACACCGGCCCTTCGCTTGGTTGGTTCATATTAACGGATAGGTCGTGTAACAATCGTAAGTTCTCTATCATAAATGGGTCATAAAAGTAATGCAGAGCGAGAGAAAGTGAAGTCAAAGCCTCTGAGCGAGGCTCTTTATCAATTCAGGAGATAAAGACCTCAAGGTGCAGGACATCGCTGTTGAAGGACAAAGAGTGAGAAGGTAGACAAAGAGTTGAAAGGTTGGCATGAAGCAGACACAAGGCGCACACATGTTTGAAGGCAGCCCACGAGACTGATAATTGCGTACAAAGACACATTTGCATTCGAGTGTGAAGGTGTTTTGATTTTAGTTGAAGCTTACACTAATACTTGAGAGTGAGCAGCCTATACTTGCTACAATGCGTAGTTATTTATTCTCACTACGTCGGCAGTCGCTAATAACGGCTGGGATTTACAAAGGGAAATCTGAGTCAAAACTTTGATTTCCCATCTGTGCTTTTGATGTATTGATCTTCCGGCAATGACTTGATTTCTCGGCTCATCATTGATAATCTTTCCCATAGATAATTGATAATCTTTCCCATAAGTAATAGATAATCTTTTTCATCAGAACAAATTTTTATTTCCCGGTTTGCGAAAGTGAATGCCCGACTTTTGAGCCACTGTCCAGAACTAGTGAGAGGCGGAATCTCCTTACAAAATGTTCATTACATTGAAGAGGAAAGTGCCACAGTGCGAGAGTAGGAATTTGTCGTGTTGGTTTAGAAAATTACAAATATAGGAAATGGTGACACAGAAAAAATCTAGTTACAACCATCGAAGGAGAACGTTGTCTAAACTGCAAAGGAAATCATCACCGCTAACATGGGTTTGATCCAGCAAGGCACCTCGGAGAATAGGACAAGCAAAATAAACGGAGTGACTATGACTGTAAGGGCATATCACGGCTAGCACTAACTCTCACTCTGTATCAACGCAAGACTAGTATTTGCAGTGGCTCAAAAGTTGGGCATTTACTTTCGCGAACCGGGAAATAAAATTTTGTTCTGATGAAAAAGATTATCTATTACTTATGGGAAAGATTATCAATTATCTATGGGAAAGATTATCAATGATGAGCCGAGAAATCAAGTCATTGCCGGAAGATCAATACATCAAAAGCACAGATGGGAAATCAAAGTTTTGACTCAGATTTCCCTTTGTAAATCCCAGCCGTTATTAGCGAATGCCGACGTAGTGTCTATAAATGTGGTGTATCTGAATGTTGCATTTGTGATCATATCAACAACGATGGGTGTGCTATAGACATGTACCTTTACAGCTTGGTGATTATCCAACGCCGACTGGCCACAATTCTACAGCAGTGAGTAACAAAGAGAGCGAAGCAAAATGTTCCAAGGAATCTACCGGCGCAAATGCGCGAGTTTGGCTTCACTTACCCAATACGAATCGGACTTCACCAGTATAATTTAACTATCCTATCCTATCCTATCCTATCCGACCATGCTATTGGCTGTTACTCAATTAAATTGTATTGTTCCCCTCAAGATATTCTCTCCGCAATGTTTCGCTTTCTGAATCTTTCATCATACGGTCCCTTTGGATAACGAATACAGTGCCTACCTACATGGGCTCATGTAGGCCTACATGTAGCAACAGCTCTGCAGCGTGCTGAGGATGCGCTGTACTCTTCTTTGTTCAAAGTTGGTTCTGTCAGAAGTCACTGCAGTGAAACGCATCACGACGCCAAGGACATTCCGGGACAGCCTTCAAAGCATATTATTACCGGACCTGACGAGTGCGATAGAACCAGATTGCTATTTGGACTTCTCTACCCACACGATCTCTATGTAAACGTTTCTCTACTCCTACAATTCCACCTTACACCCAAGACAATTCGTATCTGTCATGTCTCACCACAGCGCTGGTATCAAGAAGAACACCACTCGGTCTGACCAATGAGCAGACCAGCGGCTCCTGGCAAATATGTCTCCAGTTGACCGCCCATATCCTCTAAATGCTGTCTGCCCCAGACCAATACCCAACTCCTTTGCTTTTGGCTTGCGAGTACCCTTGGACACCTAAAAATCTGTACAGACCCAAACTGGACGCTCTCCTCAAGGCAGGTGTGCGCACTTTTATTGATCTCACTGAGTGTGGAGAGCTTTCCCCTTACTCGAATATCCTCTGTGGGCGTGCGGCTCTTCTTGGCATCGACCCTGCAACGATTGAGTATCACAACTTTCCTATCCGTGACCGATCGTTACCACAAAGTGCCGAGTCCATGAATTATGTCCTGGACGTCTTGCGTGACAATGAGGTTCGAACAAGAATCAGCGCGGTTCACACTCGAGGTGGTATTGGTCGTACGGGTATGGTCATCGGTTGTTGGCTCGTTCAATCAGGAATTGCGAAGGACGGCGACGAGGCACTTCAGATCATCGCAAAGGAGTGGTGTACTGTCGAGAAATGCAAACGCTTCTCACATAGCCCAGAGACAGGCCCTCAGTTCCAATTTGTCCAACAGTGGATGCGAAGGGACCGATCATGGTGTGTACGCGTCCATCTCGTGTTCTTTTCGCTTATCTCCTTTGACAGAAATTAAAGAGGTTTCACTACAAAAAGCGCAGTCTGTCGTGTGATTCTCTCTCACCATGGCACTGCATTTACCTCACTACATTGTTCTTTACATTGGGTGAGTGACCTTCATTCTTGTATTAGGGGGGTGAGGGCTGACCTCAAACACACTGAATGTTTATCTCCCAGGGTTTATATATGCTGAATTTACCTGCTTTTGACGACTATTTCATTCAAGCACATTGGACACTACGCTGCTAATTCAAATCTTTGACCCACGTATACCTGCTTAGACTAGTAAATGCGTTTACATGACCATCATGACTCTTGTCAACTATCCTATCATTCTTTGCCATACCCATGTAGTTATTGTGGTACATAGGCAACTGGTATAGACCATATGGTCAGTATAGTACAGCGCTAGTCGTTTTTCCTCTAATACCACTAGTACTGTATTTTTGAGTTTCTCGTGCAAATTATGAGGTCACATGATTGAAACATAACTGTTCTTCATCTACTTCATCAATCCTTAGCGCCGTGCTGGCACGGCAATCCCCGACTCTGAAATGTGCTCAAAATTGACAAGATGAAATGAACATACTTTGAGTCCAAAAATCCGACTCAGTACAGTGTCGTAGATAGTTCTCTTATATAATTATTTGAGTTTTTTGGAATTCCGTTAATCATGTGGACAACTGGAAATCTACTGGAGTCTGGGTTAGTGTTGTCTGGAATTGATTGAACTAAACATGGCCAAGAATCGGGCCGGGACGGAACAAAAGACCCCTCGGATTTTTGTTACACTTCGTGCAACCGTCGTTGCCGCTGTCGTCCCCATAATGTTATGGCCATTATCCTTTCGTGCTGCTTTTCAGAGTAGAGTTGCACAACTTATTCGTTTTGTATTCACCAGCTCCAATCCACAATTGGAAGCAGCCCAAAAGAAGGCTCAGGAAGTCCTCTCAAGTACACAGCAGATGGTCAACAAAGCTTAGAGAGCGCAAAGAAACTTGCTGGGCCACTGGGAGAGACAGCTGGAAAATACCTCGCTAGTGCAAGAAAATCTGCCGGTCTTTTGAGTAGGAAAGCTGATGGGAGGTAAGTGAAGCGTGTTTGTTCAACTTGTACTTGTTAGATGGATGTATTTCTGGTAAACTAGCCGCGAAATTTCTAAACGCTAGCGTATAAAGCGTGAGTTTTTTTATAACTTCGCTGTTTTGCAAGAGAAATTGTTAAACAAGTTTATCGCGTCGAAGGCCTTTCTTCTCCATCATCTGTTGACGCAGTCCAGTCGGCATACAGGACCATATGATGAATGCAATGTAAAAGGTATTCTGGCAGAAACCAATTAATAACGGAGAAGTTGCAAGACTGGGAACTTATGCTGTGGAGACATAAGGGATCTTTAAGGTAAATTTATTGGTCTTTCATCTCTGAATGTCGCCCAAAAATCATTGGTGTAAATAGGCGAAAAGATTGGAAGAAGAAGTATTGTTGGTTACAAGCTTGATTAGACGGGTGTGTCCGAATGTATCATCGGTATCGATATTGAGCGAACTTCTGTGCCGCTTCGAAATGTGGTTCCCATGTGTGATGAAAGTGGGAGTTTTTTAACCATGTTATCCTGCGACTCTCATGCTCCCCAAGACAATGTAAAACATCCCGATATCTTCCTCAGTGTCGTGAGGGCTATGTATACTGATTGCAGTGGCTCAAATACAGACCGAATCTTGATTGCCCAAGTACACATATACGTCTTCAGTATTGCAGTCAGCTATAATACTTACAATTCACTCCTTGTGACACTCAATCGGTCCAGTTTTTCGAGAACTTCCCCTACTGTCCGGTTAAGCTCACTAGTAATAGCATTTTGCTTGGATCCCGGTAGCCGAGCAAATGTCTCGCAGAGATTGTCTGCCTTGACCGGCATATAATAACCTCTCCAACTAACTGATTTCTGCCAACCAAACAACCTCTGTTCGGTGAGCAGATGCTGCTCTAATGTCGATACGAAGTCGACATCCTCCTTCGAAACAAAGGGTACGAGGATACCAACCGTGCCATGGACACCAGTATACAGTAAGATTTCACGTCCTCCAGCAACCATCGCTACTTTGTATATAGAATTGACAAGGTCTCCGATATGGCAATCTGCCACCATATCGGACTTGTGAGGGGGTGCCCGTCAATGTCCTTTTTTCGTGAGGGATACCTTCTCCGGTAGGGTCTTCATCGACTTGGTCCGATTCTTTAGTGATCAGCGTATTGACGATAATGTTATCAAAGCGGTCTCCTATTGCTACAGCGTTGTAGTTCACCATCATTAAAGCATTGACCCATTTTGATTGGGAGTCATCGCCGAAAACAAGGAAATGGTTTTCTGGTGTTTTGTATGCAATGAAACAGACCGAGTGTTGCATTTCTCTCACTATAATTGTCAAACCTTGCGTATTGAGTGTAAGATTGATGGAGCAAATGTCTGAACAATGCTTGATGAGCGTTCCATCCATAGCATAATCCTCGATGTTGCCCTTGTTTTCAACCTTGCGAAGTAGGTTTTTTTTCCCAATATCATGAATTCTGAAAGCTTTCCTTACATCGGCGACAAGTCGTCACTGGAACGCGAAAAGCGTAAGCGGAACATCATCAGTCTCTGTCTAGAGACAACGTTGATATATATTTCGGCAAATGAAAGGGAAAAACTCACTTTCTGAAGTAACCTCAAGCTTCTTCCTTCATCCGTGAAATCGTAAGTCTGCAAGAAGTCAATCGAAAAAGGGCGTGGAGACATTGTCGTATCAGCCGCGGTCATAACAACTAGTTGAAGCTCACAGCCTCGAACCAAAAAGGGAACCACTGCTAAAGAGAACGCAGCCTCGTTAGAAACTAGAGGGACATATGCACTGTTTCCGCCTGAATGATCACATGTCAGAAGCAGTCCCAAAGTCCACGGCTAAGAATCGGTACGGTTAACAGTGTCCATAAACTGTATTTTTTGAATTTTCAGTTTGTATCGCCTACAGATACATTTGTTATACCGTCGAAGCAGAAAATCAAAGACAAGATTGCAAAAAATGAACTCTTTCGTTTTTGTTTGAATAAATGTTTTTTGTATACTGGAACCTCGGAATCAGTCTAGTGTTTGACGTGCGCCCGAAATCGGTGTTGAGCTTTAAGTCAAGGTCACTGCTGGTCGACTTAGTGCATTGTATAAACTACTAGAATTTTCTGAAATGGTTATCTGTCAGCATGAGCAATTGCACCGTAATATACGAAGTTACCGTATGAAAAGGAGTTGGAGATCTTCGTGGTAGGATCAGTGATCCATTCATGAACGAATGAGTGACTTCTGTTTGTAAGTTCAGAAGTTGGTTCCATGGGATAAGTTTGGCGTTGACGATAACGATCAGTACAAGGGGAGGTCAAATCGTTGCCTTGATTGTGATTTGTAGTAAATCCTCGAGTAGGTTTCTGACTGATGAATAGGTTGGGTGGCCGCATGATCAATTTCGTCCAGAAACCTTCTGCAGGACGGTCATAGAAAGAAGTGTTGTTGTGACTGATGTATGTGCCGGTGGTCGTTGCAAGCAACTGTAAACAGTGCAATGTTAGAATACAGGTATGATAAAATTATGGCGCACAGGCCTTACAGCATTTGCTTTCTTGCAACCTAGATTCTGTGAATCAGTTTCGGGAACAGGTCGTATTTCATCGAGCTCCGAAATCAAAGATAATGTCTGTAAGTAATGATTCAATTATATGGTCATTGGATTGTAGTAATTTTCGCTTACCGTAGTCGTGGTGGGTACTTCCAAATCATCGATAGAAATGGACAAGTGAATGGCTGCCGTTGATATATCGGCTGCGGGTCCGTTTTGCGAGGTGGGTAAAATCTGGAAATCTTTGAGCATGTAGTAGGATATGTAGGAATTGTAATGTGTTGCTCACTTGTTCGCCCGTCGTGTCTTTGGGATGAAAATATTGATTTATGTTAGTCGTTATACAGGTGGTGTCAAATGTTGTATTCCTCGTGCAGTTTTTATCGTCAAATGTGGAGGTGTTATGATGAGATGTCGACGACTGAAAGGAACCATTGGGTTATAGTGGGTACGAAAAGAAGGTTAAGAAACGTGTAACGTGCTTTGTTTTTCACATACGACACACTTGCAAAATCTCGTGGTGCTAGCGAGATGAATCGAGTAGACTTCTATACGAATTATGATGCAACAGAACAATGGAATTCAGATAGCGACTGACCGATGTTGTAATTTTTGGTCATCTTGAATTGGGAACTTGTTTGTGTTCATACCAGTGCAACAACTGGTCATATTGTGCTGCGTTAATTCGCATCGATGCCATAAGGCGAGAGCATGTGACAATTGGTACGCGGCTACATTGACGATAGGGAGTGCATCCGTCGCATCTCATGTTGTTTGGGTGCACAACGCACGTTTTACCTCTTGCTTGACAATTATTACAGCTCTAGTTTGTTGTTTACGACGTCAGGGATACTTCGGAAAAGAGGACATACGATATCTTTGTGTTCTTCATTCAGTGCTTGTCTCTCTTTTGTGGTCCCGTATTTTTTGTAAAGTGAGGCGAAAGTTGATTTCATGATGTTCGTTACATGGTGCGCGTTATTGTTGGCATCGTCTAAAGTTGAGATGATATCCTGCAGTTGTATGTTGTCGGTATTTCGGATTCGATGTTGAGGTAATGTGGAGTGCATGAACCGATGATAGTGGTAGACGTACGAGTGTATGGAAATATTTGTACCTGTGGCATAACAAATTTTACTTTGGGGCTTGTCATGTTGATTCAACATCTAGTACATATTGCACACCGGACAATGCCAGAAGCGGCTGATTATGTATTATATGGTCTTGGTATATGTATGTTGTTGTCGAATCCATTAGCACACCGGAAAGAGAAAAAAATGCACTCGAGGGAATTATCAAATTTAGCGTAACCGATAATCATGTGATCGCGGATAAGCTATATCAGGGCCATTATATGCGGTGTCGGCTTTGTGCATCCACTGTGGAGGCTGATAAAGATGATATCAACTCATTGAACTATGAACTACCTTTTGTATGGAACTTCATGTATGTAATAATCTTCAAAGATAATTGGTGCCCAGCGCTGAACACCATTTAACCTCATCCTTGACATGATATTCTTTCATAGGGTGCGTGAGTCCAAAGATGCGAAAAGGAATGAACCCACCAATACGTTCAGAAAATGTAGCACAAATTGGCCTGCAATGACGGATTTTGGCCTCATCAGCATTATCATCAATGAGCCAGTGCCTTTGATGTAAGCTTCCAGCAACTGCAGAAAGCATGCATCCTGTTAAGATCATGTACACCGTGTAACCGTGCCAGGGTCACAAGGTGTCTAAGGGCGGAGGGTTGAGTGGGACAGTAGTGAAGTTATTAACAACACTGCCGTTACGCCGTCAGTCCCCAGAGATCGAGAGTATAGAAGAGAGGAGCTAAGTAGCAGCCAAGTCGGAGCGGCGGTATCGCTGACAACGAGGAGCGAACCAAAGAACATCAAAGTCCTAAGGTAGAGTAGAACGTACTTCAAGGCGTTGAACGTGAAGACTTAGAGAAGAGCTAAGTTGGAAGGGAGATCTAAGTTGATAAACAAACTGAGGAACTACAGTAGCATATAGGCAGTATTTATATCTACGGAGCGGTGCATCGGTGCAGAACGCCAGACTAACTACTAGGAGCTATATGAGTAGTACCTGCAGGGTAAAGTAAAAGACAATAAGGAGGGACTAGAACGAAAGGGTATGTGTAGCGAGAAAAAACAATAAGGAGAGATTACAATAAAGGTGGATCTTTGGAATACTGAGCGGCGGAATGGAGGCCTGAGGCATGGACTTGACACATCCATTAATCATGACACCTTAGCATAATGGAAACGGGACACCCCTTTTATCATTGTCCACTTGCATACACTAGACATCAGAAGAATGTAATGTTGTATGGCTGTTGGTAGTGTTTTATGGATATGGTAACCCACCCTTATGTACTGACATCAAACATTTTTGTAATTACAAGTGATGGCATTGAGACGATACTGACCCCAGGTCTGTTTTGTTTGGAATATGTCATTGACAAAGCCCCTGTTCCAGCACTCAACACCAGTGAGTTGGCATTCACAGACACTTGGTTTGTCCTATAATTCAGTATAGACACTGAAGATTATTTGACATCCTTGCTCATTTCTGATTTCCACTGGATGCCGTGTCAAGAAAACAAATGTTTCTTTATTAGGGCCAATCCCATTGAATGTTGGTGGTATCCAGAAGTCAGTGTATACGTATTGAGAAGCAGTGTTCACTGGGTCATATCACAAAGCGGAGCAATCAAGCAGGATGATAAGGCAGAGCAATTTAAGCAGAGCGCAGATGGACTGGTCCCAGATAATGACAGAAATATATTGAGTATTGTAGTCATAGGTAATGATAAGCAAACACATGCACACTGGGGAAATGGAAAATTTCTTAATCTTTATCAAAGGTCAAAGGTAATCTTCATTGCATGAAAAATACTATATTTCTAGATTGGAAAATGCAGGTAATATTTTACACATTTGCCATCTGTAAAACCTGGTTATTTCCTTACGGGAGAGAAGTTTATTCACTAAGGGGAAATTGGCAATCGTTGTTTTAATTTGCCTATATATTTTTTGGCCGGGGAAAGTGTTTCCGTCAGGTGTGTGTGAGTCTGATTTCTGATACAAGTTTGAGGTGTACCAGCAAGACTTGGATTCATGATTGGGAGGCTCACTGTGCTTTTGCGGATGTATGATGACACATTGTATTTTGGAATGTCCATGCAATATGACCACAAAGTTCACATTGAAATCCTTGTAAAAGTGCATACAAAGGAGGATCTAATTTTAGTACTGAAGACAAATGATGTGAACTTGAAACCGACCAATGTTTGTACGAAGGCTGACATCTGTAAAGCATTGCTTGAATTGCCTCTGGACATATATTGTGTCATAGTAACTGCTCTGACAGCAAATTGCGCTATTCCAAAACCACATACTCTAGAATCAAATATCAACATTAGCCTAGAGCTTCTACAGCAGTTCAGCAAAGAACAACCCTTACAATGGCAGCACAGGAAGGGGTTAACATACCATTGTATTGTGAGGTTTTATTAATACTTATGGAAGGAAAAACAAACATGCAGGTGCAATTTGGGGAACAGTTGTAAACCCTAACCACTTTATTGGATGCTTCCCTCATCTCTTTCCATATAGCAAAGCATCTGCAAAACCTGGATATTCGGCTAAGGTCTGAGAGCAGATCCCAGTAGATCCCAGTGCTGAAAGCACTGAAAGCAATATGCTCTGAGTGCTTTCACTGCTGGGAAGTGCTCTCAACTGCTTTCGGACCCTTAGCCGAAAATACAGGTTTTGCAGATGAGGAGGATTTGAAATGGAGTACCATCATGAGGTGTCATATGTTGCTCATTCAAAGTGGGCATTGCAGTATGCGAATTGTCAATTTTGTCCAGATCATCAGTTCATCTTCCAAGTTTTTGATGCAATTCAAAGATAGGATATCTATTCCAGAGCTAGTCTTCAGATCAATTGGTTTCAGTTCTGAAAGTACAAATAGGAGATCAAAATCGTCTGTCAGTGGAAGACGAAGCTCTCTTAGTCCAGTTCCATCAAGGTCATATAGACTTCGCCTTCAAAGAGTTACTGTCCCCCGTCGACGGACGCGAGGCCACTCACAACAACCTAACCGGAGTAGAGGAAGAAGCAGGGTATAGCAAATTTTGTAACCATCCTGCGTCTCCAATCCCTAGTCAAACACCAACACCACCGTCACCTTTGACCCCATTATCCCCTAGTATCTCCTTACAAGTCGATAACCCATTTGTAGCCTTGATGTCTACCCCCCTTCCCAAAAGAGATGAGCGCTCTGCCCCAAAGTTTGACCCGAAAAATGAGGCACTCTTGCCGAACTTCTTCGAAGAGTTTGAACGAACAGCTAAGGCCGCAGGGATTGATGAGGACAGTGACAGGATGAAGAAGACCGTATTAGGGTACCTCGACGCCAAGACCATGAAGTTCTGGCAATCCCTGGATACCTTCGACGACGACGCTAAGACATGGGAGGAGTTCAAGACCGAAATTCTCGACTATTACCCAGGTGCTACAGGAACTGCCAACGTCACTACCGAGGAGCTGGTAAGGGTCGTCGAAACCTTCCAGAAGAAGACTATCTCGACAACCCAAGAACTGGCCGAGTACCACCGAGAGTTCGCGGTGGTGGCTAAAGCCTTACGAACCTAGGGAACTCTCTCTGAGATCCTCATCGCCCAGCACTACGTCTGCCCCTTCCCGGAGAGCATCCGGTCGCGTATCGACACTGGACTCTATGTCCACTACCCTACTAAGAAAGTAGGCCAAGCCTATACCATCAACGAGATACGAAAAGTCGTTACCTTTCTCCTCTCAGACGCCTCAGCTCCAGTTAGCTCAGGAAGTTTTCGTAGTGGGGATCGGATGACGATCCCCCATCCTACAACCATGGACACACCGGTAATCAAAACCGAATCCAAAGACTCCGAAGATTCTCTATCCCAGCAAGTAGCTGCGCTCACACAAATGATGCAGCAGTTCGTAAAGGAGAATAAAAACAGAGATGTCCGGACACGCGAGCTGCGCAAACCACGAACAGATAAAACTTGCCCTTGGGACGGGTGCACTAGCAAAATGCTGAAAGATTGTCCGGATCTGGTGGATTGGGTCGCAAAGGGAAGAGTGGAGCGAAACGAACGAGGCTTTGTTCAGTTGAAAGGAGGACGAGACCTACGAAACGAAACCAAGTACAAGCGCGGATTGGTGAAGACTCGATTTGTCACGAAGCGGCAGAGGCGAAGTGACTAGCGGAGCAGGGAAGCGGAGCGACTAAGCAAGGTGATGAGGCGGAGCAACTTAAACGGAGCGGAGGCAAACTGGTCCCAGATAATGACAGAGATATATTGAGTATCGTAGTCATAGGTAACAGTAAGTAAGCACATACCTGGTCCCAGATAATGACAGAGAGGTCAAGATAAGGGACCAGGCTGTGAGGGATTGGCTTTATATACATAATCCGATCTGCGAGAAATGACGATGTAATACTGTACAGTTTAGGAACAAGGAAGGTGGCGGAAGCCAGTAGAAGGAGAAGGGTAACAGGTGGATCAGTAATCGATGATGGGGGTCAGGTGGATCAGTAATCAATGGGATTTGACAGTGATGTAATCGTACAAGTAAGGGCATCAAGACGGTGAGAAAAGGAAAATGATAGGGGCTACGTACTTCATGACATTACCCCCCTTCTTACGACCATTGCCCTCAATGGTCAAGCTTTTGCTGCTGTGGGGTGTTTCTTGTGGAAGGCACGAACAATTTTTGGAGCCCGGCTGAGGTTGGGCGCTGGCTCCCAGGAGTTATGCCCTGTGTCGTAACCCTTCCACTTAACCAGGTATTCCAACCTCTTCCACCGGACCCGACTATCCAGGATTTCCTCTACTTCATATTCCGGTTCGTCTTCATCCTCTAGGTAGACCGGCTCTGGTGGTGGTGGTATTTCTCCATTGATAGCGTTACCTTTCCAGGGGTAGAGTTTGTCAACATGGAACACAGGATGAATGCGGTCAAGGGAGATAGGGAGGTCAAGGCGGTAGTCCAGGGGTCCAATCTTCTCCAAGATTTGGTAGGGTCCGAGCTGCCGATCTCCTAGCTTTTCACTGGACAGTTGGAGGTTGATGTCTTCCGCACTGAGCCAGACAAAATTTCCGACTTTGAACTGGTGAGCTTTCCGTTTTCCTCGTTCGTATCCCTCTTTCTGCTGCTTTTTCCCTAAGTGCAAGGTGGCCCCTGCATCCTGTCGGGCTTCTCGGAGTATCCGTATGCGGTCGTCTACAGCTGGGATCCCGCTGCGTCGTCCAACTGGGATGTTGAACAAGGGGAGATATCCGTAGGTTAGTTCGAATGGGGACATGCCTAATGCAGAATGGGTTCGCGAGTTGATTACGAATTCAGCCATTGGAAGGTGCTCTGCCCAGTCATCCTGCCGACGACCTACGTAGAGTCAAATGTATTTTTCTACTTCTTGGTTGGCGCGTTCAGTTTGACCATTAGACTGAGGACGGTACCCGGAAGTGAGATCTGATTTGATTCCCAGTCTAGCAAGTAGGGATCGCATGAGTTTGGCTGCAAACTGAGGCCCACGGTCAGACTTGAAGTGAAGAGGGAGCCCATGAAGACAGAAGATTTCTTTGTAGTAGATGTCAGCAACCCCTTCTGCAGTCATGGAGCTGGTACATGGGAGGGCGTGAATTTGTTTCCCATAGAGGTCCGTGCAGACTAGGACCGCGTCGTATCCTTGGGAGTTTGGTAATTGCGTTATCAAGTCCACCCCTACCTCTTCCCATAGACCCAAGGGTACGTCTAGTGGTTGAGTTACAGCTCGTGGGTGTCTTTGGATCTTTTTGCGTGCGCATGTCTCGCATCCCTCTACGTACTTCTCCACAAAGGAGCACAGTGTTGGCCACCAGAAATGGGTGCTAACTAGATTGAGTGTTCCGTGGAGCCCAGGGTGTCCAGCAGTGGGATGGTCATGACATTGACGTAGTACTTCAGTGTGCAGATCATTGTCTGCTGGCACGTACACTCGTCCTCGGTAGTAGACCAGACCGTTGTCCTCCTCCCATTCGGCGATTCCATTGGCCAAGCGCTGTAGTCCGTGCTCTTTGACTGTTTTGAGACCTTCCAATACCTGTGCTTCCCGCTGTGAGGTTTTCCGGATGCGATCCTCTAAGGGGTTCCATAGGATAGAAGCTGCAATTTTGGTGAAATGGTTGGGCTTAAGGACTGTCTGCTGTCGATTATCCTCATTGTCTAGTACTTGGTGGGCTGCCATACGGGAAAGAGCATCAGCCTGAGTGTTTATTTTACCAGGGCGGTGGATCATGTGAAAGTCAAACTGTGAAAGGTATAGAGCCCAGCGAGCTTGGCGGTGGGTGAGGTCTTGAGCTGTGCGCCAAAATTTGAGGTTAGAGTGATCAGTGATGATGTCAAATGGCTGGGGTAGTCCCTCCAGGAAGTTCCTCCAGTCCTTCAACGCTTCGATAATGGCTAGCATTTCCCGATCATAGATCTCGTAGTTTCGTTCTGCTGGTTGCATAGAGGCTGATCTGAAGGCGACGGGATGCCATTGGCCATCATCTTGCTTCTGCATGAGGGCACCGCCAGTAGCAAAGCCTGAAGCGTCTACCTCGATTCGGGTTGGTCTGTCCAGTGTTCATAGGGCTAGGATGGGTGCAGAGATAAAGGCCTCTCGGAGGGTATCAAACGCTTGTTGCTGGGTGTCCATCCAGGTGAAGGATATATCTTTCCGAGTGAGGTCGTTCAGGGGCCTGGCTATCCTTGCAAAGTTCCGGATAAAGCGCTGGTAGAAGTTAGCAAATCCAAGGAACCCTCGTAGCTCTCGAAGGTTAGTGGGGGCTGGCCAGTTGTGAACTGCAGCTACCTTTACCGGATCCATCCTCACCTTCCCTTCCGATATAATGAGGCCTAGATATTCAATCTGTTGTTGTTCGAATTCACACTTCTCCGGTCGTAGGTATAGATCATGCTTCTCCAACCGGGTTAGTACTTCCCGTACCACTCGTCAATGCTCCTGAAGATTACTGCTAAAGATGAGGATGTTGTCTAGGTAAACCGCTACCTTTCCGGCTGCAATGAGGTCTGCAAATATAGCATTCATAAGTGCTTGAAACGTTGCAGGGGAGTTGGTGAGACCAAAGAACATAACCCTAGGCTCGAACAACCCTCGTGTGGTTGCAAAGGCCCCTTTCCATTCATGACCTTCCTTGATTCTGACGTTGTTATAGCCCCAGCGTACATCAAACTTGGTGAAATATTGAGCCCCTTGAAGCCGACTAATTATATCAGCCACCAATGGGAGGGGGTAGCGGTTCTTCACCGTATACTCATTCAGTTTCCGGTAATCCTGTACGAAACAGAGTTTCCCATCCTTCTTCTTCACAAAGAAGACTGGGGATAAGATGGGTGATTTGGAGGGAACAATGTAGCCTTGCCGCAGATTCTCTTCTAGGAAGCGATCCAACTTTTCCTGCTCATTTAGGGACATGGGGTAAATCTTGGTGTGCATGGTCACTGGTGCTCCAGGTATGAGATCAATTGCATGGTCCCAAGGTTGGTGGGCAGGTAATCGTTCGGAGGCGGATTCTGAGAAAACCTTCTTGAAATCACGGTACTGCTCAGGGACCATTTCTTCAAAGGTTTTGACGGGTTTGTCTCGGTTGGCTTCCTCTGCTAGCTGCTGGGAGTAAGTGAATCCTGCGGCACACCAGACTTCCTCAGTCTGTTCCTCTAGGATTCCTGCTTTTACCCATGCCCGGTGAGTTTTATGATTGGCTCGGATTCGGTGTATTGGCGGTTCTTCCACCACTGCTGATTCGCTCTCTTCAAGGGTCGTTTCCAGTGGCACCTCCATCTGAGGGGGTTCAGTGGGAGGTTCCAGGTTCGGGAGTTCAGGGATTGGGCTTTCTGTGTTAGTGGCGGCTCGATGAGAGTATGAGATCTCCTCGTCTGGGACTTCTTCTATAGCTACTCGAGGGGGCCTTACTGAAAGTCGTCCTTTCTCCCAATTGATCTCCGGATTTACCTTCCGTAGCCAGGGGAGTCCAAGGATGACGTCTTCACCTCCTAGGTTGGTGATCAGAAAGTCCATCCACCGCTCTTGATTATCCACTGTGAGTGCTAGGCGTGCAAAATGGGTTATCCGTCCAGCTTGGTTAGGTGTTCCATTGATATTAAAAACGTCGATTGGTTTATGAAGGGGTGCACATCTTACATGGTTCCGGGTGGCAAAGTCTTGGTTTAAAAACAGGGCGGTAGCTCCACAGTCTACCATGGCTGCAGTTGTTATACTATGATTCCTTCCTCTTAGTCTCGCATGAATTCGGAAATGTGGGGAAGTGGAGTTTAATTCCCGGATCGACGATATTGTACATGATGGGTGCGAGTCATACGAAGAAGTAGCGAACATAACAAACTGATTACGGGGTACTCTCGGTGCAGCCGAAGCGGGTACCCTCTTTAAAAACCCTGTTGCAAGCCAGAGGGTGAGGAGGACATAGCGTTAGCACGATCAAGTAATTCCCTTATTTGACCGATCTGGTTGGAGAAGTCCTGGTTAGGGGGGCTCGGAATAGCAGGTACGGTTGCAGGAGCGGATGTTGGAGTCGAGGAAGCGATCTGGACGGATTCATTTGGGAACAGGGAGAATGGTGTGGGTCCCGTAGCAGATATCTGCTGACGTCGAGGTTGCTGGCGTCGGCCTCGGTCTCGTCCAAGTCCCATGAACTTGTCTTGGCAGACTGCTTCCAGATGTCCTCGTCGTCCACAGTAACGGCAGGTGGTTTCTCGGTGTGGGCAGTTTTGCTTGACATGACCTTGGGCACCACAGCCGAAGCATTGTCCTCGCATACAAGCTAGGAATGCCTCCCTAGTATTCCCATTACTAGTGTGGGTTGCATCAATGTCCATAGTGTGGGGATCAGCAGGGGTAGTGTGAGCAGTATGTGTGGGAGCGTGTCCAGAGTTTCGGCCCGTCATGGTGGGATCATGCATGTAGACGTCTACTGATATGGCTTGTTTGATTGCCTCCTTCAGAGTCGGAGCAAGTCCTTGGGCGATGTTTACAATGATGAGATTTTGTTGGATCTCCGGAAGTAGGGCAGTGAAGAAGCGTTCCCGTAAATCAATGTCAGACATTCCAGTCCAATCCCCAATATCCTTGAACTTCTGAGCGAATTCCGCAACTGTCTGACCTTTAACTTGCTTGAGATTTTTGATCTCGCTGCGAGCTTCCATACCCGGGTCCACTGACTCAAAGCGTTGAACAAACTCTTTCAGGAACTCTTCCCAATCTCCTCCAAAAGGGGGATGTTCCGCATTGAAATGTAGCAAATGCGGGGTTGCCCAGTCACCCGCACTTTCAGTGAAGAACCCTAGGGCTGACTTGATAAGCTTTGCCTGACTCTTGGTGAGATCAGGTTGTTCCGATGCCCAGTTCTGGAACTGAGCCATGAAGCGACGCGCCTCAGCGCTATCTTTTCCCTTGAACACCTCAGGTTTGTTCATGCTGGACTTGGAGGATGAGCGTTCCTCCATGGCTGTAGCAAGATTGGCTACTTGTTTAATGAGCTGAGTCATGAGATCTTCTGCAGAGGCAGGTGGGGCTGGTGTGGCAGGCGGAATAGGAGTCGACATGATAGGAGTAGGCAATCGGGGTTGGGGAATTGGCAAGAAGGTGATATTTTCTACGGTAGTTGGGCCCTGAACTGAATTGGAGAGTGCGTGGGGGCAAGGCTGAGAGTCACAGTCGTACCAGCTATCACTGATATTGTGGGCGTGGTGCTGATCTCTGGGGTCAAGTGCGTGTTGGAGAGCAGAGCAGTCTGTTGTAGTAGGATGATCAGAAAGATCTACGGGTGTGGAAGACGTGATGTATGCGGATCCTGCAAGGACAACCTTATTGGTAGGCTGTCAGTGCAGTAATGGATCTTGACCTAATGTCACGAAGCGGCAGAGGCGAAGTGACTAGCAGAGCAGGGAAGCGGAGCGACTAAGCAAGGTGATGAGGCGGAGCAACTTAAACGGAGCGGAGGCAAACTGGTCCCAGATAATGACAGAGATATATTGAGTATCGTAGTCATAGGTAACAGTAAGTAAGCACATACCTGGTCCCAGATAATGACAGAGAGGTCAAGATAAGGGACCAGGCTGTGAGGGATTGGCTTTATATACATAATCCGATCTGCGAGAAATGACGATGTAATACTGTACAGTTTAGGAACAAGGAAGGTGGCGGAAGCCAGTAGAAGGAGAAGGGTAACAGGTGGATCAGTAATCAATGGGATTTGACAGTGATGTAATCGTACAAGTAAGGGCATCGAGACGGTGAGAAAAGGAAAATGATAGGGGCTACGTACTTCATGACACGATTCGAATGGTATTTTGAAGAGAACCCATCTGCCAAGACCTGGATCCTCGATATCCCCCAGACCCCCAAAAATCCCTTGTCTCCCACGCTAGCCGGAATAGATATCAGCCAGCACAATGCCTACACCCTACACAGTTATCAAGGACCCTCCATGCTGGCAACCGCGGCGACCTATACCCTCCAGGGAGAAAGCGACCCGACTGAAGCAGCAGCTGTGAGGGATTTGATCTTCAAAATGGAAACTCGTCGATCTAAGGGACATACCAAAGCAAATAACTCCTCGACATCTCTACCAGGCAAATCTTCTTCAGCAGCTACTAACGCTGGGACCCAACCAGATCCCGAACCTTCGAAGCCAATCCCTCCGAGAATTGTGTCCCCCACTAAACCGCCAAAACCAATCATTGGAAAACTTCCCAAGAACTACGTCCCTCCCCAGGAGAGGACTGTGGGGGTACAACCCAAGGAGGACCTCAGGAACTATTGATACTGGGCCCCGATTGAAACAGAAGCCGCGGTAGAGCGTATCATACAAACGGGCATGGCCAGCATGGTGTCAGTATGGCAAGACGACCTCCTCGCCATCGCCCCGGAATACTGTAAGAAGGTGAAGGACGCTATTACGAGTCGGAGGATTGGGGTCGATGGAGTACTACTGGACGATATGAAGCTATTAGAACCAGTGCTGATGATCGACCTCGACCTGGCTAAGGGACTTTATTCGGTTCCAGTTTTGCAGGAGGATCTGGCGAATTTTTTCACAGACTTTGGAGATGCCAAAGAAGGGGATGGATTCTATGTCGCAAAAGAATCGCACAATATTCAAGCCATAAACGCAACTATTGGTGGACGACCAGCCCATTGCATCCTCAACGGAGGCTGCAGTATCGTGGTGATGTCGGATGCTGCCTGTAATGCGTTTGGTTTCACCTTCGACCCTGAAAAGTGCATAAACCTACAAAGTGCAAATGGGAACACCGATTGGTCACTGGGACTAGCAAAGGACGTACCATTCCGCTTCGGCGACGTAGTGGCCTTCCTCCAGGTCCAAGTCGTGGACTCCCCGGTGTACGACTTCATTTTAGGTCGTCCCTTTGAAATTCTGATGCAAGCCTCCTACAAAAATTTCCTCTCAGGTGATCAACACCTTACACTGACTGACCCCAACACATACAAAACTACTACAATCCCGACCGTTCCTAGAGAGCCGCCGCGCTTCAGAAAGGAGGATGGTCCGGAGTACCGAGTTTAACTCGGTATTCCACGAAGGAGAAGTCCTTGCTGCCGAGCAGCATCCCTTCGCGATATGGAATTCGGAGAGCTGGAAGTGGATGAAGAAGCGGCGTTCATTGTTGAGTTGAACACCGCTGAGCTATCAGCTGACTCGTCCAATTTCCGAGGACATATCTCAATTCCCCTTATTTCCGCCAGCCTCGGGGAATCCCCGGGCATTGACAAACTTAATCTAGCATTTTTACACGCTCACGTGTACTTCACCTACGATGCGCCCATTGACTCTTTCTCCCTTTGCTCAGCTATCTCAGCTGAAGACCCTTTCCCTACATCTGTATTCCCTTGCATGGACAGGAGTACAACTCCTATCCAGCAGGACTTAGTTACAACCACTCCCAAAAATTGTACCCTCTCTCCCTCAAATAAAAATTCTCGGATTTTTGAAACATTTGCCGCGACTAAGAAAAGGTACAAGCCTGTCGAACGACGCACCCAACCAGTACCAGCAACGCTCCCAGAGAAGTTCCGAGTGGTCAGACAGTTTCCATCCGACCCTCTCGAACACCTACCTATATTAAAACCGAACCCACCGCCATTCGTTTTTACCAGCCGTTATACGCAAGAATGCAAAGAATTCATGGATTCAGTCCACGACCCGAACTTCCTCTGGCCTCAAGAGATGGCGGCAATCCACCATTTGATGATGCTGCACAAGAAGGTGTTGTTAAGATCATGTACACCGTGTAACCGTGCCAAAGCCACAAGGTGTCTAAGTGCGGAAGACGAGTGGGACAGTAGTGAAGTTATTAACAACACCGCCGTTACGCCGTTAGTCCCCGGAGATCGAGAGTAGAGAAGGGAGGAACTGAGGAGCAGCCAAGTCGGAGCAGCGGTATCGCCGGTGACGAGGAGCGAACCAGAGAACGTCTAAGTCCTAAGGTTATAGTAGAGAGTACTCCAAGGCATTGAGCCTGAAGACTTAGAGAAGAGCTAAGTTGGAAGAGAGATCTAAGTTGATCTAAGTCAATAATTAAACTGAGGAACTACAGTAGCGTACAGGCAGTATTTATATCTACGGAACGGCGCAGCGGTGCGGAGCGCCAGACTAACTACTAGGAGCTATACGAGTAGTACCTGCAGGGTAGAGTAAAAGACAATAAGGAGGGACTAGAACGAAAGGGTATGTGTAGCGAGAAAGAACAATAAGAGTAAGATTACAATAAGAGTGGATCTTCGGAGTACCGAGCGGCGGAATGGAGGCCCGAGGCATGGTCTTGACAGGCGTTTGCTTGGTGTGAAGAGGAAAAAGGTCAGCTAAACCCTAAATACTTCCCACCAGTTGAGATGCCCATTATTGAACATACCCCATGGCGTGTCCCTACCCTACCAATCTCACCTGGACTGGCGGAGCGGATAGTGGAAATTGTCTGGGAGAAAATCCGGACTGGGGTATACGAACCATCCAACTCTTCCTATCGAACGCGGTGGTTTGCCGTAGTCAAGAAGGATGGTACTTCGCCACGCCTTGTCCATGACCTGCAACCACTGAGCGTGGTGACCGTCCGCGACTCCTCCATTCCCCCAATACTTGAAAACCTGGCAGAAGCTTACGCTTTCCGCTCAGCCCTTGCCACACTTGACATGTACGTAGGGTACGACGAACGTATGCTCGCAATCACTTTGCGGGACTACACCACTTTCCAAACACCACTAGGCGCGCTCCGCCTAACTTCAATCCCTATGGGATGGACCAATTCCCTCCAGATTTTTCATGGTGATGTTACCTTCGTTTTACAGCCGGAGATTCCTGAATACACCATTCCATATGTAGACGACGTCAACGTCCGAGGCCCCCCTACACGCTATGAACTCTCAGACGGCGGATACGAGACAATCCCTGAGAATCCGGGGATCAGACGATTCATCTGGGAACACCTCAATACCTTCAACCGCATCCTCACGCGCATGGAATACGCTGGAGGGACATTCTCAGGGATGAAGACCCTGCTGGCAGTGGCAGATGCCCTAATTACAGGTCACCGTTGCTCATACGAGGGGCATATACCAGACCCGTCTCGGCTGGAGAAGGTTGTCAGTTGGGGACCTCTGCTCAAACTCACGGACGTGCGGGCATTCCTAGGCACTGTAGGGGTATGCCGGATCTTCATCGACTGCTTCGCAGAAAAAGCAGAACCCTTGGTGCGCCTCACACAGAAAGATATTCCCTTCCAATTCAGTACTGCCGAAGCAAACTCCCAGCAACTCCTCAAAGACGCCCTGGTCGCCTCACCCGCAATACGTCCACTGGACTATTCCAATGGTGCGCCAATAGTGCTCTCAGTGGACAGCTGTAATATCGCTATCGGGTATATCCTCATGCAGCTAAGTGTCGAGAACCCTGCCACACGCTTCATTAACCGTTTCGGTTCAATTACACTTAATGAACGAGAAGCGCGCTATAGCCAGGCTAAGCTTGAGCTGTATGGGTTATTCCGCTCCCTACGAGCCACCCGCTTATGGACAGTTGGTGCGCAGCAGTTCGTTGTCGAAGTAGACGCGTTATATATCAGAGGGATGATTAACAATCCCAATATCCAGCCCAACGCCGCCGTAAATTGATGGATTGCGGGGATCTTGCTCTTCTCATTTACAATGGTCCATGTTCCGTCTGAGCGCATTGCAGCTGATGGGCCGTCACGTCGAATCCGCCAGCCTGGAGACCAACCAGAAGTCGATGACGACTTCAAAGACTGGATAGACCAAGCTAACGGCTTTATGCATTTTATCAACAGTTCCCCCTCTTCCTCTTCATCCCTCAACACCTTGGTTACCCTCCCTATCTTTGTGGCAGAACCTATTACACCACATGAGGATGTCGACCTTGTCCCGTATTCCTCAGTACCCAGATCGCACTGCGCCCGGGCAATTGATAACCAGCTCGACTCAATCAGGATCTATCTACATTCCCTAGAACGTCCCGAAGGCTTATCAGATCCCCAATACCAGCAGTTCATCAAGTATTGCCTCCAATTCTTCATTGACTCCACTGGACGCCTGTGGCGAAGGGATCCACAAGGTAACCACCGCCTAGTCGTCCCTCAACATTGCCAACTGGCAATCGTCAAGGAGGCCCACAACAGGATGGGCCACAAAGGGGTCTGGGCCTCTACATCGACTATTCACGAATGGTTCTGGTGGCCTCGACAGGCAGAGGACATCAAATGGTATATCCATACCTGCCACTTATGCCAACTCCGCCAGACCGAAAAACTCCGAATCCCCCCCGTCGTAGCGGAACCGTTAGGCCTCTTTGCCAAATGCTACATGGACGTTATGGAGATGCCTAAGTCAGGTGGATTCAAATACATTGTCCACGGGCGTTGTTCCTCATCCGCCTATCCCGAGTTCCGCAAGCTTTGCCGACAAACGGGAGAAGCCATAGCGAACTGGATATTTGAAGACATCCTGTGTCGATGAGGCACCCTCCGGGTCATCATCACTGATAATGGCACCCCGTTTGTGCTCGCTCTCGAAATCCTCGCGAAACGCTACGGCATACGACACATCACAATATCAGCTTACAATTCTCAGGCTGCGGGAGTAATCGAACAAAAACACTACGACGTCTGGGAAAGTCTCATAAAGGCTGCAAAGGGGGATGCAAACTTGTGGTCACCAACTACCCATTCGGTCTACTGGGCTGAGCAAGTGTCATGCCTTGCTTCTCCGGACCTTTCCCTTTCCTTTCCAGAGCTCCGGTTCATCACTTATACATGTTTCCGATATTCTATGCACCATCCTTACAATCTTTACTGTACATATTACCTGTCACTCCAGTAGCCACATGACATATGTACCTGACAGCCTCATGTACAGTATATAGGCTGGGGACTCCCCTCGGAGCTCCCCAGCGTGTTATTGTCAAATCTTACCTGGAAACTCTTCCTACCTGGCTTGGTCCCTTTAGTACAGTCTACTAGTACTTGCTAACAGGGCCTGACACGTCTCAACAGTCATATATTTCCTCATTATCTGTTTCCTTTATCTCTGTCTCACCTCAACTCTGTTTCTCCTCTCTGTTTCCTATCTCTGGCCTCTTTCTGTCAATCCTCATATTGTCCACGCCTCTACTTCGACTCACCATCTACGTCGAGGCTCTACAATTCATCCTTCATCCTTTGGAACCTCCCATTAGGTTCCCAATTCCGCTTTATTGCTCCCTAAGCTCCCCACAGCTTCCCACTCGTATCAGCTACACCTCCCCTCCACATCGAAGCGGTGGTTACGCATTACGTTCTACACCTCCAGGACCCTCTATTAGGTCTACCCAAGCTCCACAACTACCCCTGGTTAGGCTCCCCTCACCAGTATCGGCACTATCCCATACCTCCTCGTACAGCCTAGGCGGCTACTGCGTTCGCTTAGGCCCAGTCTGGGTAAGACCAGAGCAGGCCTTCTGTGCTGGGGCCTCACAGCAAGTAACTGCTCGACGATCTACTGGCGCCAGTGTCATAAAGTACGCAGCCCCTATCATTTTCCTTTTCTCACCGTCTCGACGCCTTTACTTGTACGATACATCATCCCATCACTGTCAAACCCCCATCGATTACTGATCCATCGATTACTGATCCACCTGACCCATCTTCTCCTTCTACTGGCTTCCGCCACCTTCCTTGTTCCTAAACTGTACAGTATTACATCGTTGTTTCTTGCAGACCGGATTATGTATATATATAGCCAACCCTCCACAGCCTGGTCCCTTATCTTGACCTCTCTGTCATTATCTGGGACCAGGTATGTGCTTACTTATTATTACCTATGACTACGATACTCAATATATCTCTGTCATTATCTGGGACCAGCCTGCCGCCGTTCTGCTTAGTCGCTCCGCCTTGTTGCCTTGTCCAGTTGCTCCGCCTCACCGTTCTGCTTAGTCGCTCCGCTTTCCCGCTCCGTTAGTCACTCCGCCTCTGCCGCTTCGTGACAGCCAGCCCATACTTCCTGTCTCACGGCTGTCATCCCCTGCTCCCACTCAATATCGAGGAAGCCACGTACCTCTTACCACCTCCCGACTCCATCCTATCCACAGAGGATCTCTTGGCCCGCAGGGCACAAGAGCTTCAAAAGCGTGTGGAGGATCTGGAAGACATGCGCAAGCGTGTCCACCAGAATCGACTGGAAGGAATACACAGATTCGAACAAAAGCACCTACAAAGTATCAAAAATTACGACTTCAAACTCAGAGACTTGGTGATCGCAAGGAATACCCGGGTCGAGAAGACCTTCAGCGCGAAAAACAGAATGCCCTACATGGGTCCCCTCATTGTCATCCGTCGAAACCGAGGAGGAGCCTACATTGTCGCAGAACTTGATGGTACTGTATGGAGGATGCCTGTGGGCGCGTTCCGGCTCATTCTTTATCTAGCGTGTTCATCCCTGCCATTACCAGACTTGGAGGACTTCCTCGACATCTCAACGACTGAATTAGCTGAGCTCAAGTCCTCGGATGACAACCAGAGTGGCGAAGACAAGATGTTACTCCCCAAGTAATCGAGGACCTCGACCCCTGCTTCCTGATAAATAGTTCAATACCCTCTGAAAGGTGTTCTTCCACTCCTTTCTCTTCTTTTGTTTCTTTCTTTAGTTTTTCTATTTATGATTTGTGGCGCTCCCTAACTCATAGTCATTGCCTCGATTTCTCGCAAGTAATATTTTCTCTATTCTACTTTTGGTCCCTACATATTCCCACCCTCGACGGATCCCGTCCACATGTTCACCCACCTGCTCATATTCCCACTGGAGGTTGGCCCGGAGGAGTTGCACACCAAAGTGACCTCCATCACAGTCATCCGCGCTCGGCTCAACGTGCCAATGCTCGAACAGGAATCCAATGGCCTCCAATGGTGTGCGAAAACTGTAAAAGCTGTCTGTGGGTCAGAAGAAGTCCCCCTCACAGTTCAGGACAGCATACCGATTGTTCCCGAAGTACACCACCATCCGTGCCTCGGACTCCCCATTACCCTCTTCGAACATCACCACCGGTTGTGGGCGCTCCAAGGAGAGCTTCTGTAACAGTGCACCGTTCCACCCAATAGCAGCCGCCAGCGAAGCACGCGGTAACGACGACAACACTCCGTTTGGGAGGTCGAGGAGAAGGTTGTAACAGTCCAGAGGGAACACTGCGAGTGGTGTGCCCCCGACGGGTATGGGGTGCACCTCTGCCTCAGAGTAAGCCCAGACGAGTTCGTACACCAAGTTGGGGTCTTCAGGTCGCTCATCGCACCTGTCCAAAGCACGCAGGTACATGCATCGATGGTATTCTCGGGTGTGCCACTGTTCATGGTTGCTTAGGCTCATGGCTAGCAGGCGAAGTTTATCTTCATTTTTCACCATTTTTGTTCCCTTATTTATAGCAGTATCTTCGTGGCGGTTCCCCCTGCAGTTTTGTCACTCGGCTCCCTGTCTTCAAGTTAAAGTGGAGAGGAGATGTTGAGCTCCATGTGCTTCTGCACACAGAACCCGACAGTTCCTGTGCTCCTGCCGGAAACGTAGAGCAGGATCAGCCTTATTCCCTCAATTTTTGAGTTTTAAAGTACCATTTCGATCATCTTCGGCATCCTACTACCTCTTATAGTAGATTAGATAGTTATTTTGTGCGCTCTCTTTGTTTCGAGGGTTCGTATAGTTAGGAATACCGATCTAGGGTAGGTACAATGTATCGGTACATAGGCAGTAGGTAGGAGACCGAAAAAGGACAGATTTTATCCCCCCACCTTTTCGATCTAAGAAAAACCAAGTGAAAATCGTACGAATTTCCTCAGTTCGAGCAGTCCCTCAGACCAAGTCAAACCTCCTGTCGTACTCGAGGCGGATCTGTTTCACGTACCGGACTAGATTCCGTTTCATACAGGTACACTGCATCTGCACATTATAATGTGGTTGAAAGGAGCCCCAAACCCATCAGAAATGAGTAAGGCACTGAAGTCTCCAGCATTTCAAACCAAAGTTGCAATGTTCATATCAGCAACAATTGGGGGCAGATGTTGTGAAAATATTGGCAGGGTTGATCATTGTAAAACCCAGCTGTCGAGCACATATAACCATCCAAGTTTGCCTGAAAATCCCCTTGGAGATTAATTCTATATGAAGAAAAGACAGAGCCTCAGTGTAGAACCAACAAGGAACTAAACAGCTTTTATTATACCTATACAAAGGAAAAACAGAGCTATCTAGATAATCAGTATCACCTAATACAGGTATGATGAAAGAAAGAGTGCTTACCCTCAGTGTAGAATCGACAAGGAACCAAAGAGCTGAGGGAGAGCAGTGTGCGAAATGCAAACTATGTAGTATGAGTCATGTGGAAATGAAACAAAACGGCCAGAAATGGAAAGTCCTTCCAACACACCCGCATTGATGAATGAAGTGGTCAGGTAACTGTTGGTAGTGGTACAAGACCAAGAGAAAGAGAATGTTTGTAGCGTAGATCTGTAGGTAAGGATTTGGTAAAAATGTCAGCTATCTTATCAAGAGAGGAAAACCAAATAGTTGTGATTGAGTCAAGTTCAATATGAGAACAAACAAAATGGTATTGGATATCAATGTGCATCTGCAAAACCTGGATGTTCGCGAGAGCAAGGGTACTAGCTGGAGAGCACTGTCCAGCGCTGAAAGCACTCCCAGCAGTTTTTCAGTACTGCTGGGAGCGCTTTCCCAGCTGGACAGTGCTGTCAGCTGCTTTCAAGCTCTTAGCCGAAAATGCAGGTTTTACAGATGTGTTTGGAGCGATTAGAAACAGAGCATGAATTCATTTTATCAATCAAAAAACAGTTGTCAGAAATTAGAGGAAAAGAATTAGGAATAGGGAGTGAAATTAAAGCAGTAAATATCCGGATCCAAAGTAGCTTGTTCAGGACAACCCATGTATTTTGCTTCCATGGGAGGATAATGCTATACTCTTGTGCTTTGATGCTGACCAGGTGATCAAACCTCCAAATAGGAAGATATGAAATTTTGAGATCGATTTGTGATCCAGGAAGTAGCTACCTCAATCAGCATTGGAAAGAGCCATCATATCAGATCTTATACCCAGGGTATTTATGAGATCAGCCTGGTAATTACCACCATACTGTAGAGACCAATTCTTAGTTTTTGCCAAATATCGAAGTGTTCCCTTTGCAGCAACTAGGTGTCGGGGAGAGGGCTTGGCGTTGAATTGGGCGAGGAACATCACTGTATATAATATATCGGGCCGACTGCAAAAAGCTAGGAAGAGAAGGCAACCAACAAGTGCTGAATAGATTTTTGTCAATGATTCAAGATCCGCATCAGCGTAAACAGAAGGATTGGGGTCGGGACCATTAAACTTATATTGGAGTGGCAGATCGTGAATGATACACTAGTCAGGCCATATTGTTCTAGTAAATCTTTGATGTATGATTCTTGTGAAAGCCATAGCAGACGTCGAGACCGGTTGCGATATATTCAAATTCCGAGGAAGGTTGATGTTGATCCTAAGCCAATTACTCTGAATCAATAATTAATTTGAGCAATAAACCAGTGGTAGAGTTTGATATAGTTAGTAGAAACCAGATCGTCATCAACATGGACCGGGATTAGCATGGTTAGTGGGTCACCAGTTGGCGGTATCAAGATAGAGGGATCAGGTGGAGTTGACCATCGGCGAATGAAGAGAGCGTTATCACATTTACATTGTTTAAATTGAATATCATGCAGTGCCTTATAGAGTGTACAATACCATGCTGGCAATGCCTGGTGGAGCCCATATAATGCTTGTTGTAAATGATATACTGCATAGGAATGCTTGACAATGGGTCAACCTGGAATTTGTTTGACATAAATTTCTTCGGCAAGTAGTGCATTCAGAAATGCTTGTTTAACATTAAAGGAATATAATTTGAGGTGGCTTCAAATTCCGTTGAGGTTTGCGCAGTGGTCGCAGGGGCGCTTGTGGCTCTGGGTCTCCTTGCCGACTAATAGAGTTCTGGTAGCGCCACCACTCATCGGTTTCATAAAGAACCAGGTCAGAATAGTGGAACACAGTGAGTCCTTCAAATTTAAGGCGGAACAAAATCAGTTGACATCAGACGAACAGTATTGGGTGGAGGTCGCGGAGCTAGGAAAGCATCGTTGATACGAATGGCTGTGGCCCGCATGCAAATAAAAAAGGCAATGACCATTACGGTAAGGTCGAAGAAGCACCGCACAGGGAACAGCAAGCGACAGGACAATGGTCCCGTATCCATTAGGTGATAGGAACAAAAGGTGGGCTATAAATTCGTATTCAGTTTTCTACATCATCAAGTGTTTGCTTTCTAAAGCGAATACGTAGAATACTGAACTGGATTTGACTGAAGTGAATGGTGTAACTAACGATTTCTGAACCACATTAATCTTATGGGTTATGAATACATGGATTGATACGCTGGTCTTGTTCGAGACGGGTTAGGTGGTGAAATTGTTCAAGTCAAGAACATTCTTCCGTACGTGTACAGTCTTAACATCAAAAATGTATCTGACTATTGCCGCAAGGGTCGGTCTACATATCAATCGAGATACAAGAGAGCGACGTCTAGTGGGTCCGGACCCTTGTTGGACACAATATTTCCCCCTGCTTACTAGGCATCGCGGTTGTTGTTCGATTTCAGCAGTTGTGTACCGTGGGCGGCAAGAACTCTTTGAAACGATTGTTGTGACATGAACGGATCAGAGACGTAGACGATGAGCGATGTATGGAAGCTGTCTTGAAAGAGTGTCTCGATATTGGAGTCGTCGAAGGCGATAATGGTCTTTGCACCCCCCCCGCCTGCTCTTTTCCTTTCACCTTTGGCAAAAGCTAATACATTGATCTACCAGTGTATGAGATATGTCAGACTGTATAGAACTTTGATATATTCTTAAATCTACATTCACATGTTTTGATATGTACCTGAAGAAGTTCCGAGGCTGTTATGATCACATCCATACGTCGACAGTTGGAATATATTCTCTCCTGCATATGCAACTTGATGTGAAGTCATATCATTACCACCACCGTTGTCGATATAAAGCTCGGTGTTGATTGAAGCAGATGTCGAAGCATATTCATTGAAATAGGGGTTAGTGTAATGAGTGGCGATTCTCTGGACGGGGTAATCGGGTGAAACGTTCTGGTCAAAGTAATACATGGAGGTATTCGATATGGGTTGCTCAGCAGATGCAGTTGCGCAATGAAGGGGTTCCGTTCGAGATAATACATACAACTCGTCGATGAAGCAAGCCATTTCCAACTGCTGCTGTAACACTTCGACAAGATTACAAAAAACTAATACGGCCTCAGGAGGAGCACACTTACCACGTTGATCACATTGAAAAACAGATTGAGTATGAAACGATGTTTGGTGGCTTATATGAGGCTTGAGATTTGAACGTATAGATGTTGGATCAACCGTGTTGGATATCAAATCCAACGACGTTAACGAGCTTGCCTCGTTTTTGTGTGAAAGAGAAAGGAAGGAATCTAATGGGCACTCCAACCAACCAATCTAATACACAATATGCGAGTTCACTGCTATCAAATTTATTTAATAGCAAGGGGTAGCGTTGGCAAAGGTTCCGCAAAGCTTTGAGAGCTAAGTAAGAAGCTTTGATCAATCAATTTGAATCGTTCTAAGGATTCAATATATTCCTTTGATCAAGGTAGATTCAGCACGATTTGTGCTTTGATTGTATTGATATGAGTATATCAAGAATTGGGGGTTTGAATCAAAGTAAATTAAAACTGAAACACACAGACCCCTACGGAGGGCTAGAACTATGTGCTGGCACAACCACACAGTGTGATTTGCCCTTAAGACCAACGACTGATCTTAAGTTCGAAGAATACCCAACAACTGGATATACTTCTTGCAGTCACAAGGAGCAGAACACAATGTTCCTATACTCACAAGTGCCGGGCCCGAATGGCTGCTAGCGAAGAGGTTTCAGTCTGGCGGGAGTGTGTCTTTCCTTTTTACGGATTAGCACTGCAACGTCGTCCCAAAATCACTTGTATTCCAGATACATCGGATCACTATTTATACATACAGAATATAGAGTCGCACAGTACAATTAATTTAATACAATAAACGTTCGGAACCGCCAGGAAACTTCTACACTTGGTCAGATACCATTTAATTTGAATCTATATGACCTTATTTGGCCCATATTGGTTCCAAGATTCTAGTATACCTCCAAACATAGGTAGGTACTTCGATATTCATTTAATTTAATTGTTTTTGGAGAATGACTTGAATGGTGTTCAACTGTCATTGCTGTTCAACACTTACTTTGATCGTTTGTCACCTCGTCCGGAGGCAAATCAGCTCTCCTCGATTCTAATCCTATCAATCTGATTCATCTGGATTAAACTAATTGCTTCTCTCTTTCAACAGACACCCATTGTGCCTATACTCTATCAAGGGAGTTACGCATAGTATTCATTTAATTGTATTCTTCAATATTTTCTACGTCAGGACTCTTTGACATTCATTTGATATGTCTTCGGAGCCTCGCAGTCTTTCGATCGTTCTTCTAGTCATTTTCCTCAACCATGCAACTTGATTGGTCTATTAGACTAAATCGCAGTCTTTTAGATTAATGCATGATCTCGTTCTAGAAGGAGTATTTGATAATTCCTGAGTTCTAGAAAGTCATTTCGAGTCAATCCTCGGCTCATGGTCACTTGAGTAAGTTCTTCCAAACTCCTGCCAGTGTAAGGTCCAATAAGAATACCCTTGGTATGTCATACGTGAATGGTCATCCTTCGGATGTAGTCCGAGTCTGGTATAATCCTGCTTGACAAACAGGTAGACTGCTATCCGTAGGTAGTATTGGGGATGGGTAAACTAACCAACTTGTGGTAGTAGGGGTATATGGTCCCTTCAACTTATTAGACTGATTCAGTATTGACTTTGACTGTCAATCTGGGTCTCAATTACAGTCCTCTTGATACAAATCTATACGTGAAAATGTCACAATTGACAGCATAGACGTCTAGCCAAAATTTAGGCGTGTCAACGTAGCTAGACGATACATGAGTAAATTCAGAATAGAGAGAATATGACGGGACATAAGTAGGGTACTCGCCCAAAGCTCCGCTAACAGGTTGTCGTGGTGCGATGTTTATCATCGGTTCATCTTCTTCGAAGGAATCCATTGGATCTGGATGACTTCCCATCATCGCAGAGCCGTGCGTGACGGATGTTAACACAGGATAAAACAATTTCTGACATGGAAATTGGATCATCAGCGATATTTATGACGCAAAAAATTCAACTAATGATTTCTTCAGTGTCTGGGACGGATGGGATACTCTGTTATTGATAAATGGAAAATCGAGACATATGCGGGAATGGTGACCACGTACTTGTTGTTTTCGTCGCCGGTTAGGCTTTAACGGTTTAAGCTGGTAATCTTTGGTCGCTTGGTTGTACCATTTGAGTAGCCACAGAAACTGGTCGTCGCTCAAATTCATACTTTCTTTCACATATAATTTCTTGACTGCAGGTACGCGACTGCAGTGACTGTGAGAGCCGCATTGGACACAGTGAAGAGCAGCTTTGCACGTTTCACAATCTCTTCTTTTTTTGATACACGCAGTACATTTCTAGAAGGAAAAAATGAGCAAAAATCCGAAACAAAAGCATCAAGTAACGCAACAATTTCTTTGTATTTTTTGTTAATCATTGTCTTCTCTTCTTTACTACAGTTAAGACAATAGGTCCTCCTGAAATTGTTCTTCATGTCCACGGTCGCCCAATCAGGTTCGTTACCTTTGCTCTGTGCGACCGGTTATATTACAATGTCAAATAAAAGAACATATGTACATATGTCAGGTCTGAATACGATTCGGTCATGAATAGTTGTGGTACTGGAGAGACTGGATGACAAGAATTTGCGCAGAGAGGATATTGATCCATGTTGTCCGGTGACCAGTCATTAATGGCCTCGGTCTATAAACTAGTAGGAATATGTTCATTCTTAGTCCATGAGATTTTCGAATGTAAATTGCGGTACAATTTTGAAGTTGGTTCTAGAATTGTACGCGTTACTCATACTTACAAGTAGAACAAAATACATTAGTATAGTGCTTGGCGAGACTGGATATTCGGCACCTGGATAGCAAATGTGCAATCTGAGATGCACTGCTATATGTGATCGGACGAATTTCTTTGTGGAAACAAGGCTTTGTATGTACCTCCTTGCAAGAAGATTTTGGACATTTGCTAACATTACATGTTCGTTTGCATGGCATGTCACGTGATCGAGGTCGACAAACAAGCAGAAACAATGTGAAAGTTATCCGCTGTATGCTGTTTCTTCACCAGGATTACTTCTTCGACGAACGTCTGTGGATGAGACTTATTCGGCCATGTACTAATTTACACATACAACTCATCGTGAAAGAAACTTGTTCGATAGAACGTGTTTGTGGCAACGATTGGTTGGCGATTGTGCAGTTGCAATCTGGGCAGGTATTAAAATGGGTACTGTGGTAGATTTAGCAAGCACTTGACCTGAACTCTGCTTTGAACGTGGCATCTCAGAAGTCTCCGAGGCATTGTTTGAATATTTTCCGCTGGTGCGTGAAGACGTTCTTTGATAGAATAAGGTTGGTATCAATGAACTTTCGCAGGTGTGTATTGATGGACATGTTCATGAGGAATACGCCAAGTTGAATGGCACATTTGAAGTTACTTCTGTATGGGTTGTCTGGTTTTCATATGTTGGTAACATTCCCAATCTACCTCCGGCAATGAAAAACACCAGAAGTTATCACTCAATGTACGAAATTGCCCGTTGGTCTGAAAATCCAAGATGAAGAATTTGGAAAGAAGCACGAAGATTATTATTTGGTGCGTTTCCACTGAGAAGAATGGTTCCGAGGTATGCGCAGTGAAATGTTGATCAATCTGATAGCCTTTGCAATTAAGATTGAATTGGAATTGCACCGTTTTTTGTATTACTTGCATGATGTTCCCATGCAGGATTTTCGGCAGTGCTCAAGTGGATTTTCCATTGCCCGACTGGTATCGTGAAATGTAAGGGGCATCTTTGTGGGTATTTGGCAAGGCCATCTCTGCTTTTAGCGCTAATCGAATTTATAGGCCTCGTTGTTTAATGTGTAAGGATCTGTTTTTTGCCGCCTGGATATATATTTTTCCCTTGTATTTCTTGCGTCATTAACCACCTTATGTGCTTCAGGTATCATTGAACATGTTGCAGGTGCTCTTGTTATTGGTCACGGTTCGTCTGTTGTTCACTGATGGCATTTTATGTAGGACACTGTTGCGAAAAAGTGCTGATATACCATAGAAAACATACGACCTTACCCGACAACAAAACACGATGTTGTCGAAGTCAAATACAAAACCAGTGATAATCCCAAGGGATATATGTGAGGATGTATCTTCCCTCACCGAATCGGTTGCTAAACGATTAGTGTAGATCAGTTTACCAATACCTGTTGAATGGTGAACTAATAATGCGCAACAAAGAGGATGGTTACATCTTGTGGAGCAGTTTGTGGAAAGGTATGCAGATATTTGTCATTGAAGACACTGTTGGGTCTCAATATGCAGTATCAGCCATAGGTTTCTGTGCAGGTATAACCGTGACTGGCGAATACAACAGGAATTGATCAATTTTCGCAGTTAATGTAGCAACCATGCTGAAAATGGAACCAGATATTGGTGAAGTTGTGCGAACTGTCAAACATGGTGTTACACAAATCAGAGGAACATGGATGCCGTACGAGGTGCGTGAACGATTCTGGTTAATGTGTACTGTCTATCTTACCTTTGTTATAGGTTGTTCTGAGTTTGGCGTTACGGTACTAACTGACTTGCATGGCTCATTTTTTGTTGTCATTAACTTGCGATAGGGCAGGTTGGGGCGTGAAGGAGGAGCTAGTCCCATTATTTGGGTAAGAATTATTCTTGACAGGACCGAAGATGATTTTGATTTATTCGTTCAGCCCTGGATTTGTAACAAAATGTTTTCATCCCATTCAGCCGAACTATCGTAAAGCTATCTATCCAGGCGATCGTCGTCAGTATGATCCTCGTCATTATGATCATAAGGGATCGAAAAGGCAGAGGGATATGTTTGTTTATGTTCGGTTTGAGCAGAAAGCATACGGTCGGCTGTCAGCACATTCTTCTTGTGATGCTGCAGCAGCTCAGCCTTATTCCGTGAAATCTCAAGTTGAAGAAAGTGTTAATTTGAGCAAAGACAGTTACTTTCGAAGGTGAAGAAATGAGGTGCAAGTTATACAAGACATGAGATCACATCAAAGTTTGTTTCCTGTGTCTCGATCTCAAAATGAGATGCTGTTGTCGATTGCAACGAGACCATTGATACAAAATCATATAGACCCGAATATGGATGTCCTTGCATGGACGTCGTATTCTTCTTGCAGCACAGCAGTCATGTTACCTCCGATATCCACATTTAACAATCTACGTCACTTTGATCTTGTCGATGCCGCGGCCGTGCTGTACAGATTGACGCGTTGTGAGGATGAATGAGGATGAGCATAATACAGATTGTAAGCTATCACATGCTACTTCTAGGGCAAAAAGACTGATACTTTACCTTTAAAATATCCTTTCTCTGTACCAGAATAGATACCGTGTGTTACCCAAACAACAGTTGCAAAAGCTAATTTTGAGCAGAGGATATGTGCTTCAATATACAGGTTGCGTTGTATTAGTGTTGGGATTGTATACGTTTAGCTTGTCTTTCTTTTTTGTATGTTGTGTTGCTTGAAGTCGCCTAAATCTATGTACAATAATATATGAGAGTGGTCGGGTGACCTTGTTTATGAACAAATAGAAGTTTGTTTTCATGGTGAGTCTCTGATAGAAAGCTGTATGATTATATACAACATACAAGATACATGTATCGAGGATGCTCATGGTGTGCTTTGTTCATGGAGATGGTATGTGATGTGCAGATAATAAACAAGAACGGTGAACAACTTTGGTATAGAAAATGTCGAGGGAACAGCTCTTTGATCTGGTCTTTTACTGAGACAGGTTATCGCTCCATACCGTTGAATAGTACGCACGGTCGGAAGTAAGTAATGCACTGTAGCGATAATGCGATGAAACACGGTACTACCACATGAGAGAGATGGGGGAGGATCGACTGAGTATCCCGCTCTGACTTATAAGATCCCTCAAGTTTCCGTTTCGCAGAATGGACATCGGACAAGAGGCCAGCGCCAGCCTGATGGCAAAGTCGATCGCGCAGCGATTGTATCTTGCGATGAAGATGTTCATCAGAGCCAGAGGGAGATGCGGGACGAGCAGGAAGCTTCGAATCATTCGACGGAGCATCAACACCAATGTTGTCAGAATGGCTTTTCATTGCTCCATAGACTTTTTGGAGCCATCGTTGCGATTTTTGTTGATGTTTAAGAGTGATTTGGTCTTCGTTCCGAGTGAGTTTACTCAGATCAGATTCACAGCCGGCGAGCATCAAAAATGCTGGTTTGAGCTCGTTCTCCGAAACTCCATAGCGCGCCATGACTATAGGGGATAAAAAGATTGACAAGAATCCTGAATATCTCGGACAACCATATTCCTCACCTTCCACCATTGATTGGATTACAGCAATCGCAGTGTGCGGATTGCCTTGACGACGATAACATGCTCCGACTGTTATCCAATTTCTACATTCGCTCCCCGTGGATTGCAGGAGTTCGATGATTTTGCGAGGATCAGACTGAAGATTTCTGAGATTGTAGGAGAAAAGCTCGCCGCATAGACACAGATGTATGTGGGTAGTCAGAGGAATACAGGGAAGAGTTAAAGAGTCAAGTGCTTTCGCTGAGTAGATGTAAGTCAGCGGGGAAATGGTAGCGGTTTTGGGGTTCTCGGATGAATGCGGATACGGATATTGCTTATTTATTACTATTGGCGACAAAAGACTTGAGGAGTTCAAAGCGTTCATCCAAGTGGGAGGATTTGTATCGTCGCGATTGTTGAATTTCGGAGCGTCTATTTCGGGCCTGTTATAGTCGGGTGCGTGAACAAGATTGGTAGAAGGGGTCAAAACTGCATTGGGAATATGCGTATAATGGCGAACGCGGCTGGCATCTAGTATGGGTATATTTTGAAGATTGTTGAGCGGGTGCTCCTTAGGTCTTGGTGTGCCCGACCCTCTATAATTAAGAAATTGATATCCTTCTGCGGAAACAGGGCTCGGGGAGACAGGAATGACTTGGATACCAGAATCCTTCTCTAGGCAAAGAACGCGTTCTAAGCCGTCATGTTTGTTAAATTTGGTGAAGCAACGCGCGCCGCAGCATGAGAACGACGCCCCGGAGGGACATGCACTGTGCCTTTAAGGGTAATCAAAATCATGATGAACGCGTATATGTTGTGAAACGTGAACGTATATGTCACTACAGTCAGAAAACACATTTCGTAGATTGCCAGACTTCATTGATTAACCTCTGATCTTTTCAGCAGTTTCAAGAAAAGCCATCGTCTAGTGGAAGGAAGGAAGGAAGGAAAGAAAGGATTATCTATTATTTATGCATACAGCAGCATTAGATCAACAGACAGACAGGAAACGACAAGAGAAGGCTGAATAAGCGCCCAAGCACTCGTCTCAGGGCTTCATCAATTCATCCATTACAGTCTGCGAGTACTTGGGTATGGTTACTCGATCTGTCTCAAACTGGCCGCTAATTGCATGTTCACAGCTTTAACCTTAGTTCCCGATTACTGGGCATAAGTATGGCCTGTTCATCAAAATTCGAAAAACTCATCGGCTCGGCCACGGACATCGGATTCGTCTCATGACGTTGTCTTAATCCTACCAGGTATAAAAGGCTTTCCTAGACCGCTTATTTCTTGGTGCGACTCTTAATTTTTCCGCCCGGCCTCAAATAATGACCCGCATGCAGATTCTCGCTGCCCTTGCTGCTACTCTTGGAGTATCAGCACAGTCAACGACGACATGAGTACCTGTCGCACAGCTCCACACCTAGTATCATGTCAATTTTTGCAATGGTCTTTCATCATAACTAATGTTTGCGGAGTTGCACCTTGTACAAATGACACTCTTTCTGCCATCGTCACGGATGTCACAGCTGGCTGCGGAACCGAGCTGTCTGCTCTTGGTTTCTCCTCGACCGATACAGCAACTTTGATCTCAATTGTGCAAGAATTTTACCCCACTGTAAGGCAGGTTGTGTGTTTGAAAGAGTAAGATTAGATTTTGATCTCGGCCCCAAGTTCCTTTTGTACTCACATGAACCGCAGCGGTAACACTAATTGTGTTACAGAAACTCTGACCAATCTTCAAGATGCTGTCGGTAGTAACCTTACCTTGACCAATATTGCTGGACTCGTTGCTTCAGGGAATGATACATCTATTTCATCCAACGTCACCTGTTCCAATTGTACCAAGGCGGCCTATAACACCGTGAACTCAGCTTTCCCCAATTTATTTCCTCTTTCACAGGTCAGTAGTGTGGTATAATATACATCTGAAACAACCTCCAATACACGATTAATTGTAGATGGATCTACTCCTTCCGAGATTGTTGAAAGCGCAAGCGACTCCTCGACTTCATCTGATTGAGTGCAATTTCTCTCATATCTGGAAATACTTTCCTTGGTGTAGGTGTCTCGATCGTTCTCATATTGGGATCGGCATTGGCAGTTGTTTTGTAGAATCAATCTTTGCCGAACTTTGTACGCACGGGACTTTTCACGTACGATGTATCCCCGCTTGCATAGTGCACCTACGATTGTAGGCTAATCGGGCTTGAATATGAATATGAAAATGAATGGTTGTGCGTCCCGCACTAGATTAGACTAGTACATACAGCCTTTTGCTTTCATCATACCGGGAAATGTTGGGTGGAATTGGGTGCACCCTTAATACCCGTTATGTTATTCTGAGTCTCTCTGCCTTGGGTGTGGATCTGTCACTTCAATCGTTAATCCCGTAGTAAGCATGGTCACACACTTTTACCCCTTGTTGTGGGTCGGGCTTCATCTGATGTAGCGGTGGTCGCGTTCAATATTTAAAGTTATAACCCGTTTCTTCCTTCCCTCCATCTGGTCTGGCCCCCCTTCCTTTTTTGCTTTCAATTTTCTATCATTTTACGACTTCAATATGCTGGGACATATGAGGATAGCTTTCATTCTTACGGTTGCTGCGACTTTTGTCATTTCCAGTGTCCAATCGTGAGTCATCAATTTCACTACTGAGCAATACCCAAGTAATCATGTCATTGTTCTGCTAGACTTAGTTAAGAATGCCAGAGCTTGCTTGAGGGGGTTGTTGACATCACCCGGTAAGCACAACTGAAGTAGAAAATATTCCGCTCGACAGAATGACATGTTGAATCATGGAATATCACTGACTGCTGAATGATGCCATGAATCATTGTATTTCAGAGTGACTGAAATGCGCATACATTCCCATTCAGTTCAACAGAATTGTGATAATTCAGTGGTGACTGAATCTTCTACTGAATCATCTTGGTTCTTTTGTCTTTTCCATCAAGCAGAATTTTTTCTCCTTCTGGTGTGAAGGTAGGTAGCAGGTAGGTAGGTAGGTAGGTTAACCGACACGGTCCCATTCAGGAACAGCCGCGGCCCGTGCTGCACACATTGAGCCTGGATGCGTGCCACGAACATCCGTAAGAAAACTCCGTAATTCGAGCCGGCTGATCTTTATGCATAGTCCAGATGCTGCCTGTTTAAACCCCTCTGCTATACTGTCCTTTGTCGTTGGCAGTAATTTGGGATCTATTCCGTCAACAGTCAATACCTGGCTCACGGGCATCTGTTCCTCCGGATCCTGCAGTAATCAGTCTATCTCAAATGTGGTGACTAACCTCACCTCCGGCTGCAGCTCCGAACTTTCCAGCCTGGGCATCACCACGTCTTCTATCCAAAGCGAAGTAATTTCCATAGCTCGAGAAGTTTACCCCACCGTTCGTGAAATTGCTTGTTTGAAAGAGCGAGTCTTGTTTTCCATTTGTGAATGGAGTGATGGTTGTGATTGTACGCTGATCCTGTCCGTCTTAAAGTGACACATCCAATCAGTTATGCCCTGTGGAAACGTTGAACAATCTACAGAGCGTTGTCAGCCAATTGAACGTTACTGATCTGAGTGTCTTGAACTTGTTCACAGACGCGGAGACGTTATTCATTAATGGTGTACAGAATGTTGCGTGCACAGATTGCATGAAGGAGAGCTTTTCGATCACAAAAGCCAATTTCCCGAGTCTTGTGTCACAAGCTGAGCCCGATGCACAAGCTGAGCCCGATACACAAGCTCTATGTGGAGCATCTTTCCTTGGTGCGTGTCGCTGTATTCTCCATTCTCATGAATTTTTATCGAGGTTTCGTGGGTTATCCAGATGGAAATTTGCCCAGCACCGTTTCTCAGTCAGCTAATGATGCCGTATTTTCAAGTACCTCATCATCATCAAATAGCAATGCAGGCTCCAGGGTACCCTATGCTGCTTTTGCTCCAGCAGTCACGCTCCTTGGTGGTATCTTTGTAGTTTTTGCCTTCCTGGGTTAGTTTCTGCTCCGTTAGCATGGACAATGTGATAGTAGCTCACGCTCAAAGAGATGGAGATAATTGCACGAAGGACTATCAATATTATTTACTTTCCATTTCGGAAGATACCCTTTGCTTACTGCTTATATCTAATGTCGGACACAAATTGTTTTTGTTCATAGCACATCATCGAATAAAAGCACAATTCATCATGTGTCACAAGACCAGAGTGCTATTTAGCAACAGAGAAGGTCGTCAGTATCATGTCGTCGTCGATTTATCGTAAAAGGTCACAACGGAAAAGCGGAAACAAAGGAAAAAAACAACTGCAAGCAAAGGAAGATATAAATGAATAAACATAACGACGACATATAGGCAAAACTGCAAGGGATTTAAGTGTAGCTTCGATATCTCCTTGAAAAAGCAAAAGGCAAATTAAGATGGGGAATGGTTACGATAGAATTCAAGTATATGTCATAGAGAAAGAAGGAAAATACTCATGGGAATAAGCCAAGAAATTGAGCACCGAGAATAAGTGAAAGCCGGCGATGCTGAAAAGGGTTTATCTTTTCCCAGTTAACCTTCGCGCGATCACCCTGAGCACCACGGCACATATGCCCAGCCCAACGAGCAGAACATAGGGCGGAAGCTGGGAGAGCGTCTGGGGATTGATATGTGAAGCAGAACGCCAATATTGCGAATGAAATATACGAGACACAATGGACGGAGGTTGTCCGGCGGGTGAAGAACGGAATACGCGGTTTATGACCTTGCGGTTGATGGGCCATTCGGAAAGGAATAAAGGCTCGTTTACTTCTTCCACTTTATCTTCGCGTGTCGTTTGTTCTGTTTCATCCTTGATTTGCACAGCGTGTTCGGCCTGCTGCCTGTTCCAGACTAGATTCGCTACTTCAAGTTCCTTGAGCTCAACATCTAATACATCCACCTTGCGTTCTACGTCCGCTAATCGAACTTCAAAAGCTTGTAAGAGCCCGGTTATTTCGGCGATAGAAGCATGTGACCTTGTTTCTTCGTCCGTCTCCTTGGGACTTACTGGGCTAAAAGATATATCTCCTGGTTCTGGCAGGGCGACAAGCGATGGGTGTAGAGGAATCTCCGGAAGAGGTCTGGATGGAGTATGACTTCCTGAACCTTGTCCTGACTTTACAAGAGCGGGAGAAGATGTATCCACAGATCGTAGTTGGTCCTCCCGGATGTTTCCGTCAACATTCTCTAGGGCCTCAAAAATATCTTTAGCACTGGAAGCAGAAGACATCATGGCTGCGGGAATCGGAATTTGAGAAAAAACTCTCTTCGCGGCAGTTTTTCCTGGAGCTGCGGCTCCCAGGTCCTGCACCTCTTCCTCCCACGCGTAAACGCCTCCCCGTTTTTTCGCTCTACCTTTACCTTTTGAAATTGAGAAGGTGCTTTTTGCGAAACTTGGGGTTTGATTTTTGAATGTGGAATTCAAAGTTGCTAGACTGGAATGACTGCTGATCGTATCTTCCAATCTACCTTCTGGAGCAAGGAGTTCCTCGATCGAAGGTTCTTCAAGTCCAGAAACAAAGAGAACATCATCTATTTCGTTTCGGGGAGGATTCGGGAGAGGGCGCGAAGAAGTGATTGTAGAGACATTGTATTCCTCCACTGGAGAACCGACGAAAGCGCTAGGCTCGCTGTCATCGTCAGAAGACGAGGTAGGGGAATGAGAGCTCCCAGAGCTGCCATTCGAGATACTACTGGTACTTCCACTCCTTTCTCTGCTTATCTTTCGCAATTTTTCCAAATCTAGCTCACGGTTGCCTTTGATCTCTTGTAACAGTTTTGCTGAGGTGGGATCACCTTCATCGAAGCTGGAAGAACGCTCAAATGAATCAACCATACCCTTGACTGTTCCGTGACGAGATCGATTGTCATGTATATAATGAGAATGACCGTTAGGTGAAGTCGAACGTGTTGTGAACGAGACCGAGGGACTGATACCGGTGGGTGAAAAAAGGTCGTTGGAGGATGATGATGATGATGCAGAAGAGTATACGGGCAGACCATTCGGGAATGAATGATTGAAAGAAGACTACTTCCAGCAATGAATTGTGACCGTGTGGTTTGAGGTTGTGAAGCCGATCGACGTCTACGATGAGGAGTAAAATCTTCATCTTCATCTTCATCAATGGATCCAGAATGGGCGTCGCCCACGGATGAAAAGTTGATCCCATTCGAAGTTTCTTCGGGCTCCTCCACAAAGCCCCATATCTGATCTTTGAGGTCGTTCTGGCGCAAGATTTGTGAGGTCTTAACTAAAGCATTCTTGGTCTTAACTAAAGCATTCTTCCAAAGCTTGTTGACACCGTAACTGTGCAAAACAAACACGGGTTAAATTCGGTACAGATGAGGTTGTTGTTTGACTTACGCCTCCAAATCTTTTTCGTCAAGTCTGAGGAAGATCCTTCCTGTAATCTTGCTCTCTCGAACAAAGCTCGCGATATCGCGCGCCACTGGAGCGGGAAGTTGGAGCGACTCTCCGGATTTGACCCGAAGGGCAGTAGAAAGATATGCACAGAGTTGGGAAGGAGTCCACAATTTTGGGTTGGGAGGAAGATTCTCAAGCGTAAGGGGTCCTGGGAAGACCACAGGGTTATAAAATGTCCGCGGATGTTTGCCGGAAGAGTCGTTCACCGCTTCTTTTGAATTGTAGGCGAAGGTGGAACGGGTAGAGGTCTAGGTATGTTATCGGAAGACAAACTGGAGCTGTAACGATGTCTGTAGTGAGCACCCTCGTGTTTCCTGTGATCTAAGCTGGTCGCTGGCGGAATCCGAGGAACATAGTGATAATGGGAAGAATCATGAATTCTGGAAGACGAATTCGAGCGAGAAAGGAGCGCTATGGAAGTAGTTTTTATAGCATATGGATGAGCATTGGATCTAACAGACTCTTTGGGAGGAGATGTGGAGCGTGGATAATTGAACTCGTGAATGGACTCGGTCTTTATCGAGGTCATCATCTCGAACGTTGAGGTCAAAGACCAAATGAGCTCACTGCATACATAATGGCGCTATGTATGTAGCATGAGCCCCGGCTGTTCCTCAATGGGACCGTGTCGGTTCTTTCCTTCCTTCCTTCCAATATGTTGACGTTTATTGATGCATGTACATAACAGGCGCTCGGCCACTGGCCAGCCTCAAGGCATTTTTTGATTCTCAGACTGCTGACCACCATTATTGTGAACCGTTGGTTTATAAATCTGCACCTCCTTATGCTGGAGCTTGTTTATCCAACCATTATGGATTCTCCATCGACCCCATCTCGCTCACGATATTCAGATTTACCCAAGCTAGACAGTGAGTAAGGAGGTACGATATCTAATATATTTATTCGTTCCATCGGTCAAGTTAAATTTTAACAGCTATCGATTGGGCTCGCAAGGTGAGGGCTCTCCAACAGCAAGTCGATGCTGACGAAGAAGTACCGAGATGGTGACTGTGTATCGGGATGTCGAGCGGGTTATAGACTTTTCCACATCCAAGATAAACTTCAATGTAGGCTTCGTATAGTGTTGCAAATCCGAAGTAGCACCTTGCGCAGAATTTGGATAGAATCTCGAGTATTTGACGAGTGTATAGGTCGCTGTAACTATTGTTGAGTGTGACATGAAAGTAAAAGGTGAGGGATAAATCGATCTACGTGATGAATTATCGCATTGCATAATGATTTACCGCTTACTACATATGGACACACGCTCGCAAAGTGAAAGAAGAAGAAAAAGACGAAGCAGGAGAACTGCCGACGAGTGAGGCCGAAGGGAAACGCGTCTTATTCAAGTTAGCCTGTGGACTTGTCCACCAAGCTAAGTGCTGTTCTGCTCTAGACGTCGAATAGCAACCGTGAGGTGAACGATTCGAAGATCTTGGGCTCGGTACGTTTCATTAGAAAATTTTGGCAGATCTGCCCAGCCTACTCCGGGTATCCGAGAATCTGTTCGAGATTGACAGGTACCAGGAAAAAGCCATATTCATCTTTCCTGTGTAGTCTTCAGGTGAATGTTCAAACGTTCAGGTAGGGATGATTTATGAATTTTCCCTTTTTGATATTGACTCTAAGTTTCGTGAGAACCTCTTTCAGAGGTTTAAGTTTCGCAGGACGCGGTGGGTTCTTCGGTTTCTCTTCAACGTATCCAGTGAGTGCTGCTTTGGATTTCCCTTTCTTGACTCCTTTCGGCTGCTGAAGGGATTTGAGAGACGGGAGGATAGGAGTAAGACCCGTCCCGATTCGTTTGTCCGATTCTTACGGCGAGTGCGGGTGGCTTTCGATGTCGATGTTGTCGACAGAAAGAACTTCCTCTTCGTTCATAACAAGTAATGAAAAGGTGATTGGGGAAAGATGGCTGTGCAATGTAGCGAGATTAGATTGCTGGCCGTGTGTACTATCATAGTATTTACTCCGTTGTGTATACAATCATAAAAAGGTTCCTACAAATATTCTGAGAACGATTAAAGCATCGAGGGTGCGTCGACATCTATATCTCTTGTGCTTCCGGCGACCTGGATGCCGTGCACACTCTGCAACGCCATCGACCGCAAGATCTTGCCCAAGCCCTCGTCTGTACTGCTTCCAGTTCATATTCGCTTTTTACCAATAACATACCAGCAAAGCCCATCGAGGTGAGACTCAGATCATCGCCGATGCTCCCTATAGTATGATTTTCAAAGCGGCCGGGAATAAGATGCATATGGTCCAGCGTCAGTATAACGTCGTACGAAGTCAAACTTATACTAACCTGGGCTTTCTAATGATATTGAGCCTGCCAAAGATTCGATCGGGGGTCCATTGTCTTTGGTGAATATGTTTATGTAGTTGAATGGTTTCGCTGAGGTCACCACCTGACAATGATGCATTTTCAGAGGCTAGAAACATCTAACAGTCAACACTCACAACTGTGAAAGGCGAACATCTTCTTGCCTACTTTCTTTCCGGCGACCAGCAGCGCATAAGTTTGCAGAAGATCATCAGGCATGAGAGGCGAAGGTTGTAGTTGGTATTCTGTAACCCAAAGACATGTTGAGTGAGATCCGGAAAGGCAAAGGGCGGTCGTGGCCCTTAGTGGTGAGGAGGAAACGTCGCGGTACGACATTGTATTTGCTCATCTTGAGAAGAAGGCTATTTATCAGTGTGCAATCCGGGGCGTTGTCCAGGAACTAGAAAGACACACCAATACCACATACTGCTGGAAGATCTCTTCGGTGAGAAGCTCTCCTGCAAGCAACCCCAGATTTTAACTTGAAAAAAATACTGCGGTGAGCTTCATTATGAATGAGCCTGCAATCATACACTCATCAAATCAGGAGAAGAAGTTTTGTCAGTATCGACCACGGTCTTTATTATAGGCTTCCAGTATCCCGCAGCGCATGGTGTTCCGTTGAAGACCTTGTTGTCATGAAGCCTTGTCGTTGTCGATTAGTATGCACCGGATGAGCAGTAACGCGACTGTGGCAATGGACTCATTGATTTTGATGGCGACCTCGTTCGTCGCACCGGGTCTGGGTGTGTTAGAGGTTGTGCTTGTGTTGAGTTTCTGATCTATATTCGTATCTGAAACACATCGTTAGTTGTGCTCAAAACGAGTTTTACTGCAGTATGTACCTCGAGAGACAGGAGCACGTGAGTCTGTTCTGTTAGTTGATATGGCTTCATTGACGGAACGACGAACCCATGAACTAAAACCGTAAGCCCGTCCAACATGGCCGACGGATGAATCGAGCAATTTCCCAGAGATGTCCTAAATAACATTTGGTTGATATTCACCAAAAATAGACTGCGATTCGTACCTGTAGTTCTTTGCGTAGACGTTTGTTCTCTATTCCTGTCATTTGTGTTATTGTATCAGCCAGCACAGTCGCACATCTAACAGTGTGAAACAGATCGTCCATTTGGCTTGATATATAATATATACCCACTTACCGGAGAGTAGGGAAGGTATGTGGCTTGAAATCCTGGGTACTACCAGTTATCCCCTTGGCGAGTTGTAAGAACCTTCCCCATACCTATATTGCAAGAGGTCCTTCCAACCATTTAAGATACAGCTCAAGATACTTGAACAATACCCCATCAGTCCTTCAGGAGAACAAATACACCAACATCGAAACCAACTGCGGTTCTGAAAAAAGTTACTTTTTATGGACGGGTTTCGTTTCTCAGAAAATGACATCCGTAAAGATATACTTTCGCATATCATATGCACAACATTCTGCGCACTTGACACAAGCACATAGACGAATTCGAAACGTGCGTTAGCAGACACAGGGTATTCCTACAATGAGAACAGGGTCGAACGTCTCTCTTTCTGCCCACGCATTCGTTGAGGGGTGCCACGACCAGTTGTAACATAGGTTGAAATTGCGGTATAGCCATTAACACAAAGACTAACCAGTGCTGAAGAAGCAATTGATTCGTTGGAGTTATAATTCCATCGACGAGAATCTGGGTCAGGAATGGATTCATTGAATATCCGCGAGCGTGTTCATCACCATCCTCACTAGTCAGAGACTCCTGCGGACGCTGATTTCCTACCGTTATTCATCTAGAGGGTTCATCCGTAGCGATGGAGGCGGATATGATCGAGTGAGGGTGATGGAGGAGCTTATTGTGAAGAGTTGTTTGATCTGTGTGGATGCAGAAGTACAATTCGCCGATGACGGCTGCTTCGGCGACGTTGATTGGACCCGGAGGAGAAGCACATCAGTTGATTGTATGACAAGATTTTGGGGATACATGGTGGGTGTCCAGGATACCTTGGGTTCGGTTTGAAGGTAACTGCATGGGATGCTTCCTCAATCTGTTACGGGACAAGGGTCGAAAAGCTCACTGCAATTGAAGCTTAAAAAAAGACCTCTAACTAGCTGACATCGGGATCTGGGAAACCAGCTAGCAACGTTAACAGTAAACAAGTAAGCCAAACACTTTACTAGTAAAATATACGCAAAAATGACGCACACGACTCAACCCTAGTCACAAGCCCAGAATGATGTGATCGTTTGATTCCAGACATCGGTGTAGTCTTCACAAAGCTCTGCCCGCCAATTTGTATTACAGATGCCAACATATTGAAAAGGTGATTGATGTACCGGTAGTCGAACGGGCGTTCATATGTGAACTCGGGAATCTCTTTACCCTTCACGGTCGTGGTCGATATCGACCGGCGGATAGAATAGGATCGGGGATGCTGAAAATGGCTAAACCATGAAGAGCACGTTCCCGGATGGGTGATAAGCGCATACCGAAGATACGATTTCAGACTACGTATCATCCAGATCTCGCCAATTCATCGAAGGTTCGGTTCCTCGTTCTTCAAGGTGTCCAGTACGATCATCATTAGGGCGTTGAACCGGAAGCCAGGAAGCGTATTATTCTCTACAAGAGAGAATTAATCACAATTACGCTATGACCACAGTTAATGCATAGCTCACCAGTGAGCCTCCAAAGTACACCAAAGGCCTTAAAGGACTCTTGGACGTGCTTTGCTTCCGATGAATTCATAGCTTGCGCTAGGATGCTCTCAGCGTGAGATCTAGTCGTGGCGGCGACGAGATTCCAGACGAGATTGACAGCGCGAACATGATATACTGCATAGTGCGATCGAAGATACAACAACAAACAATTACATAATCATTTTGGACACGGTGGATCGATCACCGACGGAAAAATTGGGTCTGAGATCAGATGTTTGCTGGAGGAGGACAAGGATACTTAGTGATCGTTTTGTGGACGAAGGTAAAGTTTGTTTTTTGAAGAAATAGAAATTAAGAGATCAAATATTTTCGTCAAAGGAGAAAGTACATTTCGGCTTACTTCTTGCAAACTATCCAAAACCATAGATAGGCACGTTTTAGGCTCCCAAATCAGCTTGATAGACGAACTGAGTGTATCGACCAAGCGGTTGATCAACGTCAGCGACGGCGAGAAAATCTCACGCAGCTGCGCGAAATCGGCGTTACTGGTCCCCATTGCTTTCGTCGAAGTCTAACCGAAAACCGTACTCAAAGTTATCAAGCTCTCGAATGTGGAGCAAACAGTTATTGGGTACGTTCCGGAGGCCGCAGGAGTATCAAGACGTGGTTTAATGGCGTAGAAAATGCAAGCAAAGATCTGAGGTCGTTCGGTGTCGGTGGTTGATTGTACGATTTCGGGGCGTAGAAGTAATGTGATATGTGATATGTGGAATAGTATTGCGTCGAAGAGTATCAAGCTAGCTTTCATGATGGGAGATGAGGCATTCAAAGGTTCTCGTTCAACTTGAATCTAAGGTGTAAACGATGTTGATTACAGTTTTTTTTTTGCGGTCCGAATATATCCTATCTTATCAGCTGCGTGATGTGACGGGGTTCTAACTATCACACCGGAAGGAGAAAAAATTCTGCTGGATGGAAAAGACAAAAGAACCAAGATGATTCAGTAGATGATTCAGTCACCATTGAATTATCACAATCCTGTTGAACTGAATGGGAATGTATGCACGTTTCAGTTGCTCTGAAATACAATGATTCATGGCATCATTCAGCAGCCAGTGATATTCCATGATTCAACCTGTCATTCTGTCGAGCGGAATATTTTCTATTTCAGGTGTGTATGCAATTCCTTCCTCTATACCTATGCCTCAGGCTTGTAACAGTTCTGCGCTACAAGTACCTATACATCACCTTGATATCTTCAAATCCTGTATCCAGAAGGTCCTTCATGCAGACCTTGAGTACTTTGTTGGAACAGTGTTGATCCATATAAGGTAATATACTATCAAGAATTTTGTGTGTTCGGAGAGGTTCGGAGCTGTTCGGAGTGACAATTTTCCTTGTTCTTTTTGTATTCAAAGCCTCATTGTGATACCTTCTCAGTCACACTCTTACTATGACCTGTTATTTCAGTAGTGTCTTCAGTATACCATCGATGGATGCATTTTTTGAGGAGGCATGGGGTCGAGAAACAGTCACATCACGTTTAGATATTCCGAGTTAGGAACAGATAAATTCGGACTGTAAAAAGAAAAAAACTCGGTTGTTCACGAAATTATGCAAACCCCTGTAAATGACGTCAACTTCTAGTCACTTGCCAACCCGTCTTTCAGGTTTTCATCTTCCAAAGCAGACGAAACGCACTAATCATCGCAGCTACATCAGAACCCCCCCCCAATTATGTAAAGTGATATCATCCAGCGCCAGCATCGAGATCGGCTTGCAGCATCTCCCATGAACAATTTGACACGTACCTTTAGCAATTGCCTGAGAAACATTATACAGTGCGCCCATTCACAAACATTATCAAACGAATTCAACCATTTCTGGACTTGTTGAGTGTAGTTCTTGTATTTAGGAATCGACATGTCATACATCTACACCAAGTGATAAAACATCAGATAACGGCGGGGGATCCTTTGATGATAGAATCGCTACCGTTAAACAACGAACACCGGAATTGTTCTCATTGACCTTTTGACCTTGGTCTTGCGTCCAGCTCACCTGGTTCACATCCGAGATTTCATATTTTGGCTTGGACGCTTTGCTCTTTCCATTGTGTTCCATACCTTGACGCGCGTCGAACAGATATTTTACATGGCGGCATAAGTTAAATGTGGTTGTTTTTGGAGAAGCGAGAAAGTTGAGCGCTTGCCCATTCATGCTTTCAATACAAAGATGGCAAGAGATAAATGACCTCCGGTTGTAAGACAGCTGCGGCACAGGGGGATTATATATCAATAACGATAATAGACAGATGAAGAGAAAAAATTACCGCAATTGCAAGAGACAACTGAAATTTTCATGAGATAAGTAAGTACGGGAAACACTGAGCCAAAGGCGTATGATTCACCATACATCGTAGGATTACTGTCCTGAGAATTGAACACACGCCTTATGCGGCCCAGTGCGTCAATTGTTGTTCATCCATAAGGATCGAGTCCGAGACCCGGAGCAGGGGTATTCGCTCGATACGCAAGCTGTTGCAGTTCTGATGGAAAGATTGTTTTACGATGCTCCAGAAACGGTATTCGAAGCCTGAAAAAAGTCTTGCTGTGAGGACCACACCAGTGAGTGCTTCCAAAATACGAACTTTGAATCGGCTGTCAACCATCCTCGATCAACCTTCAAAACCAACTCATATTAGATGCGAACACCGGAGGTTCGCTCTAGAAATGTTTCTGGCAGAGCGTCCCGAGCTCCATCGGCCATTGGGAGGGAAATAGAGAACGAGAATATGTAACTCCCGGACAACTTGCCAGTTTTGGAGCCCATAGAGGAGTTCCTGATGTTATCAAGGTTGGCTCAAGAGGTATGACGGTCATCCTGGCTCTTTGACTACAAGAATACACTGTGATGTAAGAAGGTTTGAGATCCTCCTTTGTTTGCCCCTGTCCCAGCACGGCCTCGAATCTAACTTTTCTTGAGTCGTAGGACATACAACGATTAGAGATGACATAGGGCTTACGGCAAGCGTTATTCCTTGGATTATCTCCGGAGACTGTAAATCAAGGTCGACTGACCCAGTCATTAAATTAACGCATTCTTCGATGGTCGGTACGTTGTTCGCACTGGACAGTATTCTCCGATGTATTTTTTCTGGCAGATTGACGAAATTGCAGGTTTTTTTACTGTTCTGCAGCGAAAATGAATAACGACTTGCGCCGTTGAAGATATACTGGAAGGTAGGACATAACGTGGAGGAGCAATGGAGATGGTTGAAACTTGTTCTTGCATTTTGGGATAGTTCTCTTTGTGACCGGTATTTGGTTTCGTTTTCATGTTATGCATCCCGTACTTTTTTTGTCTTTTGTCGTCCGAGCGCTGTCGCTATACTAATTCCACAATGCATGTTGAGCAAATAAAATGAGATGGCTTCAGCCTGTTCTTTTGTCAGTGGCCGTAGACGGATATAAAAAGCAGGCGACAGAACTTCGAGCTTTCTTAGAAGATTCAGATCAGCAAGTTTCCTCCCTCATCGAAACTTCTGTCTGATTTTTCTTCTTCTGGTCGTTGTTCCTTCCTTGACATCTTTCTGTGGTATGTTTCTTTTCTAATTCCCGATGAATGCATCGTTTTTCCATAGCAAGGTTAATTGACCCATCTACTTTGAATCATCTTCGCGCGTGAATGAATTAAATAGTAATTGATCACTGGTTCGAACATCATACCAGTATTGGCATCAATCGTAGCGAGTTGAAAGGGATGAACCGCTTATGGGTGTAAACTGGTCATCGGTATCAAGCACAATGAAAGGATCGCCAGTAGGTAAATAGAAGATGAGATTCGATGCATACTGCGTAAGAGTGTGATTCAGAAAAACGGAATGACCAGTATACCATGGGATAGATTTACCGTCGAACTGTGTCCACTACGTCTGCAAAACAAACCACCTATTCGGATGGACAGCTATTGCGTCGACACAGTAACAAAAATTATGACCTACGTCGACAGTTATATATGTGTTTCTGTTGTCATCAAAGCGGAAAGAACAAGTATTGCTAAATATTCCTGGGCGTTTAGCAGTGTTTAAAGGGTTCATTATACAGTGTGAGTGTTGTAAACTGAGATTGGAACGATGAATATTTATCTTTCGTCATCTGAGGTAGTCCGCCAGGGGCAAGATATCTGTTTGGAACGGCTACTGGTCAATAATTACCGGTATCTTGTTCAACATATGAACGATCGACAGCGACTTACTATCTACGGGCTCCGATCACTCTTCAACGAGATGGCGTCGGTCAACCTATGTACCTAATTGAAAGCTATCAATAATGCGTTGTTTTGTGGTGGTTACATTTGAAGTCAGCTTTGCTGTGTTCAGGTAGCTTCGCCCCAAAGTCATCGTTGAAGTTTTGTTTCATTGATTCAGTGTTTGGGACAGATATTATCGATATTTCAGACCTCATCACATCTGCTAGTGACAATGACAGTCGCTTCGTCCCTCCCAAATGCATCTATCTACCAATCAGTGGAGAACTGATGTATAACCAATTTTTGCGTACGTGCAATCGTTTTTCACGCTCGAAATTGAACATTCTGCCCAGTGACAGCGATATCGCCTTAATTAGAGGCTGGATATCGTGAAATGCACATCGATAATCAAATTACGTGGGCAGAGCTCGGAAAAGGCGTCGATATCTGTGTCTTTCGAGTTCTAATTGGGTTATATGCATGGTGCATCCTTTGTTCTGTCCGGTGAACTGTGTCGATATACAAATAGATGTACATCCCACGGGATGGTGGTGGTATGGGTGGGGTATGCGTTCGGAGATCAGGTGCAATATGTCCGGATTTTAGAAAAGAATTAAACGAAGGTAAAATCGAGTTAAGTGGGAGAAGATTTTACATTTTTAATTTGTGGATAAATAGGTACAACTCTAGATGTGCACTGGACGCTTCAGACCTCTACACAGCGACGCCTGATATATTCGCCATGTGCAAGCGATATGTCGATAACATGGTCGTATGAACTAGAAGATAAAGGACTTGGATTGGCATCTCCGAACAGTTTACTGGCATCAGGTCGACTTGTTTATGGGACCGAGGAAAGCATCACGTACTAGTCTTCGTTCATCGACAATTGATTGGCGATAATGCTGTCCCCGAATCATATGGTTCATTTTGTTTTGAAAAAAATCAAGGTAAGTGCATAACTATGTGCGAAGTATGTTACGGTGAGGTCGATAAAGTAGCAAAATATGATTGGCCTGTCGGTTCCCAATATGGGCAAAGGAAAATATTAGGGTACAACATTCTTCTGAAGACTCTGCGAATTTTTATGAGTATTGTTTACTACTGGTTTGTCGTTTTATCAATTCAAGTACGCACCGTGTTCACTGTTGTCTTTAGTTACTTTCAACTTCTCATCGGCTCTAGATTCATAGAGTTCATCCGCCCGGTTTTGTACTCTGTTGAAGTGAAAAAAAGTAAGTTGGTGGCTCAGACTGGGTTATAACCTGAGCATGGGGATTTTCATAAACGATTACAACGCGATTTTCGGGTTCTGGGGCATGATTTTGTATTATATTCGAAATTTGGGGTGCTCGATGAGCAACCTGTTGGTTATGCTGTACTTGGTCCATTTGAGAAACAGGTCCTTGCATGTTTTTCTATAGAATGGACAGGTCAGCTTTTCTGCTTATTGATCATCGTAGGCTCATACTAACGCTCGAGCGGATATGTAGATTTATATTTTACGTCGTTGTCAATGTTCACTATGATGTGCAGAATCATTATTAGTTAAAGGATTGCGGGACTGATAGAGAAAGGATAAGACATTTCATGAAACGGTCTTTCCAGCAGAATTGTTCTGCGAATCTGTTGTCGTATGCAGGTCAGTGCACATCCGAGTCATATATTCCTTGAAACCAGCTCGATGATTTAATTTGTAGACATTGGGGTAAGTTGCAAGCTTGTTTTGACGGTGTGACTGAAGAGGATGATGTCGCAGGTTCATTAGTAAACTCGGTACCGCTTTCTCTCTTGCTTCCACACTCATCATATCCATGGTTGTATTTCGAACATCGTAGAGAGCGAAAATACCTTCGGCATCAACGAAACAGGTATTGTTTCATTCATGCTTGCATCAATATTGACGCTGAGTACGCTGTGCTTTGGAAGATCTAAATGAAGCGTGAAAGAAGAATGCGCAGAGTGTTAACGGTATCTCAGCTCAATGCACTTGATTCGATCTTAAACCAAGTAAGTTATTATCTTCGTGTAATATTTATTATCTTTGACGTTACTTTAGACTATCCACCCGAGTGAACGAATGGTTGCACAGCTGTCCAAAAGTACTGGATTGACAGCTCTGGAAGTTAAAGTAGGTTCGACCATTTGTTTAGTGTAATCGTCTTACGTTTGCTCTGTTCAGAACTGGTTTCATGTAGGAATGCCTTGCATATTTATATTGACACTTAAATTGCAATCGGCGTAGAATCAAAGACGTAGATTGCATCGGAACCAGTTGAAGGACCGGGCGCTGAGGGAAGACGATATATCAAGCCGTTTTTGCTACCAGCTATCGTGTAGTGGGTCAGGACAAGACTTTAAATGCAATAACGGTACGTACGTTCGTTCACCTTGTTTACCATTGAACCATCGATTTGTAGACAAGCCCAGACCTATCCTACTGTCGATGTCGATGATGTTCCCTCATATTTTCAACGACGACTATGATTATTCCCTTCCACCAAATGTTCATCCCATTCAGGTACCTACAACATCATAGGCGTTCGAATTGATATCAAGGTCGCAAATGTCTGATAGCGCTGTAGGATTGTTTCCCGATTGTTGAATGATTGTAATAATGTATCTAAGTAACCGTTGTAGACAGCGGCGAGTATTCCGAATTGATTGGAAAGAATTGCAAAGGACGAAGTTCAGTGTCACTGATTACATCGACGAAATCACAACGATCGTTCGAAACTAAATTTTGATTACAAGCATCATATGTACTACGTGAACTTATTTTTGAGTGAAAGCATAGGAGGAAGGGAAAAACAATATATCAGCTAACCTACGAAGTAACTAGAAAATTGTGCCAAGCCTTGACAAGATAAGGAGTTTTTTTCAAGGCTATGTATAAGATCGTCCGAACAAATTGTGAAAGATTGCACTGATTTCTGCTAATGGCACTAACACATCCAATGGTCTACTTGGTGCGACAGTTTGCCTCACCAGCAGAGTGTACTGCAGAAGAAGACAGGATACGTTACCATACGTGAAGTATACGACAAGATGAATAAATCTTACAATGTTTCTGTTGAGCATCGTTAGATTCAGAAAACTCGCTTTAACGCTAAGAATTCACGAACGTTTACTACCTCCAATCTGCTGATAACTTCTGCACACCTACGGCAAACATTGAATTGAGCTTTATTGCTATGAAGTGCTTGGTGGCGTCTGAAAAATATGTCGTTAAATAAGAACAGGATAGGATAGAATCAGGTGTAGAAAGAAATCGCAGCGATGAACAACGGACTTGCAGTCATGTTTTCGAGCAAACCCCTTATTGCATCCCGGCCATTGACAGATGAACGGTCTCTCCTTCGTGTGTGACCGAAGATGACCTAAATAAGAAGATTAACTAAATCCGATATCGCTCAGCAGAATATTAAAAAGGAAAAGACCTGCCGTTTAAATTAACTCGACGTGTAAAAGTGGTCTCGCATCCTGGAACTGGGCAAAGAAATTTTGCCTCCTTCTTTCGCCTCTTCGTGCTAGCCATTTTAATGGCAGACGTTGTAACTGTCTGCTTTTCAACTTGTAAAATTTGCGGTAAACAAAGGGTGCCAGTAGAACGATTTGTGTCTCCAGCGGGTCTGTTGCCTTTTTCGAGAGCGCAAGGAACTTTAACAATCGTGTTGTCGCGGGCTTGCCCCGAAATATCTTCCGGTTGTATTGCAGGCGGAAGATACGGTTTCAAAATCGAAAGAGCACAAAGAAATGCAGGAGGTCTGTCTCCGATTGTCTCAGTTGCTGGACGGCTAGTTTGAGTGGATGAATAGGTGACACTAGTAGATGAATTGTCGAAAATCATTGCTGGATTGCAAAAGGTGGTTGTGAACTTGAAGTCAGTAGCGCAGAATATGTTTATATATTTTTTGCAACCTCAATTTCAGTTGTCGAAGGTGAGGGAGATTCAGATTGGGGACACGATTCTCACGACCGTCTGCTCCTTCAATGAATAGAGTCCAGGCAGGGGTTCATTGGCTGGAGGATGCAGAAGCGTCTCAAACCTGAGATATACCTTCCATATTATACCTAAGTAGTCGCATATCATCAGTAAGAGACACGAACGCAGACATTCGAAGATTTCAAGCAAGTTTCATGGCCTCTCGAGCTGTCATAAGATGCCGTACAGCTCGGCTTGGTGAGGACCTTTGGCGTGGCAAGATCAGTACCCCCGATCTCACCTTGCTTGCTAGGTCCTTTGCCACCCCGTCTTTGCCAAGCGCCCGTGCATTTTTTTCACACGTTAAGCGCCTTTCTATCGTTTCTTTCCTGACATGTCCCTCTGTAGTATGTACTCATCTTCATTATGATTATCCTTATTTTGTGCCTATTCCCACGTACTCGCTCCATAATCCCTTGACCGCCATTTCCTTCCTTCTATTTGGACTTCTTTTAACCCAATGCACAACTTTTTAAATGTTCGGAAATATTCATTTGTCAAAGATGTTGTGGGGTGATTGTGTACTGGAATGCGTGAAATTGCCCAACGTGCATCAACTCATTGTACGCATACCCTTGGAAGACGAGGGGTTGAGCAGCAGGTCTTTCAAAATGCTTTACGAGATGTTATTCACTGTCTGAAAGTGACCGGGATTGTTTCTAACTTTGTGTTGGACATCTAGCTCAAAACAAATAACATGTAGCGCCATGCTTTGATTCATTTGCAGCTCTTACTCGTTACCCTATGAGTGAATAAAAATGGTTTGAGAGAAGAAAACATACATCAAGCAAGGTTTGTCGTGCCCCGCAGGGGTCCGCTAGTGAATATCTTTCATCGGAGCTTAATTGTTGTTATAGACACCCCAGATCCTGAACAAATATTGTCAATTTTTGGTAATGTAGATATCCATTTATTCAATGTCTTCATCTGATGCATAGGACTGTATCTCATCCCAACTGTGAACTAGTGTTCCAATGTGATACTGATTGATGACGGGTTGGAACGTCACAGTATACCAATCCGAATTATGAAGCTGGCTCGTCGTAGATTGAGCGAACTCTCCTGACGAATGATCCGCAGTCGGCTCAGTTTCAGTGAAGTTCTTGAACGACAGCTTCATCGTTGAGGTCGGACCGAGATTACCGCAGCCGAGGACAAGAGGAACTGGGAAGTAATATGTCAAATCCAGTCCAGCAAGCGCTTCCAGGACATCATCGGAGTTGGAGTCCTCTCCGTCGATATCACTGTGTTGGCCTTGAACGAAGTTTGAGACATCGTAGACTTTTCCTTGAATAGCGACATAGTAGTCATTATCTGCAGTATGTTCTGCGACCTCGTTCGTCAACCATGCATTATCATAGTCGGGGCAAAGTAACCGGCCAAAAATGACAATGTAGAAAATGACGATGCCGTTGAGAAGCAAAATGAGGAAACAAATAGTGACCTTTTCTCTCCATGCAAGCCGAACATCAGGTCGTTTCATCCGCCCAACATGCGTCAGCAAAAACGAGGGAATGAACCAAATACAAGCCCAGACAGTTCCAAGCCAGAATCTCCGGCTCCTTGTTGAAGGAACTTCTTCGACAGAGTCTGGAGCGTCTTTGACGACAAGACCATCACCTTCCTTGACAGATGACCCAGCAGGGACTGTACCTGTCCCCGTAACTGACGACTCATCCTTCTTATCCCATTCGGATCCCCAACCGCCATCATCCGCCTGGCCTCTGAACGCGTTCGGCGTCGACATTTGAGCTGGGGAACTCGGGGCCGGTAGAGCATTGTATGCTGAACCTTGATTAGGGGAACGATGTTGAGTTCCGTTTGTTCCTGTCCTCCTCAATACCAAGTCATCATTACTCGCTCCGAGTCCACCACCATCCATTTGGGATCCAACACCCCCATAACGATAACCTCCTCCTTCATGCGTGTATTCTGTGCCATCGTCCGGTGCGACACTGATGTCCTCGTCATCGTCCATTTTCATGCCTGCGTCCCCTAAAGCCCTCTTGGCGTCTTTTTCTACAGCCCGAACAGTATCTTCTACCATCTTCCAAACGGAGTACGAAAGCCATATCGAGCGGTGGTCAACAACATAATCTACACCCTCAATCCACCCATTCGCTCGAGCACATTGTATGATTCGCTCACTCTCAGACCCACGCATAGTCGGGACATAACGGTCACAGAATTAAGCCAGGTCAAAGTCGGCGACGTATTCGACACTGCGACGGGAGGCCAAATCAGATAGGAGGAGACTATGAATTTGAGCTTTGACTCGGCGTTTGTCAAAAGAATTTGGTGAGCCGGAGTCGTTCGGAGGAATGCAAGACAATGCCCAGAGACGGGCTTTGGAGATGTTGGCAAAGAGCTCGGAAAGAGTGAAGTTGATTTGAGTGGTAACAGGGTAGGATTTACCTCTGTCGAGCTCGAGGTGTTCTTGGGCATCTTCTGAAGTACGTTCGCCTTCTCCTGTGAAATTGGAGGAAACGAATGGTGTGAGGGTACGCAGTGGTCTGGAGGAGACTTGTGCTTGGACAACGATTGACTCGTCCTTGTAGTGCTTCTCCGCTGCCAAACTTGGGCCAGAAAATAATTTGGCGACAAAGCTTTCACTGGAATTCCTCAACAGTGGGACGAAAGCCGGATCAAACAAGTCTGTGTCCTTTTCTACAAAGTTTGAAACGTCATACATGCACACCCCAGCATAGTGGTTGACACCAAACTGCATACGGTTTGCGTTACCAGAAGTAGCGACGAAGGATGCATGCACGCCGAATTTAGCTTGCATTTCCTGCAACAAATCTTCATTACGCTGATCACTGTTACCCTTACCCTGCTTGTGAGCAGACGGAGCCTTGTTCATCAGCGACAAGAGCCCTCCAGGCTTCCGCTGCACCTTATCCGGCAACTGCCCTCGAAGCATCTCCACACACGCCGTATTATCCGTTGTTGATATCGCCGGGATCGACACGCCGTCGCTGACAATATGATTACTATACCCAACGGTGTCGTCAAACGTTTGGCGCGTGAAGTACGACTGGAGCATTTCATCGGCAAAATTGATGCAAAACTCGTCAAAGCCGTTTTGGCCGTAAGCGGATATGAGAGGAGCATTACCCGAAAGAGCGACGGAACTTGTTCCGGTTACACCGCGAGACTGATATCCGGGTTGGTCGAGCAAAACAATCTGGCTGTGCGGAGGGGGTGATTTGGATGACGGAGCAACCTTGTGATTCGCTGTTTCGACAACAAAAGCGAACATGATGGCATAGAGATCCCGGACAAGCTGGTCTCGTTGAAGAGCACTCTGCTGCGCGTTCAGCAAAGCGGTATAAAGTTCCTTGCGCACATAGCTCGTCTTGTTCGTCAGAGCCTGCGAGAGGTCTTCGGAGGAGACTCCGAGCAGACGAGATACGTGGTCGAGCACCTCGACATTGGTAACGTGAGCGGAAACGGTGTGAAAATCACCTTCACCAAATTCGAGGTTGCCGAGAAGAAGAATGGCTATAAGGAGGCTAAAAATGGCTGCGGTAGCTTTTGGTTTGAACCCAAGCGTTCGCATAGCAGCTCAGAGGTCACTCATGGCAATCGAGTCATCGCTGGACGGACCCGCGGGAAGCCTGTAGGTACCCGAAGAAGCTAACAGGGCATAGTTCGAGGGATCCTCAATATTGAGTGCATCTCGTTCAGCGGACGTACATCCAGCAATGAATTGATAGAAGACGTGAAAAGACCGTTCTTCCTGAGTAAGGCGATTGAGTCTAGACTTGTCGAGTCCGAAAGTAAGGACTTTGGCACCAGCAATTCTTCCTCGCTCGTTGAAATGCAGCTCAGTATATCGACTGTGTCGTGAAGCATTTGGGTTCATGAGCGTTTTCGAGTTACCAAATGATTCGAGAACGATTCCAAGAGCTTTGACTTGCTCTGCGATTTTGGCTTCTTTGCTCGAATGACTGGACAGCCTGAGGATCTGGTTGGTAAAAAGACGAAGATTTGAAATCTTTCCAGAACCTGTGATACCCCTGCAAAGAAAAACTCAGCATAAAAGAAATGAGGCCGTGGGTTGATCATGCTCACCTCGCGAGCAATGCCTGCGACTCATTCCTTCTCCTCATCACTAGATACATCCTCGCAGCAAGGTCGTAAATATGTGGCTGTAGAAGCTTTGCTGAGTCAACCATTGGTAAACTAGTGTCTTTATACGATCGTTCCTCGTATTCCTTTGCACTGGCGTTATTAACACTCGCTAGAGTTTTATATGGATTAATTGCAACAAGATTGGTGGCTCCGGCGCGAGTATACGGTAAATCAGCTCTAAACCTGACTTGTAAAACAGCTAGAATAGCGTCGTCAGTTGGATAGATAGTCGCTGAGCCGGAAGAAGAAACAAGGTCAATGAGGTCGCCAGAGGCTATGGCCTGCACATTGTGATTTGAGGCCATGACCGTAAGGAGAGATGAAAGGGAACAAACAGCAAATGCTGCCTTGGTGTTGTGTAGCAGCGAGTGGAGAGGAAGAAGAAATAATTACACACGGCGACAGACAGCCTATGGGAATGAATTAGCAATGCGAGAAGGAGATTCTCACTGCTGCGGACGTCATTTGTTGCACCTGTGTCGGTGCTGGAGACCCGAGATTGAGCAAGTTGAAGTTTAGAACGGTTTTGATTGATGAGGCGACCAGGCTGCTGAGCCAGGCGAGTAAATCAGCTCCGTTTTCCTTAACATTGTCTAATCAACAACATGTGCAGAATGTATGATTCCCCTGGCATTAGGATGCAAGCAGGTTGTCCTTGTCGACGACCATCAACAACTCGATCCAGTCATCATGAACAAGAAGGCCGCTCGCGCCGGTCTTACTCAGTCTCTCTTCGAGCGCCTCGTCGTCTTGGGGAACAGACCGATCCGACTCCAAGTCCAATATCGCATGTACCCGTGCCTTTCGGAATTTCCATCAAACATGTTCTATGAAGGTACCCTGCAGAACGGTGTCACGGCTCCTGAACGATTGAGGAAAAATGTCGATTTCCCGTGGCCTGTTCCCGACACTCCCATGTTCTTCTATCAAAACTTGGGTCAGGAGGAAATTTCGAGTAGTGGAACGTCGTTTTTGAACAGGTGATTACTACAATCTCCTCTGTTATGACTTACTGAGCTTGGCATTGCAGAACGGAAGCATCCAACGTCGAGAAGATCGTTACAAAATTTTTCAAATCTGGCATTGTTCCCAACCAGATAGGTGTTGTCACCCCGTACGAAGGTCAACGTTCGTACATTGTCAACTATATGCAGTTCGACGGCTCCTTGAAAAAGGATCTGTACAAGGTGATTGAAGTCGCCAGTGTCGACGCATTCCAAGGCCGACAGAAGGATTACATCATTCTCAGTTGTGTCAGAAGTAATGAGCATCAAGGTATAGGCTTTTTGAACGATCCTAGGCGTCTCAATGTCGCCCTAACTCGAGCCAAGTACGGCGTTGTCATTCTGGGAAATCCCAAAGTGTTGAGCAAGGTATGTTTTTGTTTCTGTATTGATTATGCGCATCTTGACATTGTTTGTTTGTTAGCATCCCCTTTGGCATTATTTGCTCACGCACTACAAGGAAACTAGTACGTTAGTCGAAGGCCCTCTCAGTAACTTGCAGCCCAGTATGATCCAGTTCAGCAAGCCCAGGCGATCTCTCGGGAAGTCCATGGATCAGTTCCGCCGACATGAAATCAACGCGAGGGATTATCTAGGCAACCAAGGTGGAGGGGGACCCATGCCTGACGGTCAGTATTGTTGCACTCTTGAATATGTATCTTCTCATCCTTCTTCAGCACGTAGCTCAGGAACTCCTAGTCGCTTCGATGCGAGTTTCTACCGCACTCATGATGCCCTTGGATACATCCCATCTGACGTCCAATTACTTCGCTCACAAGCAACCTATTCTTCGGGCCTTCCAATGTTCACCGCTACTGGACCTTTCAGTGCAAACGTCCCTCGAGGAACTAGTGCTAAACGGAGCACCTATGGAAGTTATGCATCCTCTATCATCTCTCAGGATGCTGGCCCAAGCGTTACGGATAACAGCAGCGTCATCGGCAGCACTACGGGTGGCGACCATGCCAACAATTTGACTTTCTCTCAAAGCGACCGTTTGAGGCGCCGAACCTCATTTGGATCTTCTTCCGTCGCTGGAACGGATATGGGTAGCATCTCGCAATGCGATTATAAAGCCCAAGACGAATCCGGCGATTCGGATGACATGAAGTCTCAGTACACGGGTACTCAGTCTGGCGTTACCGTGTTTTAGACGAATCTCGCACACACACTCGCCTCATTGGATTGCTCGACATTTGTTGACTGACTAGGATCACGCAGACCTTGTGCTTTCATCACTCAGTCCTTCCCTGGAAGTACATTGTCCTTGGTCTTCCTATGCCAGTGCTCTAGTACTGCTTTGCGACTAAGTCGATGGTCACTGGACAAGACTGTGACTGTGAAGATGTGCCACGTAGGCTCTCGTTTGCATCAGATGCGTGTCATATCCAGTCGACTCCTGGTCTACTCCCACAGAGAAGTCTTCGCTATCCCATTGGTCCAGTTGGCAAGTAGAACCGTGTCCTGTGTCTGCTTGATAAACTCTCGATGCCTTCGGAACAAACTTGTCTCGCTTATGTGCCTTTTTAATTATGCCTCTCCACTTTGTGGTTCATGGTGCTTTACTCATCCCATCTTTCTATGTATGTGTATGGTCATTCTGAAAAATATATAACAGAAACTTTTGGTCAACAGTCTCCGTGCTATTGTGAACGAGCCCGTTAAACCTCACACGAAGCAGACTACGCGAAAGTATGGTCATCGTAATAAAACGAAGCTAGGATGAGATATACAGTATGTAGAGTTGAACAGAAAGCAAGAAGACGAAATATACGTCACCATACTGATTTAAGTACGAAGAGAAGCCTAAACCACACGAATCACAGTTTGCTTCTTTCCTTCTTCCCCTGTTTTAGAAACTCTCCACTCTTTCGCATGTTCGCATATAACACCTCACCCAGTATGTCTGGAACTTCAAGTGGGACCTGTATTGTGGAAACAAGGTCAGGTAAGAATTTGTAAGCCTCCCACACAAAGCAATCATGTAGATATACGATACAGACAGAAGGAGGAGGGGAGAAAGCAAAGGGGGAAAAACACGGACCAGGTGTCCACTTTCTTTGATTACTGTTTACTGTTGCGAAAATCCTGCCGGATTTTTTGTCGAGAAGAGCTTCGTGAGTGCGTTGAGGCCTATATCAAAAGTAAGTATGTATATATATCGCAGTATATGAGACTTACATGAAGTCATGTAGCCCTCCGAGAACAATATGGACAGGTTTTTCTCTACACGTAATGTCGAGAGCTTTGACAGGTTTGGTAGCGCCTTCTGGGTCTCGATACATCGCCTACCGGGGAGAAGGGTTGAGGAGACTAGATTTACGAAAGTGAAAAGTGAACATACCGCTTCTTGATCCCGCGTACATGCAAGCGTCACTCCCAAATAAGGATTCTCGAGGTAGTATGATCCGGGGTATGGCCGGATGCCATGTTTCTACAGACCATGAACATCGAGAAATCAGTTGTGAAGGATGTAGGTGCGGAACTAACGATGAAGATATCCAATACTCTCGGATCCCACTTCTTCGTCCTGTCCCACCTCTTGAGCGCCTTCAGTGCCGTCACACGGTCTGGCCATACATCGCGACGCTCATATGCACCTTTGATGAGGATCGATCTTAGTTTGTTGAGGTGATGAGAACCTGCAGGACTGAGCATTGGATCGACGATAGTGATAGACTCAAAGTCAATCCGGGGTTCCATGGTTTGGAGAATAGCCATGGTATTTCCTCCAAGAGAATGTCCGACGCCATACAGTCTACGCGCTCTGAATTCGACTTTTGCATCATGGTCGGGACCGGCGACGAGAAAGTGATAGATAGCTTCAGCGTATTTGTCACATGTGACTGAATGAAGTATGATAAGTTGTGAAGGAGATAAGAGGATGGGTGCTCAAATACTCACAGTTCAGGTAATATTCCGGCGTCTGCAGTATTCTTTCGTTGAGATGCCCCGATGCACCATGATTCGGACAATCCAAACACCAGGCTTCGCGTATCTTTACTGACTTATCCTTTTTCGCACTATGGAATATCCTCTCTAGCGTCGGTTCCCAAGGCTCTTTGTGTGATGCCGTAGAATGCAACAATATCAACGTCCAAGCCTCCGGATCGTCAGTATGCGCTTCAAATTCTGGCATCCAGTAACCCTTTGCAGTCAAGAAGAGAGGGTACCCATCGTGCGAGGGGTAAGTTACAGCTTCTTCCAGCATTTGGGAATGAACAGTGGAAGTGCGCTAGTCATGAGCAGAAGAGGTTCACAAGGCTTTTATGTATGTGGAAGTTAGACGTTAATTGTGAACGCAGCTGACACATTCCTAAATTTAAATTAGTTCAGCATTATCGGACACAGTGGCACAGCATTAACACCAGATAAGGAAGGGTCATTCTTCGAAAAAAGAAGTTCTCCGACCTGGATTTGTAGGGTTGCCGGAAAAATGATTACTTTGAGCACAGCCCAATGCGTCGGTGGATGAAAGTCCAAAGTCACCGTAGAGGAATTTGCACCGCAATGGACAGGTTATATCGGAGAAAACATTGCGGAAATATGTTGGGGGTTACTGAGTGAGTTCGGTCTCGATGCAACTCCTTTGAATGAAGTTGAGCTCGTAGGAGTTCATTTTCGGCCAATGCGCGGTTCAGCTTTATCTTTGAACTGAGTATGTCGATTCTGGACTCGACTGGTGCTATTCGTCTCGATATGGATTCCTTTGGGATGAGTCCCCGTACTGCTTTGATTTCGTCCGAGAATTTGGTGCGAAGCATCGCGACCTCTTTCGTTGCAAACGTACGTGCATCGTTGACATCTTTGGGGGTGGCAAGGGTCTTGGCAAATTGGCGGTCGAGCTCCACTTTGTGCTTCAGATTTGTAATGTCCCCGCGCATCTTTTTTACCAATTTTCCAGCACCTCCACGTGCTCATCTGTACCTTCTTCGTTATCCGGAGCCTTTTCCAGTGCAGAAATACGAGATTTCAAGTCTCGCAGAACACCCGCACCCGCCGAAACAAGGAGACTTGACTGCGAGGGGTTGTCATTGAGAACGTCTTCGTTGCCCACGACATCAACTACCTCCAGGTTATCAACTCGTGTTACTAACTCCGCAACATCATCAGCGACTCGAGTTCCTTGATCTGTCAGTCTTTTCTCGGGTTCGAGGTATTCGCATCTACCACCTTGCCCACGTCGACGATCCGGTTCTTCTTTTCCGATGTATTCAGCTTGAGAATAGTAAAGACGTTGTTTCCAATGGTCAAGGTAGAGATGGAAGGCTTGATCGATGAGGGAGATGATCCCGTCGTTAGAATGTCCAACTTTTTACTGCTCGTTCCCTTTTTGAGTGCACCTTTGCCTTTTTCGTTCCTTGGGCCTGGCACCTGCAATTCGTTCAGCAACGCATGGGCAGCTGCTGGCAGCGATCGTTCTCCAATGGACCATTGCGATTGCGATCGTGATTGTGATTGCGGGTTGGGAGTCGTAGGGGAATTATTATCGGCAGGAGTGCATTCTGTGTCGGGGTTAGATTCATTTTCGGGAACAGGAGATGCACGGGTCATATTATGCGAGGGAGTAATGGTAAGATTATAATGATGAGTATGGATGAAAGAGGAGTAAGGAGGAGGTGAGCGAGAAACTTTGTCGTCGTTGTTTGAAGGTAAAGAAATTTTTCGTTCCACAGCCTTGAAACCGGCATCTGCGTCATTTCCGTGCCGGGTCAATTCCTTGTCGTTCCTCATGAAGAATTCTTCGAGCTGTTGGTTCTTGTTTCTAGAGTGGTTCACTAAGTTGAACAGACAGAACCTCCAACAGGGTAACAGCCTTTAGTAGACCACTGCACTCAAACTCCCTCCAAATTGGGTGAACAACCTTATCGCGTCGTATGTTCCCTTTTCCACAGTTCCTTGTAATCTTATTCACTCCGACGATTCTATCCTTGTCGAAACTTTTTCGAGCCGTTGTGAACTCTTTCGTGAATGTTCTATTGAGTTACTCTAAGTATCAGTAAGAACTCTATCTCGGAGGATCCACTCACGATATGTACCGAATCGAACCCCAATTGTTCGAACGTATCATACCTAAAACTTGAACGAATCCTCACACACTGCGAACCTCTTCGCTAAATCCGGAACTCAGTAATTTCCAATTCATCGTCAGTCCTCGTACGGATCCGTACAGCTATAAAACCGCTTGCGGGTGTCTCTGAGATAACTCGGAAGAAAGGTTTCTCTGCATCGAGAAAGACTTTGACAACCTCAAAATGATAGTACCCGAATTACCTTCCCTCGGAAAATAAACGACGACAATGCCGTAGTTGATGTTTGCGCCTTTGAGGAACCTTGATTACAATGTGAAATTGCGATAGACGGGAACTACGCACCTTTTCTGTTCATCGAGGGTGTTATCTGAAGAATCACACACGAATTCGAACGGAAAAACTTTCGTTTCGATATAGCACTTGCAAAAGTGTACGTGTGAGCTCTGAGGAAAGCATACCTACCGCAATAACAATTCACTTCACTGTACAGCGTGTGCGAAATCCCTGGTAAACCTTCGGTCAGAATCGATGAATGGCTCTATTCACCTCAAGAACTCGACACCTGTTAATTGAGATCAGAAAAGCGCGTTAAATTAATATCCGGGACTCGGCAACAAAGTTTACCTTAATACAACCTCCGAGCACCCCCATGCATCCTCTCCTATCTTTCTTTTCGCGTAATACACCCAAAGATCGCTTAACTTTCCTCACTAGTTTTCGATCGTACAAGGCATCTTCATTGATTTTCTTCAGTTCGTCAAAGTGTAGATATTCGTCTAACGTGGCTGTGGTATCTTTCCTTTCGTTAACGAAACATCATAAGGATAAGTCAACAGTGCTTCATCATCGGGTCATTCCGGAATGTGGTTCGCACCTGGTAGCTTCGCACATCATGAAGACGTTTGCTCAAAACACCCTCTTGTCCATACCCTGAGGAATCTAGGAGCGTCAGATATACGTATGAAATCAACCCGATTTTCATCAATACATGAAAACTTCCATGCCTTTGTATTCACAATCTGCCTAATCGAAATCTAGAAGCCGAACACGATAACGATGAAGAGAAATATAAAGAACTAAACAAGTACATGATGCATCAGAAATGAAAATGGGGGCTAAATGCATTGCTCACCAGCAAAGACCATCTAGGTAAAGTAATTGTCCAATAATGTTCCTGCACAGCAGAGCCTGATGTTCCCTTCTTCTTCCCGCTAAACCCAAAAATAAATGTCGGAGTCAATTTTCTATGTACATCCAATCCAAAGCGTGCCTCTTGACCCGAATATTTACCGGAGCAAAACCTGACATAACGACAACTTTTCGTCCTTGACCGTTACTGTGATGACTGATGCTTGGAGACCCGGAAGATATTTGAGAGTTGGTTTTGGGCATAAGGATGTCGAACTTGCGCAAAGCTTCTGCATAAGTTTATATATATCTAGCCTGGATATTCAGTACTCTGGCTTCATAGCTACGGATCATAGCTCACGCTTCATCCACATAATGTGCTTCTAGGAGCTCTGTCGATCCTCCACCGTAGCTTGTAAAATTTGCCATTAACAGAAGAAGTAAGGTAGTTGCGGTGGGAAAGCTTCGGATCACGGCTACAAATACAAGTAACGTCATCCCTCTTGCCCCAATCCTTCCCACCCTCACCCTACTTATTTTGACGGGGCTTGCGGAGACCTGTTTCTTGTCCCTGATCATTGAATGAAGACGATACGTTGTTTTTTCTACTTTGCGTTGCCTCGATCTTGCTTTGCGGTGCCACTATCTATACAGTGGATACATTTATGTTATAATGCGGCACAGCGTTGCTCCGAACAACTTACCAATACGGGACGCGATATGTGGACTCAATTGAATACACTAATAACACGTCCAAATCGACAGAGTCTCCACTTACATGTTCAATAAATATCGCTACGGCTTAAACGGACAACTCTATCTCGAAATGCTTCATGATAGTGTCTCGTCGACAGAACACGCTCAACATCATCTGCATCTCTGCGCATCTGCCTACATGTTGCCCAGGGAACTGTGGATGATGATTGGGTCTCTACTGGATAAAAATTTATGGGCGTTGGCATCGACATGCCATTTACTTTCGGAGATTCTTTATCCTCTCTTGTATCGCAAGGTAGTCTGCAGGACGTCGTCGATCTTACTACGTTGCGGAACAGCGTGGTTGGAACGAAAAAAATCCATATTCTCGTACCCAAGGAGTTTAGTTGTGGGCACACCTTTTCAAAACACACGGAAGGATGGGAGTACTATCGAACGGTGGGGCTTGCTACTAGAATGGAACAGTTTCATTCCTCTTTTTGCAAGCTTCTCGAATCTCACCGAGTTAAGCATCATTTTTCAACATCTACCATGCGCTTTTCCAGCGACGCTGACGTCGCTTCCTCTATTGACGGAGCTGTCGTTGCAAAGTTGCACGTTCGAAGACGCAGTTTCGTTTCACGGTATTGAACTGAAACTGGTTCGATTACGCCTAGAAAATATCCGCTGGGACGATACACCCGACGAAATCACACTGTTGTGTAATTGCCCCTTGCTGAAAGTACTTTTCCTTGGCTGGCATTACCGCATTGCACATACGATGCATGGCATTGATGACAGAACCTTGCCTCCGAAGCTTCACGACTTAACGGTCACATCGGCAAATTACTCATGGTCAACAAATCGGATACGTCGTCTTCAGGAAGAAGAAACGTTTTTCAGATTTATCACCGCGTTGAATGGCCTAAGACGACTGACGCTTAATGGAGGCTGGCCTATTTTCGAATCAGAGGCATTCACTCAGGACAAGCAGGCGTTTCCGGACGATCTAGAAGCCTATGCTGGACCTATTCACTTTTTCCGATCCACTGCTCCTGCTCATCTTGGCCTCAAAGATGTCACATTCATGGAGAGCCATTTAACTATATCGGAAATTCAAGATTTCCTTCCTTCCCTTCCTATGGCTACGCGTGTAGCCCTAGTAGGTGTCTGTCTAGAAGAAGATTTGCTCTTCGATGAAACCCTGTTAACAATAGCGTTCAGACGATTTCAAAATGTAGAGGAATTTTTGATCGATTCAGCTCATATTCCAGCGGAAGGACCGGTATGTGTTTGTTCAACTTAGACATCAGTCATTCAAACTTTTTGCAGGGCCCCGTATTTGACGTTCTACGTCAAAGTATTCATATGCTTGAAAAGATCCGGTATCTTATAATTCCAGATATCGACGCATTTGATCTGGAAATCGAGGAGGCCTTCAGCGACCTCACTGATATTTCACCATCTTTGATGGGGATTCAAGTCGAGGAACAGAAATGGATGTACGACGGTCAAAGATGGGTTGAAGTTAATAATTGATATAAAGTCAGTTGGTTATGTTTGTCGTATTCTTGAAAGCATAATATCTCAATAAAAGTAATTCGTCTATTTCGGTTTAGCTCAATGGGAAATACATTCACATTCATGCACATGAAGACGATATTTGAACGCCTACTTTATTGACATTACAAAGTACTTACAAGCAAAATAGAATGACTGAATGCGTTCTCGTTCTGTGATGCCGATTACCAAAATATTTGAGATATCAGACGATGGTGAAGTATGATCATATTCTTGCCCTTGCACGTCTTTCTGTACCGTCCTCGTTTTCATTTGACTTCCTCAACCTTACTATTCCTTTTTCTCTTCAACTTTTCTCGACCCCCCTGTTGCTCAAGATATATCTTGAAGCTGTGCTTGAGAAGGAAGTGTAGATATATCTACAGCAGAGGTAGATTCAATGTACTATCTGCACTCAATCAAACGGTATCAATCTCGAATGCACAACGACAATACGCACAGCTGAATCATACTTTCCCGTAGGTAAATCCTGCAATTCATATGCATCGCCTTCACCGCCAATCATGTGAGATAATCCGTCGCGCTGCATGTTCATCTGATGCTTCGTCCTCATAACTGACAGGCTTTGACATTGTTTCTGTTAATACTGAATTGTAAGCTTCGATTTATTCCAAAGCAGGAACCACGACCTTAGCGCCGTCACGTATAGACGATTTCCCAGTAGTTAGCGGTCGAAATACAAGTGGCGACGTCCGACCAGGTTTGGTACCGGTATCGTCATCGGATTGACGAATCTTCTCCCGAGCGTTCAGAGTTGTGAGCAATGTTATTGCATGCACTAAAAGCGAAATAACACATTAAACTATACCAAAATGAATCGCAACATACAGCGACCGATAGAGAAAAAAACACGACATATATCAAGGTATCTGGTGCGGCCAAAATCTACAAGGGTGTTGATTTTCACATAAAATCATGGAACTTCGACTCACAGCAATGAGAGAAGATATCGAACATAACCTGGTAGAGGAACGACTTCAATATATTGATATTATATTGTTGGATTGTAGAAAGTTACGGACGAGGTGATACACCCGGTGTTTATGGCAAGTAACATCTGAAGGAGCCGTCACTTAATCAACTTCAATACTGCCGAAATTGAGGAGTATAATACTGACCAATTTGTTGAGGATAGTGTCCGTTCTTCAAATGTCTCATTAGTGAAGTTTACACAAATTTGTAGAGGCATACCTTTGAAATCTACTTTTGAATTTCTGAAAATAAAACGAAAATACGAACGCAATTCCAACATTGGTTGAAGCCGAAACGGCGTTTACCACGACAGCAATTGTCTAGGGAGCTCAAAATGATATCAATATTGACCAAACCAGTGAAAACGAGACATAAACGGAGGTTTTGGAGTGATTTAGGAAGACTGGGTTTCCAGCTGGTTTGCCTTTCCATGAGAAAAAGGGCATGAAAGGCCCAAAACGCTAAGGAAAAGGGCATGCCCTTTCCGGGTGTAATATAGTTAGGATCGTTGCAATTTGAATGGTTCGGCGAATTTCCCAATACTGAGGAAGATGTGTCCTACGTTCAATTACCCCTTCCTAATGGGATCGAGTGGAAAATCCGAATTTTTCCCAGTGGCAGGGCGAGCATGACAAGCTTTGGATACTTCTTGCAACCAGTCGGAGATGATGGAGTTCCTCGTGTGCCTAATGGTTTTAATGTCCGACTGGGATCTGGAGGGCCTCCAATTGACAGTTGGGAACAAAGGTTCAACAAGTGTTGCAATATCACCGTGCCACCCATTAATGAGAACGAAAAGTGGTTTTTCCAAGAAGGTCAGAAGGTAGTTGTTTGTCACCATCAGGAGGTAGTCGGAGAAGTCCAAATTCCTATCCATCCTGATCGGGAAAGGCAACGAGATCGACGAAGAAACAATGGAAGGCCTGTACATCCCTTCCCACTTGGGCGGGCTGGCCTTTTCTATCATTAGTTGTGTGAGTGGGTGCTCAAGTGGAAGTTGTTTGGGTGGTGGTCGTGCAGGTGGAGATAGTTCCAACTTGGGTCCTTTTGCTGGCACTCGTTATGCTTGAATGTCACTGCCTCTATGACATATGTGAACTTTACGATATCGATCATGGGACAATTGTATCATTTTGTTTAGTTCTTTTCAACGGTGGAAAATAAGTTCTCTCTGGGCATTTGAATTCCCTAAGTAGCATTGGTGGGACGCTATAGCTAGCAGGCTATTCTATAAGTTTCACTTCGACTTTGGGCGCTATTGGGCGCTATTGGGCGCTTCGACTTCGACTTTGAGCGCTAACTCGACTTTGGGCACTCTGACTTTGACTGTGAGTGCTAAATCAAGGTTAAATTAAGCTCCTACTGTAGCTCAATGGTTGAACCAGCTGGATAGATACAGGAAGATGGTGACAAGGTCCCATTGATGGTAAAAAAAAAAAAATTATGAAGAAAGCAGAAAGCCTCAACAGGGATTCGAACCCTGGCCTATTGATAATATATGATGTCGACAGCTGACAAGAAGCATTTGTATCAAGTGCTCTACCACTAAGCTATTGAGGCATACAAGTGAATGTACTTGACTACACTAAGTGAGGAACAGATGTTTTCGATACTTTCGATAGTTTCAACAATTTTGTTAAGTCACGGTTTTCCACAAAGTGCTGGGATTTATTACATGGGAATGCATTACCTTATCTCATGTTATACGAGGCACCAATGAGCACCTTCGTAGAAGGTATAATACTCATAGTCTTATTGATGGCAAAAAAGAAAGTCAGTTGGAAACAAAAAGTCCCAGCAGAGATTTGAACCCTGGCTTTTTGTTTGCATATAGGATGAAATAAACAATCACCATATCAGATCAGATGCTCTACCACTGAGCTACTGGGACGTGATTAACTTCACGTTCACTTAAGTCAAGTACATTGGCAATAATCACCGCGTGATTTATTAGCGCTGGATGAATCACCGCCGTCCTTCGTCGATGGTATGACCTCGCGTTTGCTCGTGGGAAAGAATTCTCTCTTTGCTCTGCATCCTTCGAGGACGGTCTGCCTACGTGAGACGGGGCTCTTTTTGTCTCGTCCTTTCAATGGGTATTGGTTCTTTCAGCCACATTAATTCTCTCAATTACATTGGACCGAATACATCACCGTAAGCAATGGAAAGATTCTCAGTCCTTGCGGGCTTAATTTGCATACAAGATACAGCTTCAAAAGCTCACCTCTCTCAACAAACAAATGCCACACCCTGGACACAAAATGTCTGAATGGGCGGACCACCTGGTCGATATTGACACTGGCCATCCACTCCATCAACCCTCTTCCTCCCCCTCATTTCAACTCTTCCTCGCAGTACGAAATCCCTGACCCACGACGGTCTGATTGAGCAAGACCAGTTACAAGCCCCGAATCTACCCCCATTTGACTTGGGCAAACCAAATGAGTCAGCCACGGCCGAGGAAGGGTCTGAAGAGCTTGCAAAAAAATTGTAGAGGAAAGGAGGCGGGCAATGCTGTTGAAGGCGAGGTCAATGAAGATGTTGAGAGGCGGGAAGAACTTGGAACACCTCACGAAGGTACATTACCAGCGAATTGGTTTGTATTACTCTTGACTAATGTCGTTCTTGACAGCAATTCAACAGGTGGTGAAGGATTTTCTGACAAAGATGGTGAAACATCGGGGGACAAAGCTGAGCAACATCCAGAAGATACCATAGCTGTTGATGACCTTTTAACCTCTCTGCATTACATATATGTTTTGTTTATTAAGTCGTCCAGGTCACAACATGTGTGATACGTTTTAGATTTGTTGCATATTCACTGTTCAACCACCGATAGTTTCATCGAAGGAAGCAGTAGATGCGGGCAGTCAGAAAACAACATTCAATGTAGAGTGAGCTGAGTGAATACAACAGCCGGGCATCATGGAGCCAAGGGAGGCAGGCAGTGACTCTGAGCTAATGCGCCATTTGTAGATGAATCCCATCCGTCGACGACGGTATGATACTCATGTTTGGTCATGGGAATTATTACCTTCGTCGACAGCATGATACTCCTGTTTGGTCATGGGAATCAAAAAGAACTCAATCAAAACCAGATAGTCCCAGCAGGGATTCGAACCCTGACCTTTTGACAATATTTAGATTCCATACGGGATCCAGTTCACATTTATCAGATGCTCTACCACTGAGCCACTGGGACTTTACTAAGTGAAAGTTCACTCAAGGCAAGTATTGATAATCACCTTCATGGACATCCTTGTTTGCTCATGGGAACTGCCACCAAAGGGCACCTTTGTGGAAGGTATGGTTCTCACCTTGCTCACTGATGGGAATTACTTGATTTGAGCTGCAATGTGTGCCCATGGGAACTGCCACCAATGGGCACCTTCGTGGAAGGTATGATTCTCACCTCATTCAATGATGGGAATTAGTTTATCTGAGTTGCAATGGGCGCCTAATTTCCAAAAGAAGTAAATAGGCGCTCAATTCACGGACCAAGTATCCACCGGAATTAGTGTATATAGTAGTCCACAGCTGCCCTCCAGTTCTCTCTAGCTATACCCCAGTTCTCCCTAGCTGTCCCCCAGCTGTACCCTAGCTGTCCCCTAGCTGTCCCCTATAATTTGCCCCCTAGTCTGTCCCCTAGAAGTCTCTAATAACCCCCTTATCGATGTCGCAGGCGTGCTGGATATTGCAATCCTACATGGTTTATCTACCCAACTAAAACTTATTCATGATTCACCGTCTGCGATCTTTGGCGGGAAGAACGTAATACTTTTTGCGAAATTTTTTCAAACCCCCCCCCTCCAGAAATCGATTTAATGCCATGTGGTGCCCTCACGATGCTCACGAATTTCTTATTCGTCCTTTTCTTTCTAACGTATCATGGCTTCAACAAGAACCCCTTGGTGTTTTGCCTGATACATACCACTATTACGGATAAAATACGATTAGACGCGCTCGGCAATGACGACTTCATCGATCTCAATAAACACGTACTTAACCCCACCGAATTCGTTACCGCCCATGCGTCTCGGAACTTTGCAATTGTTACTCCTTCCACTATTCGATGGAAACAATGGAATAACGAACTGCCGATTCATATTGCAACTGCTCTTCAGAAGACTCTTTACATCCTGAATGCCTCTGAAATACTAAAAATTCTACATATGTACATAGTACAGTAATGTGCCTGAAATGACATCTGTGTCATCAATGAAAACGTGACATTTTCAACTTTTCTTTTGTTCACTTCCATTCGACAGGCCCAAATCCCATCCAGTCGAGGGATTCGGGGCAAAATATTGTTTGATGATATCAGCGGCTCATGTGTAATGTCCGAATTGGCTGCAAGTCTTAATACTGCAAACTCAGTAGTTGACATTGCAAAGAAGATCATGCTGCCCCAGGGGGTGAGATGTCAAATAACAACTCCAGAACCTTGTAATGCTGTCCTCGCTTGTTGGGAGGCCTATAGACTGGTAGGTTCAGATTCATGCTGCAATGGAGACCTGCGATCTTCATCTTCTGGTCATTTTAAATGTAATTCCAAAATTCAGAGCATATCATATTTATCTTTATACACTTGATCTACTTGGGAATGGACTTCGAACTATATTGTCAATACACGTTCTGATTTCTCTTCACACAGCATCTTATTCGACAGCATTCTTCAACAATTCAAAAGATTCAGAAAGATGGACAGGCGAGTTCTCAAAAACAACAATTCTCTCCTCGTTTAATGATCTTAACGTTAGACTGCACTCTCCAATTTTATTTTCAGGCTGGAACATCCCGGACCGTAACTCGAAAAGAATGGCGTTGCGCATTCCGATGTCTCAATCGTATCCATTTGTCCCGCCGAAGTCTGGAACAACATATGGTTGCTCACATGTCGGAAGTTCCACTCTTGTGCCCTTTCCAGACATGCGAAAGCCTCCGCCCTTTGGAAAGTGAGCTTACATTGATTGATCATCTAGATTCTATTCACTCCGAGCACAATACAACGACTTTGGAGGGTCAACTATGTACTGCATGGTGGCCCCCGTATCGTCAGCCCCAATTTGCTGAATCTCCCCCGTGGCCTGATTCCCCTGTGAACTATTTAGACATCATCAATCCTTATCCATCTCAGCCACCGCATCCCTCACCATCCCATACGCCTCCCGCTTCACCGGTATTTCACCAGTTTCCCCGTCTTGTCCAATCCAGTGCTTTTCAATCTCCCTCATTCCATTCACCTGGCCGTCGCCTTATTCCGCGGCAGATCACCATAGAGAGCATAGAAGACTGGTCAAAACCAGAGGAATTTTACGAGTTTGAAGATCTTCCGACTCTGAGCGAATTGCCTCTAAATTCTTCCACTCATAATTCCGAGTGGCGTCCGTCCCCGCAGATTCCCGAAGACTGGATAGTTTGGCAGCGACCACAGAGCTGGAAGAAGGAGACTTCGACTCTCTTTCATCTGCAAACTGTCGAAGATCTAGGTCATATGCCACCTTCATCGATGGACTACAATGTTTTCAGTGCACGTGTAAACCAACTGAAGGCAGAAGGCTTACTGGGAAATTAGCGCGTCTGTTATCTCACTCGTTCCTGAAATTCGTCTCTGGCACATATGATAGTTCTCTTACCAGAAAAATATCTCGCAGTTACTTTTTTATGTCCATAGGTCCACCCCAACGCAGACCCCGCGTCGCATTTGCTGTATCAATTAAATTCGCTTTGCCTGTTCCGTTCTTTGAATTTAGTTAAATCTAATTAGTTCAACTTACACTGAAATTTGTAGCATCTTTCTTGGGAAGAACATACTCAAACACAAGACAGTTATTACTCAGTATCGTACCGAACTATACGGCACCCCTTATCCTCACTTTGCGATACTTTTCTTCATACACTTGCCCTAGGAAAGTGGCTGCCGATTTGCATTCAACTATTTTCTGGCTATTAGAACTCGTGGGGTTTGTGAAATACGCACCCTAGTGTTCTTCCAAAAATTTGATAGTAGAATCCAAGTCATCAAATCCGAGCTCGTTTTGGACGAAAGATAGAGATATTGTTCGGTAACTAGTGAATAGGTGTGAGATCGTGATATTAGTTAATGTGTTTAGACCCACGCTTTGGTGATAACCATTAATGCTTTGACTCTTTCTCGGGGAATGAAGTGATCCATAATGTAAGCACCCATATTCGGAGCATTCAAATACAATAAGAAGAGAGCATGATAGTTGCCCATTGAAAGTGAGTGTTACATCGAGAGCGTGTCGCACAGCCGGATCCGCCTTCTGTCTAGGTGTTAGTTGACCTACGTACAAATTGAGTTCTGTCCAGTATCAAAAGTGAAAATCAATCAACAATGCGACTGTGAAAAACGGAACAATTACCGCTTCTGTTGCGCCCGTGTAGGAGCATGAGTATCCGGTATCCCGTGAACTCCTCCACTTTTCCAGGTATCCCCAATTCGTAGAGCGTCTTGAGCGTTGCTTGGCATGAGTTATATTCCACCACATCGTTCTAGTCAGAGCTTGTTTAGGCGGAGTCAAAAGAAGCAACGAAAGCGTACGCTTTCAAGTGCCATACGGGCATGGATTTCGTAGACCTGCACCGAAGTCATTTTTTATGCGTTGAACCTGGGGACGGAGACAATTAGAAGCGCGTGCAAAGCACCGGTTGTGGATAACGAAGGAAGAGATCAGCGCACAGTAAGATCCTGACGAAGACTTTTGAACTGATTACATATCCAGTCATACGAGCACTTTTCTCTCCATCGTTTCTTGAGTTGTACAAGTGTCTCTTGAAGGACAGCATAAGGTCGAATTGTTTCTGGTTTTGGGGCCTAGTAATATGACTGAGGCTAGCCCCAATTTTCACGAACAGGAACGCACGTCTGTCAATCTTATATAATCTTTGAAAATTTCCCTCGAAGTCCCTACTATTGTGAAACGGTCCCAGTCGATGACGTTCTGCTCACTCTGTCAGCGACACAATATACTCAAGCGTAGGAACACACCGGATCCGCTTCTGGTTCATCGGAGTTTCCGAAAGGAGATGCTGAAGCCTGAACGAGAAGCATTCCAAGAGCTGTTATTGAAGAGATGGTTATTGTGAACGTTTGCCTTCAATGACGAATTTCTCGACTTCTGCCGCTCAATTTCGTGTTCTCGTTGGAAACGCTCTGCTCTACGGTTGAGTGCTGCTTGATCATTCAAGTCCAAAGATGCAGTGCCAGCTGTAATTTGCTTTAGAAATGATTTTTTGGCTTTCTTGCTGACGGGGGCAGTAACATTTCTATCGATCAAGTCAGAATTCTTGGCAAGAACAGTATCCCGGAGAAACATACATCTTGCGTTTGAGAGTAGGGGCCGGTTTTGGTAAAAGACTGAAGTTTGCATGAGGGGTGAAGATACCAAATCTCGATAGGGCCCGAACCTTTCCAGTTGCACGCCGTTCCAGTGCGGCAAAAGCGTCAGCGATTACCTGCCTTAGTTCATCTTGAGCTTCCTTTCTATTACTGTCTGTCATTTGTCCCAAACATTTCGCAACCCAATCTCTACGAGGTCAACATAAGAACGAAGAAATCGAGAAAGGTAAGCGCAAGCTTACTTGAGCTGTGGTGGCCACGAGGCTGACGCCATGGAAGTTCGTACTTAGCTGGATATGAGAAATTCAATGAAGGTGGTTGTGTGCTAGCTGGATGATTGAATCGAGTGAAATTACATAATCACTAGCATGAGCACTAAATTAAAATCACTGGCTTCACTGTCATATACACAGGCGCAGGTGAAGATTAAGTATATGCGGGAAAGAATCTTGTTTATCCTTGATATTCTTTGAAGGACTTTGTATCTCCCAATGAAGACCATTGTCCACCCACTTCCAGCAGTAATGCACCCCCGTCAACAATGAGCAATATGAGTGGATCTGGTAAGGGATGCCCGGGCCTCCCTGCACCTGACGACCATGAAGTAAACAAATTTGGCCACCGATCCAAGCTGGATTCTCATTTCAACTCCGAAATTGGGGAGAAGGCGTTGAACCCTCGAGGAGTCCTTTGTCCGAGCCAGGGAGCATATCACCAGAAGAGGAATAACGAATACACCCAGCTCCATGCGCAGGGTAAGTAGGGTAGTGCAAAGATTCTGGGGCGCTCTTCGAAACACGGTCGCATCCACCAAATTCAAATTCGGCGTCCACGCAAGTCTGGCGATTTGTCATGTAAGGTGCCCTTTCATCATAACTTATCGACGATTGAGTTGGTTCACTCATTGTTGGGTAAGCACGTGGATCATGGCAACTCCAAGTGACTGTAGTGTACTGAATGGGATTTACTGCAAGTGCGATTACATAGTTCAGCACAAAGAAAAGATGAGACGAATGAAGCGACGGCTTCAGAAACTCACCGGACGACTGAGCACTTGTGGAGCAGGAGTCTTCGTTGGACCCTTGATGAAAGGAATCAGGGGTTCTGTACAGAGCGGTCGGAGCGAGTTGGCGAGGGGACGGAGGAGGATACAACAACGATGGTGTATAATAAGGAACGGCCGGAGTGAAAAATCTGTCCTGGGGTAACTGTTGATTCTGAGAGCAAGACGCAGGGGAGGGCTGGGTAGAAATGGGAGTAATTGAAGCCAAAGAGTATTCACGAGGAAAAGAATATCCATAGGTTACATCGTTTGTGGCAAGGACATTCACTGTTCTATAATCGGTACAGTCGCCGATTTTATGGAATTGCGTGTCAGTCGAGTTTTCGGTTTCGTGAGAATGAGACTCGTTTAACGGAACAAGGGAGGTCTTTTATTGGATCATCGTAAGTACGACTCTAGAGGAAGGAAAACAGAAACTTGCATGGGGCGAACGACTTTTGGGAGAGATCATGGAATTCCTCGCCGAGCTCGTTACACTTGCCTGAAACAAAGGTCAGCCAAAGAAATAGGTCGGAGGAATAAGGCACGATCTCTCACAGAAGTAAGTTTGAGAGATTCCTTTAAAGGCTCGAGAAGTTCTTCCTCTGCAGTCTTTTTGTACCAAGTAAGTAGCCAATCATATTGCTCTTCGGAGATGTCCATCATATCCAGAACACGAAGTTTCTTGAGAGTTGGTACGCGGGTACATTTGATGTACGGCGGGCAATTTCCGCATTGGAGGGCGGTAGGTCGAATTTTGCATGGCTGGTTTTTGGTTATACACTGTTGACATACCTATTAATCCGACTTCAGTGTCATAGTAGTTGTCATGTCAGAGAACGACACGAACGACGTGGTGGTACTTAATATTGAGATCTCGTCTCTCCTTCAGCGAGCCATGTTTCCTAAATATGGTGTTGAATGTCTTTTTCGTGTCATCGGTAACCCACGATGCCAAGCCGTTGTCAGTAGCAGGTACTTTAGCGCTGCCGTGTCCTCTATTTTTTTCATGTAGGGAATGAGAGTGAGACGATTGAGACGAGGCCATATCAAGCTGAGAACTAGTACGCCTAGTGCCATAGGGAGCTGCTCGCGATGACTGCTTTCCTCTGCGACAATCAAAGTCTGGATGTTGTTGCATATTGCTGAATACTGCTGGTTGTGGTCGTGGTCGTTGGCGTGTAGGCGCGAAGAAAGCGGGTCTTCATGTGTGCGTGCTTGTGACAAATCTGAAAACGAGACGATATATTGGCGGAGTTGCGGCCAAGATCTTCCATTTCGTGAACTCAGAAGCTGATGATCGAAATTAAGCTTACACAATGCTTCGAGACAGTGAAAAAATAATACAGATAGATAGATAGATAGATATATACGCGGCTCCGCCTAAGGCGGGGTCCCACAAGGGAACACTCGGGCCCAACCTCCCTCGGCCCTATGTAAAATGTAAGTTCCCAATCAGTCATCAAGCATAATATCGTCCCGAGGACTGCGCAGTACACAAGCGACACGATCAAACCAATCCAGAGCCCTCGCAAAAGGGCAGTAGCTTCTGGTAATGACGGGTACACCGGATCATCCGAGGCTCAAATTTTGAAGTGGCGAAACAGCGTTCGATCCCCTAACAAGGATTTGGAAATGAAGTGATGGTAAGGGTGTGGGAGGGTATGCCGACTGGGGTGCTATGCTGAGTGACAACTGAGTGGTCAGGGAGGGATTCGGGCAGACCGATATCTTTAAATGCCCGATAAACACTGAGGGAGCACATAGTAGACACTGTGGGTCCATCAGTGACGATTGCAAAACTCCTAAAGGGAATCTTACCTCAAATTGAGTATGTAGAGCCCCAGTACCTTGTTTGCCCCTGGCCCTCAAAACTCCACCAGTGATTCCTGCATTTCCATCGAACACTTGGAACAATCGCCACCATTTCAGCGACATCTATATTCGGAGTTAGTTCAATATAAACGATTTCACTAGCGGTCAACGAATATTCACCTTCATCATCGTTGAATAGATACGACCATTCTTTACGCCAGATCCAGAAAGCGACGCTGAATATTAGAGAAAGTGCAAACCCTAGGAGAATGGCAGCGAGTTTTGCGAGTCGTGGTCGTGCAAGTCCGAGGAGTTGACCGATCCGGACACTCGTGGCTACGCCTAACGCTGGCCTAACGAGAATGGGACTTGATACGTTGTTGAGCATGATACGAGTAAGACAGATTGGGCAGCAAGGGCAGTAGGTCCCAACCTACGGGACAGTTATTGATTTTAAAGTGGAAATTGAAGAACAGCGAACGTACAGTGAGGCGGCAAGGCCGACTAACTCCCAAGCCCACCATAATGCAGTCTGGCCTACAGTCGGGGACAATCAAAGTCGACAAAAAAAATGAGCAAGTTTTCCCAGGCTCAGATTATAGTAGAAATCATTCTATTCTACTTTTTGAGTATTCTGGCACAAAAAGGAAGAGATTTCAACGAGCCGATCTCCGAAAAAGGCAAGTTTGGGTTGCAGACCTTGAAAAATTGGCCGTACCCTAAAACCTCGCGGGAAAAACTTCGGAGATGTGTTTTTGGACATATTTGGCCTTCCTGAGTGCAAATCCATCATCAGTTTTACTGAGAAAACTCACCCTCATGTGCCACAACAGCTTTGATGAAGTTTCCCATCTGCCAAAAGGGTGGGAAAGCTCTGTCATGTGATGCTTGCAGCAGCTCGGAGCAGCTCGGACATACAGAGGGAACTGAAGTGGGTAGAGAGAGAGAGAGAGAGTTAATTTAACCGCCGCAGGCCACCATTTCGGAGCCAAGAGCGGGGGAAACTATGTACTAAGTACTAGTGACACCGAGTATCGTATAGTGGTTGAGTATGTATTTGTAAACTGTGTTCGTTGGTTGTTGTTGCATCGTAACAGTTGTAGTAAAATGAAGTGGGTAGAATTTAATGAAAATTCTAATCAACACTTCCCTCATTATACCTTTCAGTGACCTCCATAGTGCTCAGATATGAAGTGAAGTAGCTTAGAGTCAACTTTTGCCTCAAAAGTTTCTGAAAATCAGTGGAAATCCTTGTCAAAAGGGGCCTAAAGATGCGCTGAAAACTGCCAAAAAATTGGCCGTACCTAAAACGTCGTGGGAAAAACTTCGGAGGTGCGTTTTTAGACGTATTTCATCGTTCTGTATCTGAATCTGCCATCAGTTTTCCTCAAAAAACTCTTGTTCGGCCGCTATCGGCTGATTACAGATTTGTCGGGTTTGATTGTCCCCGACTGTATGCCACCGAGTCCGAGAATGAGAAGAATCCCAAGACCGGTAGGATGTAACGCGCGGATAATGGGTGCCAAGCAGGTCTCATTTCGTTCTGATATGAGTCTCGATGATTCTGGGCCAGGTGTAACTCAGGGTTGTTTTCATGGAATTTAAGCGCGCGAGCTTTGGAAGGCGCTTACCTGTGCTTACCGACCTCTTTGCAGGCGATACGTCTCTCGAGCTTACCGCGGTATTAGAAGAGCCAGTACCTTCACTGGGCAGTTGAGCGGTGTGATAAGCATTGAAGTCAGCAGCCTGTTCATGCAGGGCTTCCCAAGCTTCACGGCGCAGTCTTCTCGTAACTTTGATTCTCCAGCCCAAAAATACACTTCCCAGCGCAACTAGATTGTACGAAATTGCAGTTGCAAGGGGAGCGCCATCGAATCCTAGGTGTAAATAAGGAGCAAGAGTCCTGGGTAGCGGGCGTGGGTAGTAAACTATAAAATAACGGTCATGATAAGCAGAAGAACAACTGAAGTAGACATACCAAATAATCCTGTAAGCACGAAGTTCACCCCAGCTATGATTGTCCTAAGCTTTGTGGGTACGCTGAAGAGACCTTGAGCTTGGAAATACCGCTTTGCGATTGTATTAAAAGAGAATGCTGGAAGGCCAAAAGCAAGCTAAAATACTAAGTTTAGCCTTAACGCTGATTGGGTTTTTAACTCAAAGAAGGGAACCTACCATGGCGAGATATCTACCAGCTAGTCTGGCTACTTCTTTGTCTTGCCTCAACAAAACCAGGATCCCTTCAGCACAAGTTGAGCCATATATAAAGCATTGGGACGAGGAGGAAAAGGTATAGCACACCCATTCGTTGACACCATAGTCCGAAGAGGCGGGAATCAGCGAGTTTTATTTTATCTTGTCCAGATTTTATCTTTAAGGATTCGGAATCATGAGATGTGACGGCACTTGCTCCCCAAACTCCAGGAAGTACGGTATCCAAAGCTCCTCCCATTCCGATGACGATACTAAACGACGTAACATTTGTGGTCATGGAACCCAGAGTACATGCAGCAAGCTCTACTTTACCTAGATACAGGCTTAGTAAAATTCAAGGATGTACTTGAATTTTTTGCAAAGTGTTTATTGTGATTTATTTGTCCAATACATTTTAGGGCCGAGGGAATGCAAGTGAAGATGAGACACCTTTGGACCCAGACATAAGGTTGAGAGAAGGAGCTTCGACTTTGATTTCAGACTCATTGTCATGCCCTGGCTACAACCAGACCAGTCCCAGTACCCGCCACACGTTGCCATACGTCCTACCCACCTCTTGTATGTCCTCTGCACCTCCCCAAGGACCACCAGACACCTCCCCAAGTATTCCTGACGCAACTACCCAAACGTCCTACACCCCGACATGCGTACGAAAACCCTCCTAACCGATAACCCCTTTAAGTATTAATCTCGATTACCTTCCTCCCCCCGAATTAGCTGCCTCATGCCTCCAGATGTTCTCTTGTTCACTTCCCGTACCTATTTAAGTAACGCCGCAATGTCCTGAAGCCCCAGCTTGGTATATTTTGAACACACACCCTTTTGCATAGGTCCAGTCCCTGTCCCTTTGTACCTGCTAACCATACGGATTTCTCTTTACTCTCTGTTTCACTACCTCTGTTTCTCTCAACTCTTGTCTATCGTCTCTGTGATTGTCTATACGATCCAATACACGCTTTTACTTCACGTCTAAGCAATCCGAGTGAGTTCCCGAGCTCCCTCGAACAATACTAAAGCTCCCCAACGCCTACCGCCTTGGTGAGCTAACCTCCCCAAACCTCCTCGAGCTCCCTAGCTATTCTATAGGCTTCAGGACCTCGATCTAGGTAACGTCGAAGCTACCCCTCACGTCGAACTACGTACTGCTTCTCCGTTACCACCTCCCACACTCGAGGACGTCCATCCTCAAGCCTAGCCCCCAGGGACCTACCCTCCCTGGCACGAGACCCATCTACACATACGACCTACTCGATCCTATATTGACATTCTAGTGAGTACAACTCCTATTACGCAATATCGTACAGTCCCGCACTCTTCCTTAACCTCCCTACGCCTTAGGGACCTCCCTGGACCTCCTAGGAACCCCTCAAGGGTCACCATCCCGTTGTTCCAGCCACTACTAGGTCATTCCCGTCCTCGGTCGTGGTTCTCGTAGCTCCCTTCGAGCTCCAGCCTGCTCCTAGCACGCTACAACATAAACCTCCACATACCAAAACCTACCCTAAGACCTATTTTGACCCAGGTCTTACATTATACCAAGCTCTCCCGTCACCGAACGGACTCGTCGCGACAAAATGTCGGCGACGTCAACAGAACGACCTTCTAGTTCCAAGATCGAACCAAAGAAACAAAAGAGCGCCTTATCTCGTGGAAACACGACACAAGCTCAAAAGTCGAACCAGGCTGCTAGCTCCACTGTTATCACGGTGGCAGCTGGTCAACGCCTGATGTCCATCCCAGAACAGTTGTTCGGGGATGAAACCACTAGCAACGTCCGGACCCCTGAGGGACGTCAACCGGCGGTTGAGGAGCCCCCCCCAGTGGAACTTGGGATGGGACCACCACAACGGAGGTATACTTCTATGGGTTATGCCCAACCTGCCAGTAGCCCCATGGGAGGTTTCGCCTACTCCCCTACCTGGGGAATGAGAGGACCTCCCCCTGGACCGGTACCGCAGCTAGACATGGAGTCAGCTTTGAACGCGGGTGGAAGAGTCAGCGGCCAAGTAGCCGCTATCGAAAGGATACAAGGGAAAAGTACTGACCCTCTCACAGTACGACAACAGGAGAAACTTCCAGAGAGGAGAGTATCCCCTGCCGTATCCGAACAGTCTCGGACGTCATCCCGGAGGTTACCAACCCCCCGGTACAGTCCCTTAACCTTCCTCCCCCGAGACCAGGAAGTTCACTCTCCAGTCTCCTGAAGAGCCCAGCTATGAATACACCCAACTGGGAGCGTACCCACGCAATACACCATAGCAGGACCAACTTCCCAGTACAACCATTGTCTGAAATGACATTGCGTCTGGAAGACATCATTCGAATTCAGGAGTGTATCCCGGAGGATGTAGCTATGGTCCTAAGGGAGGTATTGGAGTCGATGGGGGTCGAAATATTGGGAGACGGTCTCGAATTCTCAGACTTACGAGTACAGTTCCTGACAGTGGGAACTCAACTGGAGATAGACCTCCCAGAGAAGGCTCAGCAGTGGCTGATGACCCCCGCGAACCGATCAGATTTTCTCTGGCTGTACAACGTCCTGTTGGACCCAGAGAGGATGTTGGAACTGTTAGAGGCAGAGGCACGTTACGGGCGATCGTTCCGAAACTCGAGGGGAATACTTCCCCTCCTCCCTCATACCCATGGAAGGGAAAAGGAATTCTGTGGAGAAGCGGGGCTGCGTATATTGTACCGAGCATCTAACTACAGATCAGGAGCTGTACGATTTGAACCTCCCCCTTCAAGGGTTAACATTCCAAACTACCAGGCGATCCAAATACTGCGGAATGCAAACCTAGCGGAAGCAGCAGCTAAAATCGATGAGGAAAGTAACGAGGATGCTAACGCAATCGCTGCAAAAAATCGTAGGCGCAGGAGATACACCACGGCTCACCTCCTGGCCCCAGTGGAGTCAATGCCTGATCAGGATAGTCCCGTCCGGGTCCATAGCGGACAGACGGTATACACGTACACGCCCATGAGGCATATGCACCAGCTTCTGGTGAGGAGTGAGGAGTCTGAAGCGATGTTGTGTTCGCAGGAGACCCGACACCAGACGTTACTAGCGGAATCAGACACTCTGATGCTGTCGGAGGAACTTTCTGGATCGAATCTAGAAAGAGCTTTGGAATTCCGTCGCAGACTGGTCGCGGATAATCGGGGAACCTCGTATATGGTTCAATGCGAACCAGAGAGTGTAGGGGAGTTCCCTCCAGAGCAATTTGACCAGAAAAGGCAGCTCCATGGATCTGATGGTCGTTTCCTGACACAGAAACATTCATTGCCCAGGAATATCGAGGTTCCTGAATTCCTTAACCCCGGTAACACGGCCACGAGGAGCCCCCAGTTACGCTCGGGGACCTCCCCCACTGTACATGCCTTGGTTCAAAATTCGACTCCTCCCCCCAAAGTTAACCTGCAAACGAAACCGGTAACGCCAGTCTCGACACAGCGGTACCAGTTTGGGGAGGTAAGGATGGATGGTGCACAACATTCATCATGGATCTACGGACAAGATCTGACAGCTCGGCTGGTTCCCAACCCTGTACACGTTCCTCCAAGACTGAGCAATCCATCAGTCATACCCTATCAAGGGTTGGTATCGATGCAATCCCACGCGGTGGGAGCGGAGAGTCAAAGGGATCCGAACCAACAAAGGACGTTGGTAATTCACGAAGAGGCGGTACCCCCGCAGGGAGCCCCTTTAGGAACTCCCTTTGTAACTGGAGCTCAGACGAACCGACCTGGCATGGTTGTTGACTCGGCACATTCTCAGGAATCGGTAGCAATGATCCAACAACAGGCTCGGGTCATTGAGACGCTCCAGGAACAACTCCGTGAGGTAAAGAAAGGATTCACAGCGGGGGAAGTACCGACTGGAGGACCCCTTTCCAAAACAGGAAACACAGCGGGATTATCCGGGCGAGCACCTAGGGTAATGAGAGAATATACGAGGGGGGGTCCTTCTCCTGTAGTTCCCCAGCCAAGGAGCTGGCAAGCTACGGAACCAATATCCTTTAACCGAAACACTCCTACAGGAGCTAAGGATGGAAACCCCCAGGTAGAACAAGCAGGACAGATCCCGGATACTCCGAGTGTGGACCGACGACGTATTCACGAGTGGGGAGCCCGAGTGCAAATAGCTGAACTAGGGGAGTATGGGAGACCAGAAGGAGGAGCGTACGCGTTGGAAAACGAGGGAGGAGGCAAAGGCGGTTTTAACCCCCCTCCTAGAGTACCTCCCCCACATTTTTCTAGTCAATCGAGAGATCGAGAACGACCTCTGAGTCAAGGGGGACAGGGTCAAAGAGAACAGGGAGGAAGGAGCGGGGGAGGGGCACCACCTCCGCCTCCTCCTCCTCCACCACCTTCCGGGGGACTGGGTGATAGTAATTCGGAAGGTTCCGACGAGGGGGAACAGAACCAATCGAGTAGGAATGGTGGAAGGAGAGAGGAGGACAGAGGAGAGCTCCCCACTGGAGCTCCTGAAGTACCTCCAACACGCTATGACCCGGACCAACCCTGGTACTACGATCCAAGACAAGGTTGGCACCGTAAGGCAGCTCCTAGACCTCCAACGAGGACGGAGTACGTGGGAGAGCAATGAAGAAAAAAATCGGATTACCATTGAGTCGAAGCTCGACGTCAGTAAGATCGAAAGCTTCGCAGGTGACGACCGGTCTGCATGGAAGACGTGGGTCCTCAGTTTGGAAAGGATGTTTGGAGTACGTACCTACCATCTATGCTCGTGAAAAGGACAAGTGCGCTTCGGCAGCCAGCCATCTCACCAGTGCAGCACTCTCCCACTTTGACACGTTGAATCGGCAACGACTGAAGGGGGAGTACACTTGTCTCGAGGACTGGACGGAGTTTAAACAAGAGTTCGGTTCCAAATTTGGACCCATTGACGAAGCGGACGAGGCAAGGAGGCGATTGGCCTGGATGAAGCAAATGCCGGAGGAAAGCTTCGCCAACTTCTTCATTCGCTTCAACGAATACACTCCTCTGACCTGGGTTTAACGACGAGGCTCTGA